ACTGCGCGGGGAGGGAGCGGGACAGCATGCTGGACGGGACAAAACCGTGGAAAATAGCTTGGGGAAAGTGCGCTGGATGGGAGCGAGACAGCATGCTGGACGGATAGGAAACCTTGAAAATAGTTTGCGGCAGAACTGTTGGCACGGGTTTTTTCAGGACAAATGCCATCATTGCGATTGGCCTGAAAAAATTGTGGACCCAAGACTGGTCAAATGGTCCAAAGACCGGTCAAACGGTTTGCAAAGGCTGAAAAATGGGACATGCACAGAGAAGCTTTTACACAAAAAAAGCCTTTACACAGAAACTTTGACACACAGACGCGTTTACACAGACACAGAGGAGTCTTGACACAGAAGCCTTTACACACAGAAGCTTTTTTGCACAGAGTAGCTTTTACACAGAAGTCTTTACACAGAGAAGTCTTGAGACAGAGAAGCCTGTACACACAAAGGCTTTTACAGAGAGAAGCCTTTTGTACAAAGAAGTCTTGACACAGAGGAGCTTTTACGAGAGAAGTCCTTACACAAACGAGATTTACACACAGAAGGTGTTACAGATAGACATTCTTTCGGCGCACAGAAACTTTAACACAGAGCAGCTTGTACACACAGAAGTTTTTACACAAAAAAGCCTTTACACAGAGAAGTTTTTCACACAGGAGCTTTTGCACAAGAAAACTTTTACACAGGAAAGCTTTTACACACAGAAACTTTCACACACAGAAGCTTTGTACACCGAGAAGTCTTACACAGAGGAGCTTTTACGCACAGACGCATTTACACAGAGAAGCCTTTACACAGAGAAGCCTTTACGCACAGACGCGTTTACACAGAGAAGTCTTTGCACAGAGGAGCTTTTGCACACAGAATCTTGCACACACAGACGCTTTCACACACACACAGGAGGTTTTACAAACAGACAACTTTACGGCGCACAGATTTTTTACACAGAGCAGCTTTTACGCAGCGAAGCTTGTACACACAGGGGGCTTTTTTACACAGAAGCTTTTACATAAGGTTTTTTAATACACAGAAGCTTTTACACACAGAAACCTTTACACACAGAAGCTTTTACACACAGAAACTTTTACGAAGGTTTTACACACAGAAGCTTTTAACACAAAAAAACCTTTAAACAAAGGAGCTTTTACACAGACGGGTTTACACAGAGAAGTCTTTACACACGGAGGCGTTTACACAGGAAAGAGTTTACACGGAAGCGTTTACACAGAGTAGTTTTTACACAGAGAAATCTTTACACAAAGAAGTCTTGACACAGAGAAGCTTGCACACACAGAGGCTTTTACACACAGAAGCCTTTTACACAGAGCGGCTTTTCCACAGAGGAGCTTTTACACAGAGGAACTTTTACACAGAGAAGCTTGTACACTCAGAGGCTTTGACACAGAGAAGTCTTTTACACAGAGAAGCTTTTGCACACAGAAGCTTTACACAAACAAAGCCTTAACACAGAGGAGCTTTTACAGACAGAAGCTGGTACGCAAAGAAACTTTCGCAAACAGAAACTTTTAGACACAGAGCGCGTTTTACACAGAAGATTTTACACACAAGAGCTTTTACACCAAAAACCTTTACACAGAGAAGTTCTTGCCCACAGAAGCTTTTACTGCCAGAAGCTTTTATGCAAAGAAACTTTTGTACAGAGAAGTCTTTACCCATCTTTTATCATGTCTCATTTTTCATGATCATTTGCCATCTGTCACCTTCATATATATCTTCGTTTTCATGCTCTTTTGGTCAGCTCCCTCTGTCGTTTAATTTTCATTTCGTTCTGTCCGTCCACGCTTCGTGCTTGCTCCCTCTGCGGCGAAGCAAACTAAACGAGAACGCAGAAATAGATAGCGACTAGACAGATGGGATAGAGTTAATTACATTAACAGAAATAGCGACTAGAAGACTGTAGGCGTAGCTGACACAGCATGCTGTGGTGAATCGTGGCCCCTGATACCATCAGTGCGCACGATGTTTAAGTAAAGATCTTACGTCGATTTCGTGCAGAGCACAGCTGGCCACACCCCAAGATTTTCAAGAAAAGGCGTGCTGTGTGCCGTCTTGCTTTTGGGTTCTCTGGCCCACCTTGTTTTTCATTTGTTCTTGGTTGTTTTTCCCGAGAGCGTCTGAGCGCAGGGTTCTTCCAATAGTGGGGGTCTGTAAAACATCTTCTCATCTTCACATCTTCTCTCACATCTGCTAATCTTCACATCTTCTCTCACATCTGCTCATCTTCACATCTGCTCATCTTCGCATCTTCTCTCACATCTGCTCATCTTCACATCTTCTCTCACATCTTCTCCCACATCTGCTCATCTTCACATCTTCTCTCACATCTGCTCATCTTCACATCTTCTCTCACATCTGCTCATCTTCACATCTTCTCTCACATCTTTTCTCACATCTGCTCATCTTCAAATCTTCTCTCACATCTTCTCTCACATCTGCTCATCTTCACATCTGCTCATGTCCACATCTTCTCTCACATCTGCTCATCTTCACATCTTTTCTCCTTTCTCTCTCCCTTTTCTCTCTCTCGCCTTCTTTATCTTTCTCTCTTAAGGCCGAGGGTGGTGCCGGCGGCGAGTCACGAAACGTCAACCCTTTCGCACGAAATGAGGGTCGATTGTCAAAAACTGAGGAAAAATTGTGATTTACTTGTGCCGGACTTGTCTGTGTGTCAAAGCGTCTGTGTGCAAAAGCGCGTGTGTGTAAAAGCCTCTGTGTGTAAAAGCGTCTGTGTGTAAAAGCGTCTGTGTGTAAAAGCGTCTGTGTGTAAAAGCTTCTGTGTGTAAAAGCCTCTGTCTGTAAAAGCGTCTGTGTGTGAAAGCGTCTGTGTGTAAAAGCATTTGTATGTCAAAGCGTCTGTGCATAAAAGCATCTGTGTGTAAAAGCGTCTGTGTGTAAAAGTGTTTGTGTGTAAAAGTGTTTGTGTGTAAAAGTGTTTGTGTGTAAAAGCGTCTGTGTGCAAAAGCGTCTGTGTGCAAAAGCGTGTGTGTGTGTAAAAGTCTCTGTGTGTAAAAGCGTCTGTGGGTAAAAGCGTTTGTGTGTAAAGCGTCTGTGTGTAAAAGCGTCTGTGTGTAAAAGCTTCTGTGTGTAAAAACCTCTGTGTGTAAACGGGTCTGTGTGTCAAAGCGTCTGTGTGTAAAAGCGTCTGTGTGTAAAAGCGTCTGTGTGTAAAAGCGCTTGTTTGTAAAAGCGTCTGTGTGTAAAAGCGCTTGTGTGTAAAAGCGTCTGTGTGTAAAAGTCTCTATGTGTAAAAGCGTCTGTGTGTAAAAGAGCCTGTGTGTTAAAAGTCTCTGTGTGCAAAATCGTCTGTGTGTAAAAGCATCTGTGTGAAAAAGCGTCTGTGTGTAAAAGCTTCTGTGTGTAAAAGCGTCTGTGTGTGTAAAAGTCTCTGTGTGTAAAAGTGTTTGGGTGTAAAAGTCTCTGTATGCAAAATCGTCTGTGTGTAAAAGTCTCTGTGTGTAAAAGTGTTTGGGTGTAAAAGTCTCTGTGTGCAAAATCGTCTGTGTGTAAAAGCGTCTGTGTGTAAAAGATTCTGTGTGTAAAAGCGTCTGTGTGTAAAAGCGTCTGTGTAAAAAAGCGTCTGTGTGTAAAAGCGTCTGTGTGTAAAAGCTTCTGTGTGTAAAAGCCTCTGTGTGTAAACGGGTCTGTGTGTCAAAGCGTCTGTGTGTAAAAGCGTCTGTGTGTAAAGCGTCTGTGTGTAAAAGCGTCTGTGTGTAAAAGCTTCTGTGTGTAAAAGCCTCTGTGTGTAAACGGGTCTGTGTGTCAAAGCGTCTGTGTGTAAAAGCGTCTGTGTGTAAAAGCGTCTGTGTGTAAAAGCGCTTGTGTGTAAAAGCGTCTGTATGTAAAAGTCTCTGTGTGTAAAAGCGTCTGTGTGTAAAAGAGCCTGTGTATAAAAAGCGTCTGTGTCTAAAAGCGTCTGTGTCTAAAAGCGTCTGTGTGTAAAAGCGTCTGTGTGTAAAAGCTTCTGTGTGTAAAAGCGTCTGTGTGTGTAAAAGTCTCTGTGTGTAAAAGTGTTTGGGTGTAAAAGTCTCTGTATGCAAAATCGTCTGTGTGTAAAAGTCTCTGTGTGTAAAAGTGTTTGGGTGTAAAAGTCTCTGTGTGCAAAAGCGTCTGTGTGTAAAAGCGTCTGTGTGTAAAAGTCTTTGTGTGCAAAAGCGTCTGTCTGTAAAAAAATCTGTGTATGAAAATTTTACAAAAATACGATGCAAACTATTGTCTTGTACTAGTCATATATTGTCTTGATACTACTCTTCTCGTCTGCCTATAGTACATCTTTATCATATTATCTTGTAATATAGTGTCTCCATACTAACAACAGAAGACTCTGCTCCTCTACGCTCTCGGGCCATCCGTCGTCTAGTGGAAGAATTGCACTATCCATATCCAGTGAAAACGGGAACTTCCAACAGGGAAATCATCCATAACAATCTCCATCTGTGGGATATCCATTCCATTTGATGGGTCAAATCTCCAGTGGTTCTCTTTCCAATGCATGGCCCAGTTGCACAGCTGCGGCGGCGCTACGAGACCAAAGCTGGCGCCGTGTTCTCAACCCATCATTCATCCAGCGGGTCAGTGAAGCGATGTGGTTAAAACAATGCCATTTTTACCACTCACTTGGGAATGGTAAACATACCACCTATTTATGGTGATTTGGGGGATGGTAAACATGGCATTGTTTTAACCACATTATGTCAAGATTGATGTAAGTGGATCTAATTGGATGAAGGCCTTCTGACGAAGCCTCACTCCGAACGAAGCCATCACCAGAAAGCATTCGTTCAACAAGATGAGATATTCTGTTCATGTACAGCAGCTCATGTTATCATAATTGGACTTTGTTCAGAGGTATTTGATTCACTCAATTCTCAATGTCAACATGTGTGCAGTTCTTTCCTGCAACAAGGTGATGAATCCATATTCTCCATCTTCCTCTATATATGTGGCAAACGTGGCTCGCAGATGTTGTAGTTTTCATAATGTCCTGCGGGCGGTTTTGTTTTCTTGTGCCCTTTCTGGCAGCGCTGCTGGTTGCTGGCGAAGAAAAAGTGGATGGTCCTGTGATCGGAGACTTGCTTTCGTTGCAGCAACTTCAACAGCTGGCAGATCACTATGGGTGGGTTCCTAAAAGGGGGGTCCCCAAAACCATAGGTTTCAATACTAAAATTGTCTATAAGGTATATATATATATATACTGTATATAATTTGGATGATTTCAGTTGGTGGAAGTCGTTTGTTTCACGACGGGCTAGGTCTCAAAAAGTACTCTGGAGGTGCCCCCAAAAAGTTTGTGACCGGCCCAGAAATTTTAGGTGATTGAGAGACTACGTCGTACGTCGTATTGAAAAATGTTTGCATCCTAAGAGAGATCCTAAGAGAGATTAAATATATACCGTATTTCTGATTTTGGATATTTTGATTTTGGATATTTTGGCACTGGCTCACTGGTCTCATATCCAATTCTTTGCTTTTTCCAGACAGGCATGCACAGGAATCCATTGGTTCCAAAGCTGATTTAAGGGAACATTTACATACATTTACAGGACACCCCTAGGTTTGAGTGTCAAATCTATGGCTTCCTCGCATCCCTTAAGAATCATTGCATCATACAAAGCCCCACATTTTTTGTTGGAAAATCTATGGTTTCCGGTTAAGATTTTCCCTTAAACCAATCCATTGATCATACGTCGGCTTGCTGGTCCTGAGGAATCGATTTGGGAACCACCTTTTCCTGCGTCTCGGCAGCCTCGGCATGTCCAAGGTTCTAAGGACGAGAAAGACCAAACCTTTTTGGTTTCGGGGTGTGTTTGAAAGTCAATGGCTTATTATTTACATATTGTTCTTCTATACTGCAACAACCTGGTTTTGATGTGTATATTATATATATATACTATGCGATATATGTATATATATATGTTGTCTATATATATATATATATACATATGCATATATGCATATACGCTAATGTTTGGTCCTTGGACGTTGCACAAAGACGGTGGCCCAAAAGACTCTCACAGCCATGGAGCGCGCCTGGGACAGACCAGTAACTTTTGCATGTTTGGGATAGGTTGAAACCTGAAACCACTAGTTTAAAGAAGTGCACATATTCCCATATTCCCAAGAATCATACTTCGTCAACATTATTTGCCTCCGGTGTCATCAAACATGGCTTGCTGGAAAAAATCCTCAGCTATAGTTCGATGATTTTCCCAGCTATGACCCTCCATTTGCAGATGATTTTCCCATAAAACATTCCAAAGCCGCTGTATGATTCTCCCAGCTCTAATTCTCCATGCCGACTTCAGGGCCCTTCCCATTTCTTGTGTTTTCCGATGGGTCCGGCCCTTCCTAGCCACGAGGCGTGGGCATCGTGGCTCCTCACGGCTTGGTGGAGATCATCCCGGGGCCTTCGGGGCAGCGGCTGCTGCCCTCGCAGGTCGCCTTTGAGGAAGATGGGACCGTGCTGGTGGGCGAAGCCGCGTTCCTTGGGAAAGATCTGGGGATTTGAGGGCGAAGCTGGAAAACCATGGGATTTATTCAGCTTTTAATGTGGATTGATGGATAGTGATCCATGTCTTATGGCAAATCTCATGGGACATTTCTGGTTTTAAAATGGTTTTATTAAAGAAGTTGTAAGATGAACATGGTATGCAGATATGGTATGGCGAGTTGTTATGGGAAAAGCATGATTTAAACCATTGGATCTTCATGACTAGTGACCTATGTTTTGGCCGAACCCATGTGGATGGCAGGGTGATGGTTACTTCTGGCCAAGAATATGGGCACCCCAACAGAGCCACTAAAGGCTGATCATTTTTGGGATTTCTGGGCGCCATGGCCCGTTTGAAAATGTGATTGTCACTCATATGAGCAGGAACCATGGGGAGATAAAGCCAAGAAAGTCCGGGCGTTTAGGCTGCAAACATCAGGTGATGGAACACAATGGTGGTTGTGGTGGTGATAAATGGAGCGAAAGCAAAAGGTACCAAAAGGTTTGGAGGTTTGTTATCCAATTTTATCTATGGTGACAGGCCCCAACAATGCCCCAACAATCTTCATCTCTTTTTAGCAACTGGGTACTAGTTATGGCTAGTCGGAATGCTGCATGGTTATCTAAGTGGGTCTTCCGGTGGTGCCGGTTGCTGTTCTTACCCAAATCATCTGAATAGTCTGGAGATCTAGTGGCTATGAAGCAACCATGCATCTTCAAGACTTCTTTTGTGTAGCTTTGAGAATTTCCAGATTATCACCCTTTGTGTCTCCTGGCATTGTTTGCCTTCTACCCGCATTTTCGCTGTTTCAATATGTTTCAATATGTTTCAATGCAATCGCTGAAAATGGATGCAACATCCTTATCATAATTTTTGCGCGGTCAAGAATATAATTTAATGAATTGCTTGGGTGCTGGTGCAATGCAATGCTGCATATTATTTCATATGATAAATTCACTTGCGTTGGGATCATGTTTTCGGAGTTGTCTCCCACTTGTCTTCCACTTGTGTCTCACTTGTATCCTGCTTTTTCCTGTCTGCAGCGGAATTTGGGTGGAATAATTTCCTTTTTCTCGATCCCACTTGTCATCACTTGACTCTCATGTCGTTGCTTTTGTCTCTATGCTGTCCTTGGGAAGGAAGAATCTCATTTGTCTACCCCTTGTCTCCCACTTGTCCCGGGTTCAACGCTGATATATAACGTACATCTCACCTGTTTGTTTCCATTGGTAACAGCTGTTTTGCATGTGCATCCAAAGACCCGACTTTCATATGCAGTATAGCAACCACCCGAAAAAGCAAGAAAAGTTAAAATTAAACATCCAAAATAGCGATGCTTTACTTTGCTATCTTTTTTGGGTGGTACCCTCCGGGAAACTAATATCGAGGTGGAAAAGCCATGAAAAGCCATCATGTGTAGATCATTTTTCGATCGGGAAACCCATGGATTTTCCACATCTATGTCGTTTACCCCAGGGTAATACAAGGTGGTGCCCCATCCCCCACAGTTATGTTTACCGACTGAGCTAACGGCGGCCTTCTCCCCAGTAATAAGCGGGGTCATAAATTGATAAACCATGATAAACCCATAAATCCCATACTATATTGCTATAAGTACTTATAAGTATCATAAACCATAGTTATTTGTTTTTTTTGAGTTACAATCCAACTTAGCTAACTATGGCTATACCCAGGACCTCAGCCGGCGCGAGCCAGCGCATCTTCGATGTGAAACGGTTGCTGGGTCGAAGCTTCAAAGACACAGCGCTGCAGAGATGCTTGGCATCGCCGGCGGAACGGTGGATGTCACCAGGGATGGGGAACTAACCATTCGGGATTTCACCTTCAACATTATAGGATATACCCTTCAACATTAGGATATACCCTCTGGTAAACTAACATAGCTATGGAAAAATCACCATTTTTAATAGGTAAATCAACTATAAATGGTCCATTTTCAATAGGTATGTTAAATTACCAGAGGGTAATATAACCAACCATGTGCGAAATAACTCATCAACCAGTTGGGATATTACTAACCAACCACCAGCCATTTCAGGGAATAGAAGCAACCAACCAATTTTTCATTTGCCTATCTCTCCCTGTTTAACCATCAACATTCGGGATTGATAAGATTTGATGGGATACCGAACCAACCAAAAATCATATATATGTGAGTGTCTGAACGGTATACCCCCCATTTATCACCGCCAAAGAATAGGGAACATGATGTTTATCAGATTATCCATGAAAATTTTGGGGCAGCCGATTTTCCAGACAAAGTCACGGAAAAAGGTGGAACATGGAACAGTGGTTTGGGATGATCCCGATGAGTTTAAAAAAAAATCAGGATGAAACTACCAATGGGTAACAGTAATGGTTGGTGTTCTAATGGATTGCACTAAGGGAAAAAACATATGGAAAAATTAGAGGAACGCCTAAGAAACCCTAGGATGAATGGGTTTGGGTCAACCGTGGGTAATTTAACACCATTTAAGACCGTAATCTTTGCCATGCAAGGGGATATAAACAATCTAACCACTTGACAAGTGAATTGATTGATATTCTTTATGTACTATGTATCGCAAATGAGGACGGAGTAATGTGATAACTTTGTGTGCATGAATGCGTACCAGTACAAAGAAATGAAGGGTATCCAAGATGGCCGACGATTTCAGATCCATCGTACGTGGGACCGCGATCCTCGATTCAGGAGCAATTAGTGGAAGACCCTCGTGTTCGATGGGAAAAGAGATGATCTTTTGCAAACAATCCTTGGATGATTCGAATGATTGGAATGGTGCTGATAGACGAGATCTTTGAACATGTGGTTGCATCATGTTGAGTGGTGAGACTGTAACCATTCTAACATCTGTAACCCTCAGATTTCAGGAGATGTGACTTGGCGCAGGGGCCAGGATAGGTGATTAGGTTGATGTTTGAAGGCATGTGGGAGCATCAAAATCCCCAGCTAAGACTTGACTCTTGCGCGATTTCGGATCCAAAGATGAGCGACATGATGTATGAGTATGTGGATGAACATGGAAGAATGGGATTTCTGTAATATCCTACAATAAGTGGGGGAAACAATGGTTTCCTGCATTTTCTTTATCCCAATGCAATACCATCCAATACCCCGTTGTCATGGGAAGAAATATCGCAAGGAAGCGGGGGATTAGGTCAAGGAAAGAACAGGATTAAACCGATTGATCTCACCAGGAATTTTGGGCATGAGTTGATGCTTTTAAGACCAAAGACCATCAAAGACCCAACTTTTTAGGAGCTATTAAATCCGACTTATATGCCATTGGGCCATTGGGGTTGGCAGCCATCAGGAGATATCAAGAACTTCCCTTTCAAAGTGGTGGCTGATTCAGATGGCCACTTTGGCGGGCCATGGTGACTGGGGGTTGGCTCCAACCGGGGGTCCTACGGTAATCCAAGATGGCAATGAGATGCAATGGGAGATCCCAAGTCAATTGGCATTTCAGCCTCTGGTTATGACTAACAGTTTGCGAACTTGAACATGGCCATAGAAATAGTGGATTTACCATGATTTACCCAGCTACAAAATGGTGATGTTCCATAGTTTGTTTACCAAAGGGTAGCATATTTAAATGGACAAGCATCTATTTTTTACCATGGGATTGTCCATTGCCATTTATGATTACAAGAGGGTCCAGTATCACTTAAAACACTGCATGACAGGATGTGGACATCAGATGGCAGTGGGTTTTCATTCCTCTGATTTTGGCGGGGGGATACTACTTTAAGGGCCTCGAAGATTCTCCAGATGTGTTCGATCAGGATGGATCCAGTCTGGATGACCAGGATGGATCCGTGCTCCCCGTTGCTGACAATCTGCTGGGGACAAACCTGTAGATTCAGACAGATTCCGAGGTTCACACTTTGAGCCATGCAAAATGGCAGAGTTGCCATATGTTGCCATTGCCATGTCTGGTTGCCATGTTGCGTTTTCCAGTTTTCGAAAGCCCACCAGCCTTTCCCAGCCCATGTCCAATGACATCCAATGAAAAAATAATAAAACATATATGGGTGGGTCAAAACCTATTATTATCAAATTTTAGTGGGATGAACATCCATTTATCATCATTTATCAACTATGACTTGGGGTTCACATCACGGTGCCAGGCTTTTGATCCATAGCCAGGCATCACTTTCTAGCCGATTCTAGCCGCCGCCTCGAGGCCGTGCTGCCGTGAGCATCACTGTGAAGGGCAAGGCAGTCGTGAAGAGACCGGAGGAGACACTCGACCAGCTTCAAAAAACCGCTGCGAACCGTGGAACTGATGATCAATGACCAGTGGATGTTTATATCATTACCTGATGTAATTACACACACACACATATATATATATTATATGAGGCTATGAGTCTATGAGTCTACTCTATATGAATCCACTGATTTGTCAACATTGTCCTTATCAATAATCGCCATTAATGGGGCGTGGTATACCCCATCTTCAGAAACACCTCCCCCCCCTATATATATATATATATATATGCGCACATATCTCTCGAGCTTGTTGTCCAGAATGTTCTAGAACAGTTCTGCCTTAGAACTGCAATGTTTCCAGCCTAACTAATTATTTTGTTTGGACCATTGTCAGCACATCCTCGAGTTGAACACAATTGTTGGACCATTCCCAGTAGGAACATCATGGACATATCTCAAACAAAGGGATAGGATAGGGCGATGACTGGTCGGTTCACGTGAACATGTTATACCAAATGCACACACACACATGGATGTTACATCTATAGAATTTGTTTCCCCTATACTTTTAAATCCTACCTAACACAGTGATGATTTAACTTTTCTATCTTTTGTGGGTTCCTATAACTTAATTTTGACAGCCTTGTCCAGCGCTCAGGATCTCATCCCTGCTCCTGGCTCAGTTGAAGCAGCGCGCCAGCGAGCACTTGGGACGGGAGGTGCTGCACGCCGTCATCAGCGTCCCGGCCTTCTTTGACGATGCCATGCGCGGCTCGGTTTGCGATGCCATGCTGGTGATTTTGGATGATCTGGGTTGAGTTGGGACTGGGTTGGGATTGGGTTGAGATCCACGTTTTCTCTACTTCTTATTCTTGGGGCGGTGGTGATCGCAGTTTTGGTGTGCATTTCTGGTAGAAGTTGTGGTGTTCTTGACGTTTTTCATCGTTTTTCCCACTTTTGATTCGCTTTCCATATTTGTTGGCGATGTGCGGTTGTTTTGGATGGTTGCTTTTGGGGATTCATTATCAACTTCTTGAATGACGGATGCTGAAACTCATGTTGTGGCCAGGAATCATTTGCACTCTCATAGGGTTTGAACATGTGTGAACCAAGAAATAGTAAGAATACAAATGATTTGAATGTTCGCAAGACCCACTGTGAGAGAAACAGTTTCAAAAACCGACAAAACATTCTTACATTGTTTTGAAAATTGTTTGAAATTGTTGGAAAATTGTTTGAAAATTGTTTTCTTTAAAAACAATTTGATGAAAATTGTTTAAACATTGTTTTTATCAAAAAGGTATTTCCAAACAATTTTATGAAAATTGTTTTGACATTTTTTTTAATTCAAAATATGTTCAGATCAATTTGACGAAAATTGTTTAAACATTGTTTTTTATCAAAAAATCTTTGAAAACATTTTATGAAAATTGTTCAAACATTATTTTTATCAAAAATATCTTTGAAACAATTTTATGAACATTGTTTAAACATTGTTTTTACCACAGATCTTTGAAGGCAATCTTTATGAACAATGTGTGAACATTGTTTCTTGAATACACACTATTTTAGAACAAGCGTATGAGCATTGGTTTCTTGTCCTTCACCACAACACAGTACATTTGTTTGATAGCTTTTCCTTAATCAAAACATGTTCAACAGTTTCACTTTGTTCTTCTTATATGATATCATTCACCATTTCGCATAGTTGTGATCCACTATCAGAGCTGGTTTTTGCAATTGCATCTGCGCCATGAGCTTTGCAAGTTTCATTGAAGCTGTATTTGATGGATTTTTTCAATTCATGTTGACGGTCTTGGACCTGGTTGTGCGTTGTGACATGATCGTGTTGCCGCTGGTGTTGTCACCTGGTCTTGATCTCCTAGATGCAGTTTTGGGCTCAAGATTTTCAAGTGTCTAAATTGCTGTCGCCTTCATGTCGACTCGCTACTGTTACCTCTGTCTGATGGACGCCTTGTTTACTCCGTGGCTCGATGACCCTGATGTGGCACCAACAAAGACGCTTGCAAAAGATTGTCGTTGTGATTGGGAGCTTTCGATTCATGTCCCGCTCTCTCCCCCAAGCAGCCCATCCTTGCCCAAGGCGAACCGTCGCAAAAAAAAGTTTGAGAAAAAGGAGAAGAGCTCAGACAAGCAGTGAAGGCCATGGATGATCAACATTTAGTTGAGATTGCCAGGCAATATGGGGGCAACCTGCCAGCTCCAGAGGCAGCTGGCCTCAGGCCCGGTTTTGGCATGCAGCCAGTTCCTGACGACGAGGCTGGCCCCAGGCCGGGTTTGCCTCTGCGCCGTAGAAGCAAAGGCGCTTTGCTACGATTGCTCGGAACGAAGCAAAACTGTCAGACTTTGAGATCCGCAGCATTCTGAAAGCAAGCTGCCCACGCCAATAGCACTGGCCGAAATCGCACCAAAGATTTTGTAACACCAGATTCTTCAAGTGCAAAAAGGCAGGCCCCAAGAGGAAAAGGCAAGTGGAAGCAATGGACCCCAGATGCGGTTCTCAGAGCGGCTTTTGCCAATGATACGACATGGCGCCGAACAAGTGGATGGAGGCAGCGCCAGTCATGCCGCCAATTGCAAGTTTTTTGCCTCTGAATTGATCATGCGGGGACAAAGGGATGGCTTGTCCAAATTCCTCGAGGAGGCGCTGAAAGATGTTGGGATGTTTGATTTTGCGCTGACCAACATGATCTTTGATGAGACGGAGCTTGAAATAAATCTGAAGTCCTTTGGACTCGGGTCCTGGTCGATCCTTGCTTCTCATGCTCAGATGACTTTCTGTGTCAATGACCAGACGCATGATTTCGATTTTATCCGCGCACCTGCGGCCCTTCCCAACAAACAGGCAACCACTATGTGGCCCGCACTCTGCGCAGGCGAGGGGGGCCTCTGGCCGGGTTTGTCCGCAGTGGCAGCCAGGGTCAGGCGGTGCTGGTTACCTGCGACGCGGCTCCAGCGAACATCAAGCTCCTCTCGCACCTGCAGAGTGTTCTGGATTCTGGAACACAGGACGTTGCTTCTCCCGCCTTGTGTCTCCAACACAGAACGGGGAATGTCATCGAGCGAGTCACTAAGCTGTTGGGCGTGTTGACCGGAAGTTTTTCTGTGGCCAAGACATTAAACGTTCCGGCAGCGTTGTGAAAAGGCTCGCTGGTCACGTTCGAGACGTTCCTTGCAGAGAATCTTCAGGTCTTTGACCGGGTTCCTCCAGGTGTTGTTGAAGAGTGGGCCGCTGGGCAGGCATGTGCCAAAGCTATCTTTAAGCTTGTGCTGCAAGGGCGCGACGGCGACAAAGCCAGCGGCGCCTGCCAAAGATTTTTGGATTTCTTCGCAAGCCCTTGGACAGGACCGACTGCTGGGGAGGGCTCGGGCCAGTGACTTTGGGGAATTAACGGACGCTGGAGCAGTTGTTGCGTGCGTTTTTTTAGTGATGCAGTTTCAAACCAGGTTTGATAGGTGGTAGAAGCGTCAAAGAATAGATGATGGATATGATTTAATATATATATATGGTATGAAGATGTTTTTTCATATGTGCATACTGATACATATTCTGTATTCTATTCATGTTATGAAGAAAAAATGGTTGCAAGCCAATCCAACAGCCATAGGGCAGGTGGAGAGCGGCAGGGACCGAGCAAAGGACGTGGCAAGGGCAAAGCTGCCAAAGGCGCAATGGAGAGAGCAAACAGACATGCATGGAGATCGTGACGACGCGCTTGATGACGGAGGTTCTTCGCAGTCGGACGAGGACTCTGTTGCTGATGTAGACGATGCTGAGGTTGACTTGTCGCTTGACCCTCCTCCTTCCTGCCCGCCTCTGGCGTCGGTTGCTCCACGACGCCGCAACGTGAGACGCGGGCATGTTTGGGGCTCCAGCCCAGCATTTCAAATCGCTCCCATCCATGCAGCAGGCAGTGCGGAGCCCACAGGATTTGGTGCGATTTGCGGCATGCACCATGACCTCGCCAACCCAACGCTGCAGTGCAAAAAAGCCATGTCTTGCGGGGGCCTGACCCCTGAGGAGTGCAAGCTTCGTTTGAAGCGATGGCTTGTTGCCGGGTTGGATTCCGGCAGGTGGGGCGCCAACAAGGGTCAGAGCCATGTTAGCATGGGCGGCGTTCAGCTGTCCCATTTCGCTGAAGGCCTGAGTTTGGAAGACTTAGACAGAGCGGTGAGCCATCAGGAATAAAAAAGGTTGCTTTTGTCAGCCTGCCTCAGCAGCCGTCAGCGTGCCCACAATCAATCACATGACATGTGATATATTTATAAATATTATATATATATATATATGTTTGTGCTTCAATTTGTACACAGCAAATGTTTGTAACAAAAATGGTAACGATTAATAAATAGACTAGATAAATACTTAAGAAAATCATAAATAACTTATATATTTTGATAATATTTTTACTTTTTGTCAAAACAATTGTAGAATGTTTTGTTTTTTATTTTCCGTACACAAAATCAGCTTTCCGTACACAAAACCTACTTTTCCGGACACAAAATGTACTTTTCCGTACACAAAAACCCGTCAAAACATTTTGAAAAATAATTATGAACATATATAAAATCATTTCTCTTTTTTTACAAATATATTCCAAATATTTACAAATATATCCCAAATATTGTTCTAATTATTTTTAACATGTTTGCATTTATGTCACTGCTTTTGTGAGCGCGTCAAGATTGTTTCTTTGCTTGTCTCGCCTCTGGCGTTGTTCACACCGCGCTCCTTGTAGCCCTGTAGGCCCAAATAATTGACGTGAAATAATCTTTGGAGATTTTCTCGCCATGTCTCCTGACGCGGAGTCAGCGTCTTCTTCTTCGTCTTCGAGCTCAGATGAATCCGGCGCTCCTCCACCTCCGCCTTCGTCTGTGGGTTCGTCGGGTGGCGCTTTGAGGGTGTCCTATACTTCCAGAAAGTCTCGTCACTGCGCCCTGTGCAATGCCAAGTCCACTGACTAGTCACCTCTGGAGTATACAGAGGAAATTTTTCCAGAAGTGCAGGGAAGAATCCCGTGGAGATCTTACGAGAAGGTCAAAATGGATGACGGAGAGCAAGTTCGTGTGCCCTCTGGAAAGCTTTGCTTGATTTGCTTCAACGTCTACAGAGCCCTCGGTTTCTTTGCCGCATGCTTATCATCTTGCCTCTGGCGTTGTTTCCAGCTTTTCACATTCAGACAGGTTTCTATGGATGGAGGCAGCTTTTGTTTCGTACAGTGTAGTAAGTAATTTGTTACTGAAACTGTAAATGTAAATGTTTTCTTCATTGCAGCTCAGGTTTGCAGGCCACGTGCAAGAAAGTTGAAGACTACTTCAACTGGGTCTCCGTGAGAAAAATCAGGCCGAGCATGTTTCGTTCCTAAATGCAAGAAAGGATTGGATCAAGCAGCACAATGAAGGAGGACCCGACTGCAAGAGATTGCAGAGCAAGAAGTCCCTTCTTGAAGCCAAGAAGACTCTCAACGTTGTGCGCAACGTGGGCGGTCGGTTTATCGCTCCCAAGAAGAAGTTTGTGGATAAGGACAATTGGAATGAAAAAGAGCACGGAGTCTTGGACCCAAACAAGGTCGTGACCGAACATATTTTTGGCAAAGAAATTCAGGGCTGCTGGATCTCGAAAGGGGAGAAAGGTGAATACGATTTTGAAGAGTACCAAGACACCGCTCTGCAAGAAAAAGAGCAATTGCACAATTCAGCAGATGCTCCCTTTTCTGAAGAAGCTTTGGGCCACAAACGCAAAGCCATGGACGAGTTCATGGAAAGCTCCACTGCGAGAGACAAGGCCAGCGTGGAAGGCCAAGAATTGTCCATGGAAGGTTTGCTTGCAGCCATCCAAATGGGACATGATCCATCTTCTGGTTCCACTGGTGCCGCCTACATGGAAAGGAGTGACCAGTTCCTTCGGTTGACTGCTTGTTTATAGGAACGAGCTGCAAGGACTTGTCCAGAGCCAACAGCTACGTAGACAAAAGCAAACTGGTTTTGTCGCAGGAAAGCAGCAGAGGAGCCTCTGCGCAAACCTTTCGAGGCATGCTCAGTTATTGCCAGGGTCACAGACCGACGTTGGTTTTGTTTGAAAACGTGGGCGCAATAGATGACAAAGTGTCCAGCAACACTGAAACAAACCTTTCACTGCTCATGAACGCCATGAAGGATCTTGGCTATGAGGGCCAAAAGATCATGACTGATGGCCAGGAATTTGGGCTTCCTTGCCGACGTCAAAGGCTCTATGTGATGTTCATCGGCAAAGAAAGCAGCAAGGTAGACACACAGACCAAAACCTTGAGCCAGATCTTTTCAACTTTGCGAACTTTGGTGACTTCTTGCATGCGGTCGCCGCCTTGTTCCAAGGAGTGCTTGCTGAGCCCGTCAGACCCAGATCACTTGGAACTCTTGTAGAAAGCTTTGGGGGAGCACCAGCAAAGCGCGGAAAAGGCTGCCGAGAAGAAAGCACCTCCACAAACATGGATTGACAGACACATGGCCTATGCAGATGATTTGGGTTATCGGTGGGGGTGCCGTGGATGAGGAGCTGGCAGGCAATAAATGGTACCAAACTTTGTCCAAGCGGGAGGCAGATGCCTTGGTTTTGTCTAGGGTTGCCGATCCAACGTGTGAATTTCGCAATGTGAGCCAGAGCGTGGGCCGTATCAACTCAGTTAGCCAGATTGACAACAAAGGAAAAGAGGTCGCGCCGACCATGTTGCCTGGACAATTGACGTGGGTTGAGTCCCAACAGCGCATACTCACAGGCTACGAGGCGTTGATCTGCCAAGGTTTCCCTATCTTATTATATCAGGCAAAGGCTCGAAGTTTGCCACCCGCTTGCAATTCGCAAAGCTTTCTGGCTGACATCGCGGGCAATGCGATGGCATTTCTGGCCATCTTCCAAGCCACGTTGGCCTCTGTGCCCTTGTTGCCTGCGCATGACAGTGAAGATGAGGATGATAATGGTGAGAATCAGGAGGAAGACGCGGCTGATGTTGAGACAGCTTTGGCCGCCTTGGCCCATTTGCAGAGATAGGCCTCTGGCCGGGTTTTGTACCAAGGTCTCTGGCCGCGTGTTGACTGGAAAGAAGTTGGGTGGATGGTTGATTTTTTTTTGTTCTTTCAAGGCCGGGTTTTTGACTTGTGATTGCCGCGTGTTGACTAAATAAATACTAAAGTCATATGATTCATATGATTGAGATCTGTAGACACAACAACATCCAACAATCCGTTGAAGTGCGAATAGTTCCTGTTGTTATTGTGGGTAGTTGTTAGAAAATGATCGCACTTTTTGAATGATAACAGAAAGTAAAACATGCAACAATACCGCATTTATGAATGCCTTGCGAAAGAACAAAACAGCGTCACCACAGAAAGAACGCACATTTTTCGATGCGGAAAAAATGAAAAATGTTTGTTTTAGATAACACAGCCGAAACATTTTCAAAACAAAACCAAATCTTCACATTCCAAACGATCATGAAAACTTTGAAACATTTTTTCTGAATATTTTTTGAAATTTTGAACAAGTTTAGAATATCTTAAAACAATTTTCCGAAAAAAACAAACAATATCAAAACAATTTAAAACAATTTTAAAACAATTTCATTTTATTTTCAAACAGTTTTAAAACAATTTCAAACAATTTTAGAACAATTTTCAAACAATTTTAAAACAATATTTATTTTTTCATTTTATTTAAAAATGGTCTCCGAACAATTTTGGAAATTTAAAACAATTTTAAAACAATTTTAGAAACAATTTTTAATAATTCACACAATTTTGGACATTCCCTGGGGGCTCCGGAACCTCAGCATTTCTAAAAACACCTAACAAATGATAGTATTTTGGAGGAGCAGACATATTTGATTTATATATTTGTTGAAGGGCTACCTGGTAGGCACCCATAGAGTTGCGTGATCCTGTTGATATTGCTTCATCATCTTCTTCCCTTTCTACCAACCCGCTTAATAAATTGATAGAAGCATCGTTAGTCCCTTACATCAGGTTTTGCCAGATCCTTAAATGGCTATCATGATCATGAATATTGACAAAAATTGCCAACCCAATGCCAGAATGTCAGAATGCCATAAACCTTTCATTTTCCAATGAGTTTCAATCTCATTTCGAGATCGGGAGAATGATAGAATGCATTTGTTTTAAAAAAATGTGTATATATCAGTATATATCATTGCAGCTAATTTTCCACACACACATACATACACACTGTATATATATAGTGTATATATATTGTATATATATATAGTATATATATATATAGTATATATAGTATATATATAGAGTATATATATATATAGAGTGTATATATATATATATATACTATGTATACAATATTGTGGGAAACCCAATGCCATAAACTTACCATTTGAGGATGGCAAACCTACCACCCATCCATGATTTCCGCCCTTTTTCAGGCACAGCCGTCAAGGTGGCCGCTGCGGGGGCGAAATTGGAGGTGCTGCGCATCATCAACGAACCCACTGCTGCAGCCTTAGCCTATGGCCATGGCGGCCATGGCCCATCAACGGCCAGGGAGCGGCTCGGTGACAACATTTTTGTGCTTTGTTGATCTGAAAATGTGGTCCGTTTTTGTAAGGTGAAGTTTTATTTCGATTGTGGTTAAATGTCCACCATGTTGATAATATAATCTATTGGGCACGTGCTTGTTCGTTGGCAAGTGCAACTTGTTGTGGCTTCGATTTCACAAATGGATAGTTTCGTAATACTTGGTAGCATATCGTTCAAATTACCCACACACCCACACACCGTTCTGCCTTGTTGGGGTGGTTAAGGGAGTTGCCGCAGATTTGTCCGCAACATATTCTGAGAGTTGTTGCTTCTTAGATCCATTTGTTGGCATGGCTTGAAGCTCTTTCGTGCTTTATTCTCACATATTCTCACTTTTCAGTGGTGTTGAAGCAAAGGACCTATATCATACAACGGAAAAGAGCAAGAAAAGGTATGAAAAGCTCACACACACAGATTGAATATATGGATCAGATAGATGTAGATACATCGAATAGATGCCAACACAGGTGCATTTGGATCCATACATCCATAAATCCATGAGTTCTTCTTTGCAACATGCACCTGTATACATCTATACTATTCTATACTTGTAGTATCTATAAAGTTCAATGTTCACAACAGAACAATATAGAACAATGGCCAAGAGCCAGATGGTTTCTTTGCGTTGGCACCAGGATCCTCTTAGTCTACGATCTGGGTGGCGGCACCTGCGATGATCCTTGGATGGGACAGGTGGTGAGTTGGGAGTAAAGCTGGGGCACCCCTCCAGCATCCTCCAGCTGGCACGGTAAAATGTTGATGTAATTGGCTCCAAACCCATCCAAATTCAAAACAAAGTTTTCCCTTGTTAGATGGTTTTGGCTCTCGATTCCCACCGGCCACGAGTTATCGTGGAGACCGGGACCAAGTTTAGAGGATTTGTGGAGATTTGGATGATTGGCGTCAAGGGTCGTGTATCTGGCAAGACCTCAAGGTCATTGTTGATTTTTGTTCAACTGCACATAAACTCCAGTGTCATCAGCTCCACGGCCTGCTGGAAACATTCCCCAGCTATAGTTCGATGATTTTCCGAGCTACAACATCCAGTTACAATCATTTGATTTTCGCATAGTTTCCCATAGTCATTTTGTACATGCAGATTTTTTTTGATACACACGCACACACACATATATAATATATATATATATATACAGTTCCCATAATTTTCCCATTAAAACCTCTGGCTAGGTCACCAGGCAGCGGCCAAGGTGTCCATCCTCCAACGAGAGGCCGATGGCTTGAAGGTCTTGGCCAGCAGCGGAGATCCACATTTGGGTGGTCGCTTGGCTGAGCGCTTGGCGAGCCATGGAGATGGTGCTGTTGGATGAAGAATTTGGGGAAAACATGGGATAAATATGGATGATTTATGGGATATGGATTAATAATGGATTAGTCATTGATCAATATGGATTATGGTTAGTAATTCAAGATGTTGATTTATGGATTCAATGATGGTTAACCAATGAATTATTGACATTGGAGATGGCTTCAACATTCAGCTCTAAATCGTGGTTAATCATTTTGAACTCAATACATGAATGGGATTAATATGGATTGATAATGGTGCTAATATTGGTTAACAATGATTGATCATGGTTAATATCTATATTATTATATCATATCTAATGGTTCATGGTTAACCATCACTGACATATATATATATAATGTGGCAAACCCAATGCCATAAACTCTTCCCAAAATAACCATAAATGGTTTATATAAACCATCCCCAAATTTGGTAGGTTGATTATTGGATTACCCATAAAATGTTCGCAAAGCAATAGGATTCATTCACCATCCCAAATTTGACATTTTTTGATGCATGGGATTTGTCCATGTCTGAGTTCGCAAAAGGCGAAAAAAGTTTCACGTGAGACCACCTTGAAAGATAAACGTTGGGTTCGCAGAAAGATGTGCGACAGTTCTTTTATTCGCGAAGAATGGCCGTTTGCAGATAACTAAATTTAGATCAACCGCCTATCATGATGACCGGAGAGTATAGACGTATTGAACCAAGCATGCTGATGATGATGATGATGATGATGGTGATGGTGATGTTTAGCCATGGCAGGGGGGAGTTTGTTGGAAGCCAGGAGAAGATTTTGATCAAATGATCGTGTCTCATTTGAGCAACGTCGCTCGACTGCGGGTGTGGGCTGAAATGGTTTGGGATCGGACTTCTGTCCTTTTACATGGGTCCCGGATATGTGCCCAGTTTGGGGTATCAAACATCCCTCTTATATATGCTGGTTGAGTGAAGTCTGAAGTTTCGTGGTGTTACACAGAGGACCTACTCAAACGTTTCAAATAAGGGCATTGTATCTAGGATACTAGTCAGATGTTTTCGCACATGGCGATGGGTCCAAATCTTTTATCTCATACTTGGAGGAGAAAGAAAAAAATATCAACCTGTAATCTGCCATCATTATCCATCATTTACAAGCCTTGTTGTGTGAAAATCAGGGATCCAGGGTTTTGGCATATGCATTCATGAGTTACAGGAGTTCTTGAGGGTTTCATACCCGCAACTTTCGCGTTACGATTGTGTGACAGTGTTGTTTTGACGAGATGTGTACTGAAGTGACTGAAACAAACAGAGAAATCAGAGAGTAAATAATATTATGATTATATATATATATGTATACAGTACACACACGGTCACGCGGAATCCATTTCTACACGTAGATCCACACGGTTCTACAAATCATAGTCATCATATGTGTGTTTATATTATAGTTTAAGAGATTTGGCGGTGTTCATCAATTTTCCCCACGGCGCTCTTGATTGAACCCGGTGCTTTCTTCCGGCGCACAGTTTTCAAGGCCTTCAAAAAGTTGGCGATGTTTCTTTGGACCCAGGCTGACTCACGGCGGGGATCATCAGGGTCACGTCTCAAAATTGCAGGTGTGAAGTAGGCATTTGTGCACACACATGTATACACATACTTGGTTAAACAAATCACTCTTTAACCTGAACTAAAGTTTTGTATATAATCATGGCGCAAGCCTGCCCTTGCAAATTTCCAACTTCCGGACTCTGGGTTTGTTGTACTGTATGTATATATGTAAATGCACACACATACACAGAGAGAGAGAGATATATATATATATATAGATATATATATATATATACATACCTGTAGAAATGGCAACATGCCTTGTTTCTGGCTATATCCCCTCCAGTTATTTTTTCCCCTGTTTTTCTATCCTTTCAAAACCCAGCTACACTTGCGTTCCATGAAGTTCTGATTTTCCAACCGCAAACCATCAGAATATGTTTTGGCAGCTCCATGTCCATGCGAGTTTTCAGCAGAGTATTTGCACCATTTGGCATTTGCTGTATTATAACATACGTTACCATCTACAAGAAAACCTCTAGTTTGGACAGGCCCCCCCATAAAATACAGCTTGAACATCCCGCATAATTCCAAATCCCAAACAAATTTCAGAAAATGCGGCCCTAGCTCAAAATGATTCTACCCCCCCAACATCGGATGGTTACAATCACTACTTGGGGGATCCCAGCTTCGGGCGAAAATCCCATGCTTCTGCCCATGCAAATAACCAGCCTTACACATGTGACTGGTGGTCAAATCATGTAGGAGTGCCTATTTTTCTATTTACTTCACCATGTGTTCATCGATTTTCTGGTTGGTGGTTTGGAACCATGGAATTTTATGACTTTCCATTCAGTCGGGAATGGAAAATCATCCCAACTGACGAACTCCATCATTTTTCAGAGGGGTAGGCTCAACCACCAACCAGATTATTATTAACCATCATTAACCATATAATAACCATATATTAACCACAATGGTAGGTCAACCACCAACCAGTTTTTCATGACGGTGAAGTTCTCCCCACGCACCGCGGCTGCGCCAGCCAGGCGCCTTGGAGCGGCTCCGCATCGAGGCTGAAAAGGCCAAGCGACGTCTGAGCAGCGTGCCGCAGGTGGCAGTGAAGCTGGAAGGAGCCCATGGCGATGGGCGATGGGGGGATGCTTATGGATGGCTATTGATATATTGATGGGTATATACATGTATAGCAACTTTGGTGATTTAACGTAGCTATTGACACTTGCCATTTATAGTTGATTTACCCATTAAACATTGTGATTTTCCATAGTTATGTTAGTTTACCAGAGGGTAGTTCTAATGTTCTATATGATATGTATAACTGTGTAATTGTATATTTGAGTTATGTAACATGTATATATGATAAAATACTAGGTGACAGTGACCAGTTGTTTGTGTTATATCTTTGAGGCTGCTATATATACTTTATATATTTATATATTATATTATATACAGAGATGTAGCTGATATACTATATACTATACATATATACATGTATATATATATATCTATATACATATAGGTATATGTATAGATATCCTGGGCATCCTGAGGAGAACAATGGTGGTTCCAGTATCAACCAATCAAGTAATGGTGCTTGGAAGGGGTTGCGTCCCGGCAGGATTTGCCAACGGAAAAGATCTCTCCGAAACATTGACTCGAGCACAGTTCGAGAAGCTCAACGACTCTTGGATTGTGGATTTAAATAAGGACATGCAGCAGGACATGCATCAAAATGATTCAAAATGTTCATGCCCTTCGGCCTTCAACCTTGTACACTGTAGATGGATTATTGTGCATGAGTGCATCCATGTTTTCTTTGAAACTCTTAAGCTTACATTTTGAGATTGTTTGGGTTACAGACAAACACCACGTAAAACATGGTAAAAGCAAGTTGGGTCCTTCACCAGTCAGGTTTTCACCGGCCCAGGATGATCTTTTTCAGAGAACGCTGGAGCCGGTGAAAACCGCGCTGAAAGATTCTGGACTGGCAAAGTCCGATGTGAACACGGTGATTCTAGCAGGTTCGGGCCGTTTCGTCCGGGCCGTTTCTTCCAGGAATGCCTGTTTTTTTTGACCTGGTGCATGAGGAAGCAAACCAGTGGGCCCTAAACCTTTCAATTTGTTAAACGTTGTTGGTTTCTTTATGTGTCATTAAGTATAGGGAATAGGGACCTGTTTACTTTCAGTTTGACTGATTGTCCATGCAACATAGGCTACTGTTTCGTAGGAAACCCGCTGGACATCCACATGTTCCATATGTTCTATTTCGCAAAGCCAGTGGTTGCTATCTCAGAATGGTGGACGTTTTGCAGGCGGTTCAGCTCGCATCCCCAAAGTGCAGCAGCTGTTAAGCGAGTTCTTTGATGGGAAAGAGAACCTTGGACGTCGTACCGCGCTGGGGGTTATAGATTTGACTCCGACCTGTTCTTTCTGTGGGGTGCCCTACTTTGTTGTGCCGTTCCCGGGACAACCGCGAAGCAACGACAGCCAAGGCTCACGCGGAGCATCAACCCCGACGAGGTGGTGGCGCATGGTGCCGCCCTCCAGGCCGCTGCCTTGAGCGTCCAAGGGAAGCTTGGCATCTGTACGTGGTTTGTTTTGCGCATGCCCATGTATGCCCCCATGTCCCTCCCTAGTCCCTTAAAAGTAGACGCCACTAAATGGTTGATTTCTTACATAAGCGAGTGTTGCATGTATGCATCCTGCTAAATGCCCCCATGTTCCTCCCTAGTCGCTCAATCCTCAACTCCCCCCGAGCCCCCTAACAATAGATCCTAATTAAATGGTTGAATCGTTGTAAAGTACCGTGCTCCTGAAGTGGTTTTGTCAATCTGGGCGCAAGTGATCCTTTTCTTTGAGCGCAAGTGAGGCTTTTCTGCAAAACAATTCGAAAAATAGTTGGAGCACAAACAATACAGTAGCTAGATGGCTTAAATTCGACAAACATTTGGACATCCAACCCTTGGAGAAACCGTTAGCCAACACTACATCGCTGAGGGATGTAGGAAAATCATGGAAAATCCCAATGGATTGATTGTATAGCAGGGATTTCTTGAGGAAAGAACCTATTCAGTGGTTGATGAATTTGGGTGCGACCCCCCAAAAAGTGATACCCTTTATGATTCTTTGGGGATTTCCTGAAGAAGACAGGGTTACTGGTTGATCCAGAAGTGGCACTACAGACCAGTAGACAGTTCTTGGGGCAACTTGGATTAATTCTGAGCAGGTAAAATCATGTAAAATCTGCGAGTAAAATTGAATAAATCTGACCTGACAAAAACAATCTCCAATTTTTGATGGTTTTCCCACATTACCAGGGGTGGCAATTTCCCATCATTGTTGAGTACATCAGGCTCCAGATTCATCCATCAAATATGGCAAAGAACATGCTTATCGCTTGTTTAGAATAAAGAAGTTAAGTGGGACAACTGTGGCTGTGGTGGGAATTGTCCTTTCCGAGTTTAGCTAAAAACTGAGGAGCGGGCAGGAGTTGAGACTCATTGATGTAACTCCCTTGTCCTTGGGCATCCAGACCGCTGGTGGCTTCATGACGACGGTCCTCTCGTTGCAAAGCTTTGGCTGTTTTTTGGGTGAAAACTGGAAAAGACCCCGAAATCAGGCACATGCTTCGCAAATATTTCATAATTAGTAATTAGTTAATATAACACAATCACATACGCGATAACCCGACGAATAAATTGGGAAACTTTTTGCGCTGCACATCAACAACTGCGATGAACATCTGAAGTAGTACATCGTTTCTAACCTCATACGTGCCATTCAAGCAAGGCTATATTAGCATATATTAATATTAGCCATGTACTCCATTCAGGGGTTATCCGATACGGTTATCCCCGAAGTGGACTCCCTCACCTGGTCTTTATCCATCGAGAAATGTTGCATCCCTGCTGGGTACGATGAGAAGATGCGGAAGAGCACAACCACCCACCATGGTCATTCAATCTGGCCATTGGAGCAAGTGGTGTGGCTATCAATGAGGAGCATTTTGCCAAGTTCTTCAAAGTAAAGCAAGTAAAGTGAAAGCGATGTGGAGGGTGAGTGTTCCTAGAATTTTTACCTCCCAATCTTTGGGTTGGCTGAACGGAACACACAGAGGAGACCCTGTTCGTTCAATATGTAAATACCCTCCGGTAATCAAACATGGCACTGAAATTCCAGTCAGTTCGATGATTGTCCCATTTCCCATATTTTCCCTTTGTGAAAAACCACAAAACTTGCATTTGGTACGGGAAATGTTCCCTCCAACCCTCCAGTGGCCCTGAAGGTCATCAAGCGCAACACACCTTTGCCTGCCGAAAACATGACCTGTGGCAGAGAGGGGCCGCCAATTGGGGAAGGGAACCATAAAGGGAACCATACAGCAGCCATAATTTTCCAGTGGGTATGGGATGGGAATCAGAGTGTGAATGGGTGATGGGTTTTCCATGTTTTTTTTTCGTCCATTGGGCCTCCATGGTCAGGATGAGAGGGCAATCCTTGGACTTGACCCACTGGTTGATGGGTTGATCTATTTCTATCTATTTCTGGAGTAAGGTGATTGCCAAGATTTGGCAAAAGTTAGCCCAGAGCAAGTGGGCTCAGCTTACGTTTTTTTAGACCCCCATGAGGATCCATGAGGAATCAATTCGACATTAACAGAGACAGGGGTGATGAAGTGATGCCAGTTGGTCGGTTTCTTTCTTCGCACATGGAAACAATTCCAGCGCCAATTCAAGGATGATTTTCTCGACTCACAAGGACAACCAAGAGACACTTGGCAGGGATTTGGCAGAGAGCAATCCAGCTGCCGGTTCAGAAACGAAACAGTGGATGTGGGAAGTTTGCACAGTGGAAAACCAAGACAATGCCTTGAGAAAAATAAGAAAACAGGCACTTATCTTGCAGACTGTAGTCTTTTGGGTCCTTCAATGTCCTTCAGATTCTTCGGCGTTTTTAGCGAACCGCCTTCCATTTCCGCATTGGATTGGTTTGGCACTCAGGAGCGCCACTGTGAAAGTGTTTCAGGGCGAGCGGTTGATGGCCAAGAACAATCATTTGCCTCTTGGCGATGGGTCAAACATGGTCAACAGTTTTTTTCAGGGAGCCCACGAATTTGCGGCCGAGATTTAAGGATGAATTTGATCGACCGATGATGGTTAGGATCTGGAGAATCATTCCCCACTGGCTTCATTTCAGACATTTCAGAGCTTAGTGAATCCGATAATTCAGCCGGATAGTTGTTTGCTTTTAGAGGGATACCGGGATACCATAAAACCCCCTGGATCCCAGCTGAGCCGAGGATGGGCAGCTTTCAGATCAAAGGGATCAGCCCTGCACCGCGTGGTGTGCCGCAGATCCAAGTTCTCTTTAAGGCGGCAAGCTCCCCATCCAAGTGGCCAGTTGGGGTGAAAAATGCTACATGTCCCAGGGTTTCTGTTGAAATATCCGGTAAGCATCGGTAAACCAGTCAGGTAAACTCAGAGTTAACTGGAAAATCACCATTAAAATAGGTAAACATCATGCTAAATCAGCTATAAATCGTATAAATGGGCCATGGCTTCCATAGCTATGTTAGTTTACCAGATGGTAAGACACCTGGAAAGTGGAATTTCCTCACGTGCTGAATTTCATTGTGGGGATCCGGGCCAGTGATCAGGTGGATGTGAACGGTTTGGTGGCCGTTGAAGCCACAGACAGCGGATCTGGCAAGGGTGCCTTGAATCAATTCCCCGGGACGCCGCTGTTTTATATCGTTTAGATAATTTAGTTTTGGTGTATTATTTGTATCTATTTTTCCCATGTTCATGATGAGTACTAGGTAGATATGTTTGGATCAGATGATCAGGACACGATGAACTAGGGATATCACCAAGATCCATCTCGATTCACATCTGGGTGCAGTTCGACTTCATAGGTTGCTATATGGCCATGATTATAGGGTTATGCCTATTCCAACTCAGAAGTGGTATGCAGATTCTATGCTGCTTATATGCTCATAAAAATCATCCCAACCATGGTTGTGAATGCCCATGATTGCGCTATTCGGATTCCATTCAACTCCAAATCGTTATAATCGTTGCTGCTAAGATTCAAAAACAACACCTGATAACATCATATAACATCTGAATCTTATACAATATGGTTCTGCCATGTTCTACCCATTTTTTCTGTTCACCCCAACATGGCCCCAACCGCAATATTCCGTGTTCACGCGTGCCCCCCCAGGGACTCTGCCAGGGACTCTGCGGGATTTCAGGTGAGGTCCTGAAGGTCGCTTCAGAACTGAGCCACGAGCGCATCGAAGAGATGATCCAAGAATCCGTGGCGCAGCTGGAACAGTGGGCTCAGTAGTGATCCTGTTATAATCATAATACTCTAGTATAGTCGTATATTAATGACCTACAGTATTTTACAGAATTTTTTGGTGTGATATATTTAAAGTGACCTCACCAACACAAAAATACCTGTATGATATCCCTATTTATTTCTACATATAGTAGTACAATATAGTATGTTCATGTATATTTTACCACCTATAGAAATACAACTGGGCAGCTGTGAAATTCTGGGAAAGGGATCCTATACGATATGGCTTTGTCTGAAAATAGGGTATGCCCATGGTATACCCATGGTATAGCCATGAATAAATAGCATGTTTTCTATGGAATATGATGTTTTAATCCATTGGAATTGGGGATTAGCCCCAAAAAGATCCCAAAAGGATAGACATGTGATTTACCACTATTTTAGATGTGGTACAGTACTTCCTACATTAAAAAAAATACAGGGCTTGATGTATATACATATAATATAAAAGTGTAGTGATATTTAGTGAGTATTATTATTGTTATATATATATAATACATAGTATGTATGTTTATTTTTTGTGTGTATACTGGTGTGTGTTGCATATAAACAAAATGATTATATAAATTATATATGTACAATACGTATTAATAATATACATATATAAATGGTATGTGTGTATGTGCGCGCGTATTTCTACATATTTGCATGTATTCAGCAGACATCTACAAATGATTACCAAAGCAGAAACATGCATATCTAATAATGTACACACTTTGATCGCATTATCTAATGTTGCATGTATATATATATATCGTGTATGTATATGTTTGGGTTCCAAGTTAAAAATCTGAAGGGCACATCCATATCATATCTTGAGGAAAGCTTGGAGAAGGAGGATCAGACCCTTGGACGTCTAGAGAGCTGGGTGAACCATGGTGAACCTAAAATCGCTTCACTCAGCTTGGTGAGACAGGGGTTCAGATATACTGAAGGGGGTGGTTGAGGGGAACCTGGTGGAACCAAGTGGAATCAGGTTGAGGACATGTTTGGGTGACCCCAACTGCTTTCAAGGCATACTTCACAGTGTTTGAAACAACCATGGCAGCGGACCAACATGAATACTGTTTGCCCAACAAGGACCCTGTAGTTTAGTTTCAAGTTTCAAGAAATCCTGGAAACCCACGAAAATCCATTGGTTGGCAAACATGTGTTTGGAGGTCCGTTCTGCACATATACTGTATATGATACCTACTCACTGGATAGTCAAACTGCCTGGATGGTGCTTTCAATTTGTTTTTATGTCCATGTTTGTTTGAGGTTACAAATGGCTATACATGTTTATTTATGTTTTGCGGAAGTGTATCAATTCCCAATCTCCCAGCTTTGGCTAAGAGAAACATCCTCCTAAATATTGAAATATTTTGAGAAAAGAGAGAGAGAGATAGTAAAAATACCTTGGTTTGACGTGATGTTTTTTTTACAGCGACTCCATGGATCATCACTAAGCACTGCCTTTAGGAAAGACTTCGCGAGGGCGGAGGCCAAAATGGCCTTGAAGCTCTTCATTCGCTCCTTGCATCATGCTGCCGAGATGGCTCTGGACCTTGGGTCCCCTGGGTCTCCAATGTCACATGTGCAGCTGAGTGGGTCTCTAGGAAGGGGATGGTCCTGCTTTTTCCATACTTGTCCTTGCTTAATCTTAATCCCAATGTTTTACCATGAGTTCAAATCCACTTCTTGGATGAAAAGCATTGAAAAGCCGCTCTTGTTTGCTGCTTACATGCCAATTCTTCATGGATAACAAGTTAGAATTTGTCAAGCCATGTGGACGGCTTTTTGGTCGCCACGAAAAAACGGCAGGAGGACGACGCCTCGACATTTCTGGCCGCTGCCAACGAGGGTGCGGACTGGCTGGCGGCCAACGCGGACGCGGAAGCAGAGGAGATTCATGAGAAGAGGGAAGAGTTGGAGGGGCACCTTGGATGGAGCTGAATAGATGACAGATGTTTTAATCAATGTGAAATGGATGTTTTCCATAGTTTTTAAATAGATTAGTTCATATAAATGGGTTCAATAGATCTGAATACATCATTATAATAGATTATGATAGATTATGATGATAATGGATTATGAATCAATGAGCAACATATACTATAATAAATCCATGCGCTCTAAACATCCCCCCTCCCCAAAAAATAACACCTACTGTATAGGGTATTTTTGATTATTGCTGTAGGGGGTATTTAATATTCGGGGAAGAAGCTGGCCCCTAATATTGAATTTAAAGATTTAAAGCGCTAATTACACAAACTAAGTTTTTCGATATCAAATCGACCAACATAATGTTTATAATATTTGATTAAACTATTGCCAACCATTAATTAAATTTAAAACCTTAATTTAAACAACTAGTTTTTTGATTTCAAAATCGATCAAACTCCTTTTTAAAATCTAATCAGGATATCACCAAAAATTGGATTTCGAAGCCTTCCCCCAAAACCAATTGTTAAACCTTCATTTGAAAACTAAGATGTTTAACTGTTTTACTTTAAAAGACCGAACCTAATAAAACACACGCCTGGGCTAACTAGTTTTTATTATTAGGGGGTAAAAGCTTCAAATTGGACCTTGATTTTTAATTTGTTCTCTAAAGGGGATAAATTCAAAATCAAATTGGCCAATCTGAAATTTTCCAAAACGAACCATCTGAGGTAGTTTTTATTATTTGGGGACGTTTTAGTAGCTTTAGAAATAGGAAGAAGGGATAAATAGATGAGTCTAGATGAGTAATCTAAAAGATGAGTTGGAGGAGATCCAGCTGAAACAAAACGGGAGAAATCCATGGGTATCGCCAGTGGAGACCACATGGGTCATAGCATGGTGCCTAGATCCGCTTGTACCAAATGTGTTGATTCCTATAGTATTTAACAGCAAAATATATAATGTTCATAAATTCATAAACCAGCTTGGCTGGTCATGTCCAGGATTGATCATCCACTGGTAGGCCATTGAATCAATTTGATAGTGATCATTTTTAATTTCAATCATCATAATTGTTCATCAAATTACCCTCTGGTAAACTTACTCAACTATGGAAAATCAGCATTTTGTAGCTGAGTAAATCCACATTTTTTTATTTCTATGGCCATGGCTTCAATAGCTTTTTGTACGTTTTCCAGAGGGTATATATCACGATCACCTGGGGTCAACCTGAACGCCCAGGAACGTCCCGGAGCTTCCAACGGCCAAGGCCGCGTCCGCTGCAGAAGTCGAAACTTGATTCGCTTGGAGTTTATATTCGTATCTGGTTGGTGGTTTGGAACATGAATTTTAGTTTCCATATATTGGGAATAATAGTCCCAACTGACTGATATTTTTTCAGAGGGTTGAAACCACCAACGAGATCATCCCATGGATTAACCACCATTCTTTGCGCCAAAGAGAAAATGAGCTTTCAGTCTCTTGGAATGTTTGAGCGCCCCCTTTTTTCGCGACAGCCATTTGATGGTGATATTAAGATCTTTGTTGAATGGTTGGTTGAACCTTTTCAGCTGCACAAAAAGCTTGCCATAAATATGGCCGTACAACCAATAATCAATAAACGAGTTGTTCTCGCATTTGAATACATACTGGTAGTTGGTGAATTTGCTCATGTTCTTTGGAGGCATCCAATATCCCAGTACAAGGAGGAACATGTGAGAAAAACACATGAACACTTTAGAGCGGCCCAAAGTGCCAGACCAAGTCGCAATATTCTGCCCAAAAAAATCATGAAGAGGAAACTGACCCTTCGGAAAGTTTTGTTTTCAATTGAATAATGTCCACTTCAATGGGTGTGTCAAATATAATGTAGGGTGTTGGTATGTCAAAAACAAGGGGTGATGAATGATGCAAAGTCTACATCGAATTCGTCCGGCATCATCAAATGCCGCCCAGGACATGGAGGGCCATGATGAGCTCTGACGGCGGGATGCATCCGATGCATCCCCGCGGCTTTGGACCCGGGGTCATTTGGCATGTCCTGGCACGGAGCTGTGGAATGGCTGTGCTTTTCTGGTGACTGTCAAGGGCAAGGATCAGTTGTAGATATCACAACGGCGTAAACTCCACCCATATGTTTGACAAAAACAAGTTTGCACGGAGATCACACGATGGTGCTGGAATGATCCTTCAAGAATTGGTTCCCCGCAAGATCCTCGCAAGAATTGTAGGATTTTTTTCTCCTGGGTGGACATTTCAGTTTTGATTGGTGCTTTACTAGATGATGTATGAAGGACTGACAAGTATGTGTTTTCCGACAAAAAGTGTCATGTCAAAAAATGCCAACTGGCCATCAATCTGGGTCCAAAGGGTCCGCAGTCAAAGACTATTTCAGTGTTGCGCTGAAATCAAAATGAGTTTGGCAGATGTCCAGGTGGAAGCTCCGAAAAATTGTCTGAAAGTGATGAAACAGATGTGTCCTAAAATTGGAGCCCATGCAGATCCAGTAATTACACGCAACCACAGCAAGGGAAACCAGCGCTTGGGCAGAAAACCAGACGCGCTTGAAAGATGACAGTATTCCATGAGTACGGATGCGTGATGCATTGCTATTCAACAGTTTGAACACGGATAATATCCTGGTGATGGTTTCAACATGTTTCAACCATGTTTTTCACCTGTAGCTGGATTGATGAATCATAATATGCAGCCTCATAGGCAAGTTTCTGGAACGGGTTGAAACTACAAACCACTATGGATTGTTGGGGTCCATCAGCCGCAAAATCGGCTCACTGCAAGCGCCCTTCAAAGTCAGGGGCAGTCAGATGCAGTCACATTGAGGTCCAGCAATAAGCTGCTGTAGACGGATAGCTTTCAAGTAGCCAACGACCAAAAAGATAAATAGAACCGTACCAAACAATTGGATATTGACTAGACCAACAAACCATGCACACAATATGTCAGTTAACTTTAACTTTAACGGCTTAAAAATAATTGCCTCTTGTGCAAGGAAGACACACTTCGCCACTCCGCTTTTGCGCAGCATTCAAGTTTAATAGTACTTGTAAGCTTATTGTCGTAAGACATGTGCCATTGCGAGTTGTTTAGCGTTGTTTTGAGATGCATTGAACACATGTCCAAATAATACTCAACCACCTGAAAACAAGAAGTGGTTTTGGAACTAGCTCTCCTCAAGGGAGGTTTCTGGGGTTTCTGGCATTGGTTTTACCACATTGACACATTGCGTTCATATTTTGTTCCCACTGGTTGGTTGATTGCTAGAGGGTTCCCCCATTCAACTACCAAGAGGTAGATGTTTAAAAAAGGAACGGTATACTAAAACGGTCCCACAACATTTTCCCAGAAGGACATGATAAACATTATTGACAATATTCGTTACTTGAATCATTATCAATCTGTTACCGCTACTATTACTACTGCTGCTGCTACTGCTACCACCGCTACTACTGCTACTACTTCTACTACTGCTACTACAACAACAACTACTACTACTACTCCTCCTGCTGCTGCTGCACGACGACTGCATATTCGTGACATCTAGTGACTTGGTCCAGCAATATTGGTGTTTATAGACAATATTTTTTTCATAGAAGTCATTAAATTTAATTCATGAATATTCGTCAATATGATATTAATCAGGTGATTCATTAGTATGGTGAATCATTAGTATGTTGAATTGATCACGATGAATTCCCAATTCATCCCCCACACTCCCAGTCATCCCACGTCATCGATGGCTGCATTGCCGGCCCCAGCCCCATGGGCCCATCGGTATCCCCCGTGGCGCGGCGGCGTTTGTGCTTCGCCGGTTCAACGCTGCGACTGGCAGCCAGTGAGGACCGAGACGGATACAGTGAATGATACAGATACCTGGATTCTAAAGATAAAACATAGATCAACATGTGTTTATAGAGGGAGATACGAACGATTGTGGGTTAATTTTGCTATGCAGTATCATCAATAGGGTATATATATATATAAAAAAAAACATGGTGGACCCAATCAAATCCAATCATCAGTTTCCCACAGTGTTACAATGTTGTAACCCCAACAATTGAAGCACTCCCAGTCCCAGTGATCTTCCAAACATGGGTAAGTTGCGGATATAGGCGAAGGAAGCTTAGAAGTCAAGCTTCCGACAATATGGACAGATGGAACAGCAGAGGTGAGAGCAGTCAGAGAAGAGAAGAGAAGAAGAAAGAAGTCGGAAGAGAAAGGGTCAGAAGAAAGAAGATCAAGGCGTGCGAAAAGGTAGAAAAGCCGCGAAGCACCGTGTTTTTTTCCAATGTTCTGTGGCTCCGGAGGGCCGAAAAGTGGGCTCGCTAAAGTGGCCGGTGCGGAGACATCTGGTCAGCTGAGTGATCAAAAGTTGCACGCCGCTGTGGCGCGAAGCACATGTAGAAGTCAAAAGGGTAAAAGGAGTGGATAGGCAACGGCTAGACAGTCTGCATGGATCTTGGTGGGCAGTCAGCAACCTACGTGGCCATGGGGTCTTCACTCCGTGCCCGTGGGCTTCCAGGGCACATCTGAAGTGACGTGCAAACTTGCTAGGTTGGGGCCTTTCCACGGCACATGGTTTTCTAGCATCGAATCATCCATATGGGAGGAATAAACTTAGTTGCCTGCAAGGGTCTGGATCTCTTATTGCCATATTGCCACCTAGGATACATTGTTTCCATCTTTTTCCCACAAACCCAAATATTTGGAAGTGTTCATCCAAGAGGCCCCCTCTCTCTCCAGTCAGGGTTGAAGGCTCAGATGGGGCTTCTCGAGGGTTTCAGACCAGCTTCAGACCCCCAGAAGGAACAAGTTCAGAATGGTGCCCGCTCAGAACCTTCCAAAGAAGCGAATTTATATATATATACCCACCCTCGGATTCTCCGGGGTGCATAGGCATAGTCTTTAGCCTTTCCATATTTGAGCCCTTTTTTCGCAGGGGGTCACATGGGGCCCTTGGATCGAAATCGTCGGCTTGATTGGTGGTTCCAAAAAGGGTTTCAAACCTCTTTCAGACTTCAAAACCCAACGTAGAAGAACCAATGAAAGGGCTTTGTGTGGAAGCCACACATATCATATCAGAGGTTTGTTATTCTCGGGCCACACATATCATATCAGAGGTTTGTATGGTTTGTTATTCTCGGGCGTAATTTTCAAACTGCTTTCGAAGTCAAACTAAATCAGAGTCCATTGCGAACCTACGTGGCCATGGGGTCTTCATTCCGTGCGCCTGGAGTTCCGGGGCACATTTGGAATGAGGTGTAAAATTGCTACGTTGGGGCCTCCAACGACGCAAAGCGACCATTACCCGACAACAGCTGCTGTATTTTCCAGGAACAAGTCAAGTCATACGATCTTGCACCCTTCTGCTCTATGCATTTGTCCTCAGTGGGTTACATTGATTTGGGACCACTCAAAGCGGCTGTAAGAACCTACCCGACCAAGGTGTCGAATAGCGCGCGGATTCCTGTCATCGAAAGCGGCTCCCGCTCCGTTGCTGGCCTTGGACAGTTCCTTGGCAATTTGGAAATCAGATAATAGGGAATGCTGGTTAGCATTGGTATTAAAAAAGCAACCGTACTATGTAGCCTGAGGCCGCCTATGTTCCTGCTCCTCGGGTTTTCATATTGCACCTTCCTCAAGTATGTTGGTTTCAAGGCTTGCATCGAGGAGCATTGCGCCTGCATGCATGTCGAAATTGCTCTTGTGCATCTAATCATCAGTTCCCCCTAATACTAAACCCACCCCCCACATAATAAACACTTCAGGTAGTTTTTATTATTAGGGAATATTTAGGGCGCAAAGCTTCCCCTAAAAATTAAGCTTGAAACCCTAACAAAAAAATATTGTTTCTATATCAAAATCGTCAGATTTCTTTTTGACATTTTAAATTAAAATATTGCCAAAAATTGGATTTCGAAGTATTTAACAACCTTTAATTAAAAAAAGCCATTTTTTTTCAAAATCCATAAGATTTCCTTTTAAAATCTACTTGAAATATAGCAAAATATTGGATTTTGAAGCTTTCCCCTAACATTTAAATTTGAACCTTCGTAAAAAACAAATTCAAATATTGTTTCTATTTTAAAATCGATTAAGTTTGCTTTTAAATTCTAATGGAAATGTTGCCGCAAATTGGATTTCGATTTTTTCCCATTCAATTTAAAACATGTTTAAAAAAGTCTCGTGTTCAAAATCGATTAAATTTCCTTTTAAAATCTAATTTAAAATATTGCCGAAAATTGGATTTCGATGCTTTCCCCTAATATTAGGTTAAACACCCTAGTATAAAATATTTTTTGTTCGGCCTTCAAAGGCCGACCCTAATAAAGAACACCCCGGGGCTGACTATTTTTTATTATTATGGGGTGAAACCTTGAAAGGTAGCTTCATTTTTAAATTGTTTTCTAAAGGGGACCAATTAAAAATCAAATTGGCCAACTTCAAATTTTCTAAAATTGGAGACGGACCTTAGTTTTTATTGTTTGGGTGTGTTTGGTAATAGGGGGAAGGGATTACCCACTCACTAAGGATTTATGTTCGCCACAGATTTGTCTTCTCCTAGGAGACCTTTTGGAAGATGGCATGGGCGGGTTGTTACGCTTGAAAGAACAGCAGCCGTGCGCATTCCTGCTGTTCCCATTGGCCGCAAGAGTGGCCCAGTATCCTACATGAATGTGGAATTGTAGCAATGGATTCCACGTTTCCACTATCTCATTGTTAGGGGCGTCTAGATGTACAGGTGTGCGCCAATCAAACAAGCTAGGTGAATTCGGTACCTCTCAGACTGAGAAGGATCAAAAAGCGATCCTCGCAGTATTCTTGAAATGTTTCAGAAGCGAATTGTTGGGAAGCAGGTGGCAGGCGCAAATGGCCAACGCCGTCATGGGGATGAACCGCAGGCAGCCGAGGTGCTGGAGAGACAGGGGGAGCCCGGTGAGCCTGAGATTGCTGAGATGGCATGGAGCGAAGAGGATGAAGAGGAGCCAGTATAAGCCTTATCGGTGGAGTCTCTGGTCACCATCCCATGTTGGTCACCATCCCATGTTCGATCCTTGTTCAAGCGCAACCCTCACGGCACAACCACGGGACATGAGCCCCGCTTGTGTCCACTAGACGAAGGGAAGAGCCCCCGCCTGGGTGACCAATAAACCCCTTCTGTCCATGACGTGGCACAAGTGCCCAGGCGGAGGGGGGCAGGTCCAAGATCAAATGGACCTGACCCCCCGGCAAAGGGCCAAAAAAAACGCCAAAGGGCCAAAGAGAAGAACAGAGAGGGGATAGGATAGACGGCGCATTTTTCAGTGTTGGGGTAGTAGCCCCCTCGACACTGGAAAATGTGTTAACTATATGGGTATAATGATGGTAGACAGACATGAAAGAAGGGGACAGAGCGGATAGGATAGGTGGCGCATTTTTTAGTGTTGGGGTAGTAACCCCCTCGACGCTGGAAAGTGTTGTCTATATGAGTATAATGGCGGTGGACGAACATTGAAGAAAGGAACAAGGACAGGATAGGATAGATGGCGCATTTTTCAGTGTTGGGGTAGTAGCCCCCTCGACACTGGAAAATGTCTTGTCTTTATGAGTATATAATGATGGTAGACAAACGCAAAAAAATGCAACAGGGAGAAGATAGGATAGACGGCGCATTTTTATCCTCCTGCCAATTTCCACTACTAAATGCTATGACCTAGGTCCCGGAAAGTGAACCAAAAATTTAGTGTGAAATTTCTAGAAACCATTTAGTAGAGAATCATGATTTTTCAAAAAAAAAATCAAGTAAACATCTCTAGACCCATGATCAACATTTAGTAGAGAGGTAAAATGATATGTTAATCATATGATGTCAAATGTTGTTTTTTGGGTAAAACCATTTAGTAGAGATGTCAAAAAAATGTTGCAAAATCACAGGAACCATTTTGTAGAGGTTGCGAAGTAGAGTTCATAAAACGGTCACAATGAAATGAGACAAAACTGAAAAACCATTTAGTAGAGATTCCCATTCCGTTGCCCCCGATAACCGTTTGGCCAACCCACCGTGCTGCCTTGCCTTTTTTGGGGGCGATGCCAAATCCCTCGCTTGGGTGTTTCTTGCTCGTCGGGTGCTGCCTTTCGTGTTTGGGTTTTTGGGGGCGATGCCAAATCCCTCGCTTGGGTGTTTCTTGCTCGTCGGGTGCTTACTAAATGGATGGTCATGGGATCAGTCTATCTAGAACTGTTTCACACAAAGCCCTGTTGCATCCTTGTGTGCCCTATTATCCCTTACGTGCTATGGAACACCATTTTGTAGTCCCAAAATGTCCAAAATTCTATCAAGATTTCCCCTGCTTAGCCAAGTGCTGCCTCTACTAATGGATGGTCATGGGATCAGTCATATGTGTTTCATGTTGTTTTCTCTACTAAATGGACCCCGTGTATTTCTCTACTAAATGGCTTTGGGGTTTTGGTCGAGTGATGTTGGTCCCGCAACTTGTGCTCAAATGAGTACCTCTACTAAATGGAACAGGGTGTTTGGTCGAGTCATGTTGGTGTCTTAAGACACTCTGAAAATATATCCAAATTTTGCGCTTCAGCTGAACCAGGGGCCCACATTTAGTAGTGAAATTCGATCATGCATGCGCATCCATTTAGTAGAGCTTGAGGCTATGCAAGCTGTTTCTTCACTACAAAATGGTTGCACAGCCCCACCCCTTAATTGACAGGGGGTTGCATTTTTCAGTTTCGGGGTAGTACCCCCCTCGATACCGGAAAATGTGTTAACTATATGGGTATAATTAATGATGGTAGACAGGGGATAGGATAGGCGGCGCGTTTTTCAGTGTTGGGGTAGTAACCCCCTCGACACTGGAAAATGTTGTCTCTATGAATATGATGGTAGACAGGGGATAGGATAGACGGCGCATTTTTCAGTTTCGGGGTAGTACCCCCCTCGATACCGGAAAATGTGTTAACTATATGGGTATAATGATAGGATAGACGGCGCATTTTTCAGTGTTGGGGTAGTAACCCCCTCGACACTGGAAAATGTTGTCTCTATGAGTATGATGGTAGACAGGGGATAGGATAGACGACGCATTTTTCAATTTCGGGGTAGTACCCCCCTCGATACTGGAAAATGTGTTGTCTATATGAGTATGATTCATGGTAGAAGGGTCCGTCAAGTCAAACCTATGAAACTTTTGATGCTGCAAGCATCACCGCCCTGATGGTGGAGAATTATATAGAGCATCCAGCAAATTTCAGCATCAATGGTAGTAGTAACCCCCTCGATCCTGGAAACATCTCCGCCGTGAAGAATATACAGACTTAACGGTGTCTCAGACTTCCCTCGTGAATCTTCGCTCGGCACCAAGGACAAGTTGCCACCCTTCAAGCGCCTGAGCCACAAGGGGATGCAGGAGATGTCGCTGAAGAATCTGCCCGGTGTCACCGGCCATGGGTGGGTCATCGCGCTTAAATCGGTAAGCAAACCACGACGGTGTGATCAGGAACCAATGGGAGGTTTGACATGGTTTCAGCAAGAAAAATTGATGTGTGGATGGTGGTTTTGATTTGTGCTCCCATTCATGGAAGATTCCATCTAATTACTTGATTTAGGAGGATTACGCAGTGACAACTTCGAAAGTATATAGAACGGACTGCAAGACTCAAACATGCTGGTGCTGAAGACAGCAAATTTTTGGTGGTTGAATATTGTGAAAAACGTTAATAGTTCCACATTTTTTTAATAAAAATGTGCAGTTTTAAACCTCATGAACATGCCATGTTGCGTCTAAAAACGAGCTTAAATATGACCAGGTAACTGGCAATCTTCGCAGGGGAAAACGGTGAACCATGATAGCAACGTTTATGCAATTTAAGGATAACGGCAATCAAAGGTGGGAACCAACCACGCACCCCCCAAACACTTGCCATGTTTGTTTTGAGGATATCCTAATACCAGAAACCCCATATGAAGAAGCCTCTCCTGCAATCATTCTCTTGGATTTTCCAGGTCACTTCTCCGGCATGAAGTTTCCACACAACGCAGAGCAGCTCATATCCAAATCCTTTGGGCCCAGTTGGTACACGGATGCGTTCCGCAATTTTGGTACCTTGGCCGAGCGTCTGGGGTGCTAAGGGGTGCTAAGTTAATTTGGTTGGCGCAACAGCCCAAATTTGGATGATGAATACATTGTACTACTTATACCGGATACCAGCATGCCTCCTTCCGTCGGAAGAACATCGGCCATAGATGATAGGTGCTGATATAGATGGATATTGATTTTGGGGAGAATAGGAAGTAGATTACTAATGTGGAACCGCAGCCACGAGCAGACAAGACCAGCCGCCAAAACCGCTCTCTCTCTGCCTGAACAATGCCGGGCCCATCCCAGATGGAGTGCCTGCGCTTGAAGGTGGTCTGTGGTACGGTGGCTGAAGTCCGCCAAGCACTCCGCCAGAAAGGTTTCAGCCCTGCGCGAATTGCGCAGTTGCTGAGCGAGTGCAGCCAAAACCCGCCACGCAGCGCAGCTCAGCGCGCGCGGCAGACGGCCGAGGACCCCCCCCAAAAAAAGCAATCTGTCTGCCTCGAAAGAAATATTTAAATAGCACGAATGATGCACCATCAACTATATATATATAATATATCCTGATTCTATCATAGATTGCTTGAGCAGGTAGGTTGATCACCGATGACCCGATACATTTCCTCGAACAACGACTTGAGAACAGAATTTATCAGGTCTGAAAATAACAACATCCAATATTCATAAATAGACATGATAACGATCGGACACTCAGGATTGAGACATCGCTTAGTTCAGAAAGATCAATGGATGCAATAGAACAGAAAACATTGGAAGAATAAAGAAAAAGGTTACGCACCTACAGTAATTAGATATACTGTTTATGTAAATATCAACACACACATATATAGATAAATATATATATTTATTTATATATTTTTATGTGTGTGTATGCCTCTACGATCTAGCTATGCCTATCTATCTGTACAATTCTAGGCCCCTTAAATTGGACCCGCCCTGATCTGATTCACATCGAAGGAGATTGCGGGTGGCACTGCCGCGAGCTCCTCAGGGTGTGGCAGCTGAAGCAGACTCTCCGCAAAGCCGCACGCCGGTGCCGGCTGAACGTCCGCCGGCACAACCACCCAAGGGCGTTTCCACGGAGGATGGCACGGCTGGTTGCCGAACTCCGCAACCGCCTCTTCCGTCTGAGAGAGAACGAAGAGGAAGCCTAGGCCGGGGAGTGCAGCTGGGGCCCGGGATGAGCATGCCGTGGATGCGGCGTGAGCAGATTGGAGACCGGTCGTTGGCATTTATCTCGTAAAAGTGGTAACCCAGCAGCTATTGAGACTTGTAAGATCAAGAGACAGGAGAAACGACGCCCACAAGACGTGGACTAGGTCGATGGTTTATGTATCATCCCTGGAAGCCCCTCAAGAATTATTTGCCATTAGTGATCACATTGTATATTCCTACTTTTATTTGGGAAAATTGTCCGCGTCATCACTGATGGCTTTCATCAGTCTCATTTGGCCTTAGGGAAGCAGAAGCAGATGTCTTCTATTCAGGGGGTTTCTTGAACATTGCCACCTCCAAAAATGAGGTACAGGGGCAAACTTGGATGCGACAAAGAGACAAACACGTGTGTTTGTTGCGGGCGGGACGGATGAAATCAATGACCGTGTCGATGCTAGTGAAATGTGGATATGTGACACATCCTGCAGCATCAGTATGTACTGGCTATGGGCCCTGGGCCTGAAGTTTGAACTCTTCGTTACTCTGAAGAGGATTTTGACTCGTTGATTGATCTTTGAATACCGCCATCCGATGCAGGATTTCAGATCATTTTCCAAGCGCACTCATGTTTGGCCCAGATCCATTCATGTCGCTAAAGCTGCAGCATGCAGAACCTGAACTTTTCGTGGCTTCAGCTACTTCTGTGTTGGAAGGAACTAGATCTCCTCGTTGCAACGAGAGGTTCGATTCCTCAATCCATTTTCTGAAGAAATTGTTTCTCATCCATGAAATTCTTGCTGGACTGAAATTGAGACATCCCCAACCAGCTTAAGACTTGACTTAAGTCTTGAAGTGTAGGGGAAAGCTATGGTCGTGGCATTTCTGGTCATCCACATTTCATCCAAGGACGGGCAGCATCGGCGACAGCTTTCTGATTGGTGCGATTTGTGGCACGCTATCTAGTAGCTGTGGGTGAGGTGACCACTGCAATCACTGCAATAAGCACAACTCCAGCCACCTTTCGGTCCATGAGTGGGTTCGCTCTCCCATCCATGCATCGCAACAACTCACCTCTCCTATAGTTTCTTGTCTTTGAAACTTCCGCCACCGCCTTGTGCAGTACTAGTGGTATAACATATATATTATCTACTACACACGTGTCTCCATACCCAGTAGAACGTTTATGGCACCATTCACTACGTTGTACCCCAATGGTGCAGCCACAGTTGGTTTTTCTTCCCCCAATGATACTATGAACCATGCGCTTGTTACGGGTGCGGTAGGTAGGGTAAAAACATGTAAAAACTCAATGACTGGAGCTTTGACATAGCAATTTGGGGTCTATACTGGCCTAGATTTGGCCCAAGATTCACTTGAAGGCTGATATATATACTTACGTATAGTAAGGAATGGTCAGGCCTTTCTTCTTACACATGTATCATGATAGGTCAAGATAAGAAACTTCCAGTATTGTGCAAATTACTCAAGTGATTGATCCAGAACAATCCATTGCATGACATTATCATCATCGTGATGACTACTTGATTTTTTAAATATATTTTATCGCTATTGGAATTTGAAGAATTGAAACGCAAACGTGGCAATGGAAACTCCACCGTGTTTTGACGATTTTTTCATTAACATGTCACATGTCGATTTTTTTTCTAGATGATTTTCACGTTCATAGAATATTTTGCCATTAACACTTTCATTTATAGATGATTTTTGCACGTTTGATTACCAAAGGCTAGTTGTTGACAGAGCGTCAGCAACCGTCAGCGGCAGGAGTAGCAGGAGCCGCGTGCCCGGAGTTGCGCTGCAAACAGCAAGTCTTGCAGCTGGGCGAGACCATACGCCATGATATGATGCGTGCATATGCGTGCATAATGATACAATACTTAATTTCAGTACGTATGTGTGATATAAACATATACGCGTACGTGTATAAGTAGAATTATATATATATCATGTCATTTACAGTGCAGGGTCTTTTGGATTGAATAAACCCGGTCTTTGGATGATCAGCAATCCATTTTCATATGGATTTGCATGCCGAAAAAAAGTTCCGGATGGATGACCATACAACATATACAGTAACATGTTTTGACCATGGCATTTTTTTAAAGATTAATTTTTACCCTGACGGGGTGACAATCGTACTAGTGGCCATTTACGTTTTGAAAAATATGGCGGCGTCGCCGCAACGCAGTTGAATTTTTCTTTTGTTAAAGGGAATCAAAAAATCTCCTATTTTCAAGGGTCGAAATCAAGATACACTGCATTTTCCACGGACGTGTGCATGCTGAGGCATCATTTTTTTTAACTTTCACTTCTTCATCCGTTTGCATTTTGCATCAATATAAACGTTAATTATTGCACCTCACCACCCCACCCACCCCCCATCCCCCCGAAATGATCACTAAGAAATGTGATATGTATTGATATTATGTAAAAAACGCTGCAACCACCACCGTGTCTTTTCACCCCGCTAGCATAAGTATGACTTTTGACATATGACATAATATGTAGTTTTATTTTAGATTCAAACCTATCAGAGACATCAATCGCATTATATGTTACCACAATTTGCAGGATACCTATCCAAATACCATCAAACATGCAAAATCGAAGATATGTATGGATATATGCCATAGAAGGATGACTCTGGTGGGTATATATGCTAAAAACATGATCGATCTAGCTTCGAAAACCGTCATATCAGTGCTATGCCTCAATACCATTGATGACTTGGCAAGGCATCGAGGGCGGCTACGCCGGCGACTCGAGCGAGCGCAGCACCGGCAACAGCTACAGGGCCGAGAGGGCCGACAGGGCCGGGCAGCGTGTGGGCCTTGTTGTTGGAGCTGGCTACTGGGCAGATCTGGGCAGAAAGCATTGCTGCAGGGATTTGCATGGATCTGCAGGGTTTGGGGATCCCGGGATCGTTTTTTCTTCAGGTCTTCGATCCAAGCAACTTCGTGGTGAATTGACATGCGCTGAGTTCTCGTTTTTCAGTTGTTGTTTTTTTCGCAGGCTGCATGTTCAAGTCGCCCTGCTAGACCAGTAGCCAGAAAACCCAACAAGCTGCGCTATTTGCAACTAAGATGATCCCTCATCACTCGCTGTGCAGCTGAGGCAGATTGTAGATCCTGGATGTTGCTGGCAGTGGGTTTGCTGCTGGTGTCATGGCTCCATTTACTTTCTGGGGGCTTCATAGGAGGTCCTCAAGTTGAGTTTGGACACATTTGGAAACTCCAAAAGAAAGTGTGCTTAATTAGGATAGGGCATGTTTAGGAGGTGGTTTTACGCTGGAATTTAGGTCCCGTGTCAGTTTCCAATTTCCACAAAAGGCGTGTAAATGGCCTAAAAGATATGCTGGACACAGAACTGCTGGAGAGGGAATCATTTCTCTTGCCACCCATTGAGTCCCTTACTACTTACCGGCGGAAATCCAATACCTGAAATCCAGGTTTAACCACAAGAAAAAGTGATGGTTAAGCAGCCATATTTCAGGTGGGCAGCAGCAAGACAGTGGGGTTTCTGGCTCCCTTTGCCTTGCGGAAAGCGGTGAATTTCCTCAGTCGCAGGGTGGCTTGGCACTGTTGTCCAAGAATTGGTTGAAGGGAACATCTCAAGAATTTATGGGGAACACATGGGAAAACCATATCAAACCATGGTTATCCTGTAGGTTTTCCCATAAACCAAGCCATGGTTACCTATGTTGCTCATGGATGGTGGAGACGGGTATTGAAGGTCAACAATGCACCTCCGGTAATCAAACATGGCAATGGATGGCAATGGGAAGCAATGGCAAATCCCTTGTAAATAGGGGTGGCAGTTATGATTATTTATATGTATATATATATATATGTATGTATGTATATGTTGAAAAACATCGTGTATTGTCCATTGCTATGTTTGATCACCGGAGGGTATGCAGGATCATGCGTATTTAAACCTGATACAAGAAGATGATAGGTAAGCATCCTGAAGCAAACTGAAATTGCTGCTGTCATGGCTGGGAAAACCCGACCCCATCAACTCACGGGGCTCACGACCTGGCTGTTGAATTGGGGGACATGCCATTGGAGCAGATGACAGGAAGAACGGGGGGTAATCCCCGAGTGCTGTGCTGCTGTGTCCAGCCAAAATGCCTCAGGATTTGCAAGGCCTCACCTGGCTCTTGATCTTCGCCTCACTGAAGGGTCTCACGCAAGCGCTGAACAACAGCAAGACGGCACCGCAGGCGATTGGTTGATCATATCATAGGGGAATGGGTCAAAACTTGACACCATCAAACATTGAGGCTTTGCGTCTAAAGATGGTTGATGTGTGTGGTTCCCGACTCCGAAAGAATGTGGACCCATACCTGTGCATGTTTAGTCCACAAATAGACAAACGTCAATTGCATAACTTCATTAAAAAAATACTAGGATCAAACCTAAATGAATGTTTACTCAGTATCTATAGGACCAACCTCAAGGCCCAACCTTAGGATCAATTTTACGTTTACTAATGTTTACCTTAGGATCATATTGTTTTATCCCCCTTTGGCGGAAGAACATCTCCGGAGGCCTTCATCGCACGTCCCATGGGACGGCGGTTGTCCCAGCGTCTTCTGTCGAAGCTCTTGGCGCTGGATTTGCAGACGCCCGGGCTGAAAAAGGGGGGGGCCTATAAAAGATGGCCTATAGGAGCTATATAAGTAGTGAATAAGCATGAATAGATTCAATAGATGGTTATTCACCACTGAACCATCGTAATCATACTGTAATCCATTTTCTTAATTCATAACTATTTAATTAGCCATAGTTACAATCCATTTATATATGGGATAACAACTTACCAAGTGGGATTGTCCTGCACGTATGATCATAGTTTGTCATGGCCCTTTGGTGGGACATCCAAGTCATACTGGACACTGATTATCAGGATTATCATACTCAAGCTATGCTTACGTTATTCAAATTTGTTTCTCATCATTTATCATCCTTCCAATTCATATGGTTAGATCATGATTTTGGTAACATTACATGATCTCAGTTCATACGGTTTTATAATCACTATCACACATGTTCGATGTTCATCGATTTTCACTCATTGGCTTATCATCATGGGTTCTCTTAAAACTGTCATATTCATACGGGTGTCCTCCATTTTCAGACACAACCATGTAGAACCCAACTTGTGTGACCATGTTGGTGACTGATGGTTACAGTAACTGGTTCAGTTGGTCTAGGAGAAACCCTGGTTCAAGATTTAAGTTCTTTACTGGCTGTTCGTGTTGACTCATTGCATTGCAGCCTGATATGTGATTGTACATATACACTATATATATATACGCATATACACATATACACATATGTATATATATAGTGGTATATATGTATATATATATACACTATATATATATACATATATATATAAGATACATATATATATATAAACATATATATATATATATACACGCTATATATAATTGTATGTATGTATGTATCGCATGCTTGGTAGGGTACGTATCCATGTGCGTTGGTGATGTCAATCTAAGGATGGGTCAACCCGGGACACACCTGAAATGGGCACACAAACATTCCAGCACCGTGTTTTCATGCCCAACTGATACGATATAACTCCTTCATACTGCATACCGAGATGGATGTCTCAAGTCTCAACCTTTTGAAACATGTAGTTTGGATTGTCAAGTTCCACCCCGGAGTCACGCTATGGATGCACAGTGGGTAGTGGGATGCCCAACGGTACCTGGGGTAAAGTTTCAGTTTATTGGAGAAGTTGAGTGCCACCCGTTTGGGGACAGAGACCCGGACACAGACACATACAGACAGGTAGGCAGGCAGGCAGACAGACAGATAGATAGAGTGTATTATATACAAATATACATGCATTTAATACATTTGTATTTATAATATTTATGTATATATATATAACTTTTGATATAACTATATATATATAACTATATATATAACTATATATATATATATAACTATATAACTATATATATATTTAACTATATATATATATATGACTATATATATGACTATATATAGTTATGCATATAACTATATAACTATATTTGTATAGTTGGCACATACACACACATATGTATGTATATATATATATATACATAGGCATGTAGATACACAGAAATAGTCGTCTTCAACCTCAATGTGTTGGGAGGTTCCACGCTCTCCGCCGCACCGGCGAAGTCTTGCGGAAGTTGGAGCGGCCTCCGCGGGCTGCAGCTTGGCGAAACTTGGGATTTCATGAGAGATTCATGGTATCACCTCTGGTGCAGTGGCTATTCATGGGGAATTTAACCTGCGCAAGATGGGATATATCCCCTGCAACTATGGTTATATGACCCACTAAAAATATGTGGAATTTCAAACAGCTGTGGAAAAATCACCATTCAAATAGGGAAATTATCAAACTAAGTGGGCCATCTTCCATAGCCGTGTCAAACCACCGGAGGGTAAATTGCAGAATTATGGAGTAAATGTGGAATAAGCAACTGTTGATCAGGGAATTGATGGGATGATATGGGAAGTTTACATGAATTACATTAAATTACCATATTGTAATTTGTTACAGTTTAAAACGGAAAATGACCTGCTCTACAATGACATTAATCTTGCAATTTGCAATTTTCTATGGCTAATCTTGATCTTCTGGGGTCATTATTGGGACATTTTGGCGGATAAACGATCAAAGATAAGTGACTTAAGCAACACAAATGGTTATATGATGGTGATGTACTGAGTCTGGGTATAATTGATATCCAATGGTGTCATAAGCGTATGTTGATGAAATGGATTGGTACAACCTTGGTTACAATTGATTCACCAAGATCATATACCAATCCTTTCAGTGTTATGTATCATATAGTGGACTTACACCATGAATAGTATACTTATTATGCCTAGGTCATCCTAGTTTTATATTTCACCATAAGCGGTTGTGATGGTGATTAGTGGATGGACTGTATACAAAAAACGTTATGCAACATGATGAACATAGGTTACACGTATGCTTATTTCAATAGATGAAGCAGTGCTAGTAGTGGCTATATTGGATCAAATGGCAAATTGGTTTATGCAGGGTTCTTTATATATAGATAAATTGATTCCCACGTGGCATTATAAACAAAAATGGGTTCTGAATGAGTTAATTAATGGGGTTGATAACCTAAATGGATTAAGCCGCTGGAATCCCAGCATGTTTTCTGATCGGCCATGGTAAGGAAACAAACACATAACAATCGTAACAACCTGTCACGTTGGTTGTTGAGTATCCAGCAGATGATGATGATGATGATGAAGATGATGATGGTGATGATGGTGGTGGTCGTGGTGGTGGTGATGATGATGGTTAGCCTGAATGTGACCTCAATCATTCCTAATCTATTGGAATCATTTCATGGGAATGATTTGGAATGATTGTGATTTTGTTTGTGACAAATTAGGACCTCAAGGATTCCTAATCGACTGGAATAGTTTGGGATGATCATGGGACTTGTTGAGAAGCTAGATAAATCTACGTTTTTTCTCGCATCTATCAGATCATTGCCGTTGTGCATGTTTTTTTTCGAGAGGTTGGTTGCAGCTTCGCCTAATCCAGCCCGGAGTTTCCAAGGTCGATACCTTACTGCGAGCCTTGCTGTTTACCTTGGTGCCCATCGCCTATGCCGCTTGGCTGTTGCTGATGCCCCACATTCTCCCATGGTGACCCTTTTTTTGGGGGGGATGGGGACATATCGTGACCAACTCGCGTGATGATCATTCATGATCATTTCTCTTATATATATATATATATGTAAAATAGTTTGCATTATGGTTTAGATATGTGATATGGTTAGATTTGGTCCATTGTTAAATATCACGCATTTGTTTCCCCAACAATTCTCTCACTTTTGGGGTTGTCATCCACCCTTGACCACGCTTCCATGGTGCGCTCGATGCCCTGTCACAGGAATCTATGGTGGTTTTCTTTCTCCTACTGTCAAGAGCAGGCCTGGACCACTGGTCGTGGTTGAACTTTGCATTGTTTGATACGTTTGTTTGGTGTTTTTTTGAATTTTCACATGTGTTTTTGGGATAATTCAAAGTTACTACACTGTGTGGAATTCCGAATTTCGACGTTACTTCGTTTTTAATTCGACATGATCCAAGTGTGACATATATCCAAAGAGTTGGATATGTTGGATATTTAAGATTTAAGAATATTTAAGACTACATGCCAGCATATGCCGGCATGAAATGTTGGGGAACATACCTGTTCCTGGCCATTGTCGTCAACTTGCGAGGCACCGATGTAGCTGTCACTGTATTGTGCACTGTTCGGGTGCCCAAGTTTTATCTCCTGCTAGTTGTATGTGGAATATGTGGGGTGAAAATGATTGGCAGGCAAGATGGTGTGTTGGACCGATCATAAATCATAAAAATCCATTAAATCCAGTTGTGGATGTTGTGGTAGCTGGATGTACTTAGCTCAGACTGTGTCTTGTGACCTGTGGATTTCTCCTTGCGGATGAAGTTGGGCAGTTGGGGTTTATCCAGTTGTGTATTGCGATGCCTATAACCCCCACAAATTCTGATATACTGTAATATGATAATCCCATCCCCCGTCAGGATTAAGCACCCCCATTGTATGGTCCCAATTCTGTAAATAATACCTTTCTAAATCATGGTTTCTGCGGGTTGTTGAAGATGAATGAACGGGAAAAGGGGCTGCATCCCCAAGATCCGCATCAGGTCGTGACCTACTTTCTCTTCACGACCTGGATGAGCGTTGGGTGGGTGGCGCGTGCGTCACTTGGACGCACGACCTGAGGCTTTTATGATTGCTCAAATTCCTCTTCCAATGGGTGTGGTTCGTTTGCATTGAATTCAATTTCATATAATCACATAACTATAATTATACATATATATATAGATGTATTTGTAACCAGCGATAATCGCGTAATCAGCTTTCAATCCGAAAAAACACACCGCAGACAGGCGAAAGACGGAGAACAAGTTCGACGACGCGCAGGCGTCCGAGGCGAACGACGCGCTGTTGAACTGCAGCTGGGCGGATGTGAGGGGGAAAGACATCGGGAACTACGGAAAATCAGAAGTTTTAGTAATTTTAGTAGGTAAATCATGGTAAGTCAATAAATCATCATTAAATAACCAAAGGGTATGGGATATGATAGGCATGTTATGGGATATTATACTGGATAATGAGAATGGACAATGACAATGGGATGGTTCGTGATAGTGTAAACACAATAATAAACCAACCAGTGACCAACCATGACCTGGGGTATCTTGGGTCTTGGGATCATTTTACACCATAAGAAACCTCAATTGGTGATGTTGTTTCTGGTGTACGACATTACTGAGTTATGTCGGAATAGTGAGACACTATTTTTGTTCTGTTTGTCACATATCATTGATTGGAATGTTGGAATGGAATACTGATGAATACTGAAACCATATGAAACCTATGATAATCCCATCCCCCTAATGTTTAGCACCCCCATGGTATGGTCCCATGTATGGGTAAATGCCCTACGATTACAGGCATGGGGTTATTTGTCAAGTATAAAGTATGACCTATATACCTATATATATATATATATATATATGAGCAACCGTAAAAACCCTGGCAATACTAAATATGTATTCGACGGACATTGGCTTATGGAAATTGATGGAAATTGTTAAGAACACGAGGTAAGCGATGGGACCTTCCCAAATTAGCGATACCCCTTTTCAAGGTTATGTCATCATATTTCTCTAATATCCACATTAGCGATACCCACATATCACATATTATTCATAGTTCTCTTTATATATATATAAATACAGCAGTTTCCTGCAAGCGATACCCCCAAGTTTACCATATATCATTATTGTACAAACGTGTGGTAAGCGATGGGACCTTCCCAAATTTGTGAATGTCCTTTCCGTGAACCTAGGGTTTTCACAATCGCTCATATATATATATATGTGTAATTGTAACTTCAGTGATGAAAGGCATATATGCATCATTACGTAGAAGGTCGTGCTCCATAGTTATATAGTTTGAATCTGGTTTTCGACCGTCATAACTAAGACTTATGGTGATTCCACCCATGGTTAGATGGGCTTAAAAACACACACCTATTCCAATCCATTGACCTATCTTGATCATGGTTAATAATGGTTGATATTGAAACATATACAGTCATATGCTTAATATTTATAAATAAATATATATATATGTATCTGTATATCTATATACCCTGACCATCCAATCACAAGGTTTAACATTGTGGTTAGTCTAACCCCATGTCTTTACTTAACCCCATCATTTCACTGCCTATCGCTATTATATCTATATATATATATATACATATATTATATACTTATATACACATCTATCATATCCCCATTACATTATATCCCTATCACAACAGCAATGAATTCCATAGCTCAGGTGAGTCCGTCCGGCTGATGACCTCCGCTCCCAGAGTGCTGAAACGTTTCGATCGCTTGTGGTGGCAGCTTCAGAGGGGACAGACGCCCGGCCCCGAAACGGTCTCCACGGATTGGGCGGGTAAAAATGGTGAAAGGTGGAGGGGTTCACCGCCAATGCTGGGCCTAAATCCAATTCCTTAGCTAAGTTGGTTGAAGTAAGGGTGAATTTGATGGTAGATATGAGCTAGTTCATGGGGGTTATAAACCAAGTCAAAACTGGGGCGGTCACCCCCCTAATCGTGGTGATTTACTCGCCAAAAGATTGAGCTTAACCAGCAAAAGATGTGATTCTATCACCTCAAATCTTTGGGGTTTAACCCCAAATTAGGTCTTACCCGTGACACATTGTCAGCCGCGAAACATGGGCGAGAGATACCCTTCAAGTTCAGAAGATATCCAAAGATACCAGGCCATCCAGGCCTGACAGAAATGGGATCCTGCTGGCTATCTAGTAGTTAGATGTAGTTAGGAGCTGAGTGAACTAGGGAATCATGAGGAATCCATATTCCCAACAAAAGAATTGGGGTGCGGCACCCTCGGAGGATCTCCTCGGACCTGGCCGCAACTGCACTGGCGGGCGGGCAGCAGGCTGGCGCTATTTTACATTACCGAAGGGGGCACACCAAGATGATCATTCCCTTTTTGGGAATCCTGGTCCTAGCCATTTGCTTGGTGAATTTCCGATCATTGTGGGATCGTGATCTTCACTCGGCCAAGACATCATTTGTGTCTCCAAAGCACCTCACCGGACTAGTTGACTACAAGTTGGGGCCCGCAAAGGATAAACAAGTTGGTTTATAACTTATTAGTGGATCTGTTCGGTTTATGAGGGATATCATATAACTCCAATATACTGTGGTTATTATACAATATAACATTGTTTAAGTATATATATATATGATTATTATCATATAACTCCAATTTACAACTGCACATGTAGTAGAACTATATGGCATATGTGGAATTATATATATATATGTATAGTTGTATATTGGAGTTACATATATATATATTGATAATAACAATAATATATGATGATAAATATATATATATATATATATTGGCTGGTTACAGGAATCAAACATGGCTGGAAAATCCGTGCGAACTGAGCCGTGGAGGCCATTACCGCCATGGGAATGGGCATCTCCCTGCTGCTCGTGGCGCGAAGGGTGGTGCTTGGAACCGCCTCAGTGGGAGATGTTCCCATGGTGCAAGGTCCGGAAGCTGGTTGGAAGATGATGATTTAATATGATTTAACATGATTTCACCATGAAACATGGTGATTTCACTGATTTAACCATCACAGAAAAACGAAAGAATTGGGATTTACCCAGCCGTACCCAGCCAAACACAGCCAAACTGCTGATTGCATCATCAAGAATCACGGATGTAACAAGCGAAGAATGGATTTGGTGTCTGAAAATGGTGGATTCCCCTCATGTTCGGCAATTTTAGGAGGGACAGTTGGAAGATAAACCTCTGAATTTAGGGTACCCTATCAGGTTTGGTGTCCCAGCTATGGGCTCCGCTGCAATTCCTGGGTTTCTACATCAGGCCGTCCGCGGATGTTGATCCCGCCGTGATTGATGGGATGTAAACCCAATGATCAACTAGGAAATTTATAGGGCCTCGTAATTATGGGAATATGTATGTGGGATATGGTATGCTTAAGTATACTAGAACCAACTAATGGTTGACCACTGACCATCCCCAACGACTCACCAGAAATGGGTTTGATTCCGAAATTCGAGGTCCATGGCATTGGCTTTGCCACAGCATTAGTTGATGCAGCGTGTGTGTTGTCTAAGCTACTTATCAGCTGCATTGAGGCGCTTTGGTATTTGCTTACCCCCTGGTAATTTAACATAGCTATTGAAAATTGCCATTTATATATAGTGGATTTTCCCATTAAAAATGGTGATTGTCCATAGTTCTGTTAGTTTACCAGAGGGTAGACATCCCGTCCATTTGTCCATGGGAAAAACGGATCCTGCTCCAATCTCAGATGGTGACCACCAACTGGCAGATACCTATCCCCAGGCAGGCGCGACAGGCCTTGGTTGACTTGGAAGATGCCCGGCTCTTGCTATCACGGGAGGCGTTTATTTTCGGTCCTGTGTGGCCCGGGATCGACCGGATTTTTCCATGGGTCATGCATGGAAAAAAACCCACAGATCCTAACCAAACGACTTATGGTATCTTATAGTTATAGTGAACATCAAAACGTGATCAACCGATCAACCATGATCAACCATGATCAGTCTTGGGACGAAGGTGCCGGGAGTTTTGACACACCAAGGGCAAGGGGGCAAAGTACAATGGGTGTGTCACCACAAAAATTGGGAAACATGAATGCAATCAGCAGTTGCTCATCCGATCCAATCTGTAGCAGAAAGATGACCATAGCGACGAGGCTGCGTGGCTAAGTTCCCGACAGCTTCGCTTGATCTGAAGGCTCTCACTTTACTTGATGTAGAGCATCCAACCCCAAGAACGCAGAATCCAACCACTTCAATGCGTTCCATTGTGTTCCATCATGTTGCACAAACAAATTTAGAAATTGAAGTCCAACCCGAGAAAACCATCAAAATCCAGCAATTAGATGCAATTAGAATCCTTTAAAATCCATCAACATCCAACAAAATCCAAGTTCTCCCTTGGAAGTCAAACACGTTGGAAGTTGGCTGCTGCCCCTTTTCCAGGCTCCGCCTCTCGAGCTGGCCGAAGCAGCCGAAAGGAGGGATGGCTGGAACATCAATGGAATATCATCCTGGAGTATTCAATTGGAATCAAGGAATCATGTTTGGCATTTTTAGTTCGGAAGATACACATCACTGGAACTATCCAAAGATAATGATAGGTAATCATTGGAATACCAATGGACAATCACTTGGATTTGGATGAATTGTAGCAAGCTCACTGCTACGTTGGTGTGGAATTATGGTCATGCTTAGATGGTAGAATCATCCTTCCGGAAAGGAGTGGTGATTGCCTGTATGATAGAATACGCATTAACCTTTCATTTGTGCAACACTTGGGATTCGTTTCAAGCAACAAGAAAGCTGAAAGGGGAAGTTGTGTCAGAACTTTGATCCAACTGAAGTTGCCCATCGGCAGAAGTTTCAACGGAAAACCTCCTGGAGCAGTTTCTAAGAGTTTCACAGGTTCCACCTTGACATGATGTGAAAGACAGGTTCTCCATGCAGTTTTGTGGTGCAAGTTTGCTGCAGTAAGCCTTGGTTGACTCAGCAACTTTGGGAGTTACTCTCCACGTTGGATGCCTCGGAGGCATCCCAGTATCGCATTGCACAACCTGCCGCCCTGTTCTGCGGGCTGTCCATTGGTTGAATTCCGCAACGTGTTCCTGGGCAGCTGTGCCACAACCGGGACGATGGGTGGTTTGTTTTAAAGTGGTGCAAGACCTAAGCCAAGGGTATTGGCAAACCAAGATGATGCAATCATTGCAATATATATATATATAAAATTAAAACATATATAATATAATAAAATACAATATAATATAATATAATATAATATATAGTAATATAATATATAATATAATATAACATAATATAATATAATATAATATAATATAATATTTAGTAATTTAATATAATATAATATAATAGAATATAATATAATATTTAATATTTTATACAGGATTTTTTAAAATAATTGAGTACAATATAATAAATTTAATATAATATAATATAATAAAATATAATATAATATGATATATAATTTATTATCATCTTATATAATATTTAATATAATATAAATAAAATATAATATTTAATTTAATATAATATAATATAATTTAATTTAGTAAAACATAATAAAATATAATATAATATAATATAATATATTTTAGTATATTATAATATAATATATATATAATATATATAATTTACATTTTAGTATAATAATATATATATATCATTTAATATAATATAATATATTATAATATAATACAATAGAATATAATATAATATAGCATAATATAATATAACATGATATAATATGATATAATTTTATTTAATATAATATAATATAATACAATATAATATAATATAATATAATATTTATTTAATATACATTTTTATTTATTTTTTTTAAAAAAAATCATTTATTTATTTATAGATATTTGATGTAACGTGAATGAGCAGATTGTTTGCTTATGTTTGATTTTGAAGTCGGGGTTTGCAGCGTGTGCATGTGCACAGGCGCAGGAAGCCAAAAAAAAATAGTAGGTCCGCAAGGATATGGCAAAAAAAGAACATGTAAACCACATTATGGGCCTGAGTGGTTCTACAATTTCCATCAGTTTCACTACATTTGAGTGCTTCCAGGGCGAATCTCATACACTATACAAGGATATACTTGCCCGCTGATGGCCCCTGACCCAGGTGGTTCCGCTATGAAGCGAATTTGCCCTGGGTGCTGCAAGGTTTATCCTTCAGTATTCAGCCAGGTCACGATTCGGAAAGCGGTCAAGATCTACCCTCTGGTGATGGGAAATTCTCCATGAAATGGGCATTGAACATTATTTAAATGGGAACATCATCATCATCCATAAACGCATCATGTTCTTCCATTGCCATGTTTGATTACCGGATTTTGTTGAACATTTTGAGGCCTGGAGAATGGAATATGTGGGGAGATGGGATCATTGATTCAATGATTGATCCTTGTGGTGCTCTTCAAGCCCCTGCCAGCTCATCCAAAAGACCTGGAAATATAAACTGTTTGTTGGGGTGAAGAATCAAGAGCATATTTGGCATGTTTCAAACATGTTCAAAACAAGCTCCGGAACTTGTGGGGTAGCTCCAAACAACTTGTGGAGACACTAGTTTCTAAATTTTTGGGAGTGTCCTCTTGAAGAATCTTCTGAAATGTTTCAAGACAGCAACTTGGCATCTGATCTTTCCCTACCTCGAAATCTAAACTGGTCCAAGAGTAGCTTCCAAAAGGAGGATTCCCATGGATTCCCTCGTTTTTGGGGCACTTCATGTGTTTCGCCAAGAAGTGCGTTGGCCCAGGGGAGTTCTTCGTGATCGTTGGCCCCTCTGGCAGCGGCAAGAGCTCCTTGGGGCGCTTGGTTCCACGTCTCTTCGACACCTGCGACGGCCGGCTGGATGGTAGGTTTTTGGAAGGAATCCGTATAACAATCAACAACAATGGGAAGCGGTTTGGAGCTATTAGGAGTTTCCCCACTTGCATATATAGGAAGTTGTTAATAATCTGAATAACCAATAGTTATGATATGTTATGATCTATTTATTTATATTATATTTATTTATATGGAGTTTTATAGATGGGATAACCCTACTTAGGGGACTCACTCACCACCCGTTATTAATCACTTACGATCCGAGGGATGATCGTCCAAGTAGCAACGGATCATTTAGGTCCTAGGTTCTTCTGGGTGTTAATTTTACATAATTTTACTATGTATATAATATATATATATGTATGTAACAGTAACATTATACAATATAACTGGTGTGCTGGTGCGCATCGTCTCAAACAGGGGCATATACTATATCCATCAGGGGCATATCTTACAGATTCTTACAGTGCATCCGGGATTTTGTTTGCCACAGATGGGGAGGTGTGTGATTAGATTGTCACGTTTTTTTTCTCCTTTCCCAGCGGCAAATGCTAGGTTGTATGGTTTCAGATATTCGGGTTCAGATATTGGATGAACCCGAATGAAGGGTTTGATAATGTGTCGAGTAGCAGATTTCGCTCCGTTACGCAGGCAGCGTGTTGTTCAACGGCGTGGACGTGCGTCATGTGCCCCTGACTGACCTTCGAGAACGCCTGGCCGTGGTGCCTCAGGATCTGAGAAATTGGGTAAGCCCTGGCAACCTCGCAAGGCAATGGAACATTTATGGTTCTTTTTTGGTCCGTTTATAAATGTTTATAATATATTAGGTAGATAGATAGATAGATAGATAGATGGATAGATAGATAGATAGATAGAATGATAGATTGATAGATAGATAGATAGATATATAATGTTTATGGTTTTCTTCATTAAACATGATGTAAAAGAACATGTGGCATTCCATTGCCATCATTGAGGAAGTAAAGCAGGTGAATTATAGGTTGCACATGGTGGGATTTGTTACTTGAAATTATGGGGAATTAATATTTGTTTGTCAGCTTGAGCCAAGACATATATCTAACATCCAAGGCAACAAAGGAGGCAGCAAGGTCCATCCAAGGAGTCATCCAAAGGCTGGTCCTGTACAGCGCTGGTCATGGAGTAGTCCCAAATGAGCACCGTTTCTTTTTTGAGATCATGAAATCTAGATGAAAGGGAACTGCATCATATGTTTCGTAGGCTGATCATGTGTGTTTTGCAGTGCAGCGTAGGCGGCGTAGGCTCTTCGCGTATGCACTTGTTGATTCTTAATGATGCTTAGGCGGCTTAGGCGTAGGCAAGATTGCGTAGGCTGAACGGGAAGCCATTGCCTTCTCCATATGCGGTCAAAAAATTTGTGCTTGCGTGGACGTTTTTTGACATGTGCATCCGCGTAGGTTACCTTCCAAAAGTTAGTGTCTATAGTCTATAGGACCCAAGCACCCAAAAAAACACTGCTCAAATTGGGCATTCAAAAGATCAGGCATCTCCAACCATCGACCCCCTTTTTTCCGCTATGAACGTCTTTGTTTTTGCGGCCATTTCCCCCACCAAAACCTCCGCCCACTTCGTAGAAACATAAGAATAATGCATTTTTTCCCTTTACAGTAAACATCATGCACTTATTTTATTAAACCCATCCCTTACGCATCCCAAACAAGCGACACACCACGCGTGGTCGTGCAGGACGTGGTGGTGTTCAATGCCACACTTCAGCAGAACTTGTCCATTGCGAGACCAAAGGCCTCGTCTCAAGAGATGAAGGAGGCGGGTCAGAGGTCATGCTTGGGTCGAAATTTTAGGACCCTTCAGTGTCATCAAAAACGTGGAATCCCGAAACTATAACTACACATATGACCATTTGTCAAAAATAGTTGTTTAGAAGTTTAGTATTGGTTGTTGATAATTCATCTGGGTCTATTGTCTTTTCCTCTTCGTTATGAGGCGGCACGCAACTAAATTCAGCAATTCTGCAAGGCAGCGTAGCAAACCCGCTAGGTTTGCGCTAGGTTTGATTGACAGCCATGGCCTCCATGTCGTGAATGTCTTGCCAGCTTTTCTTACAAGTCTGTCAGTTTCCACAAATTCCCAAATTTTCGATTTTTTTAACGTATTTTACGCGCTAGATCGCCGCTAGCAACGCGCTAGCGAAAATTGCAAATACATGCCCCGGTCCACCCGCAGCCCATTCAGAGGCACAGCCATGTTCATGATTTTGGTAGCTTACCGTAAGGAAACAGCGTTGATCAGGAGGCATGTCAAGAAGCATATTGCATTCAGAGAGGCACACACACAGAGACACACAGTTCAGGAGATAGTACCAGCGACAGCGAATGAAAACCGACGTGCGTTAGCCGATTCCTGTGGTTTTAGAAAGATTTCCAAAGGTAACGAAGAATTTCCACGTTTTCACGTCATCAAGGTAGGTCATGTTTTTTAAAGGCAAACATGAGGCGGCACGCATGGAATTGAGATTTATCAACAAAACCGGGAACAGACATTGTGGCAAACGGTCATATGATACTCCCTCTCTCTCTCTATATATACTGTGTATATATATATATAACTATATATAATATACATGTGAATTGCGTATTACGTATGTGAAACGTATAAATGGGATGATGGAATAGGAAAGTCATCGAAGCGAATGGGTTCAAATTTGGGATGTTTGATTGCTGGAGGGTTTGCCCAAGTGGGCTTTCCGGGTTGGAAATTATAGGACAACTAGGACAACCAATTTCCATCCCATGATGGATCTTGTTATTTCTCCATTATTTGAAAAAGAGAGGGAGAGAGGCATGGGGAGTATACCCTGTGTTTAGACATACCCATGTATACCCCCCAATAGTGATATTTCAGTGGCGAGAAACTGATGATTCAATCCACTGGATTGGATTGGGATAGCCTATGTATTTGCAGACATACCCACTTTGGTATTTTGTGAGCCACACATTGATGGGCTTTAAACCAACCGTATCCTCTGCTGGTCCAGGCCATTCGTGCAAGCGGCCTGGAAAAAACCCTTCTCTCGGGCAGCAGCGGGTTGACCATGCACTCAGCACCTTGGGATGCGGTACCGGATGGGACACAGCGCCTCTGATGGGTTCCATTTTGAGGATGCCAAAATCTATGGTTTCGGACAGTTTTACGCAACATTTTTTGAACCATTCGATGAATTATAATTTTTGCATACTTTTGCCACACCGTGGGTGAAACTGAATGTTTTTGAAGGTTGTAGACAACTCTTTGGGCTAGTGTGGCTTGTATGGGGCTGATGGACTTTGTCTTGCGTCTCGTTCAAGTCTCGTTGATCAAAACCCCAACCATTGTTGGTAACAATCTCTTATAATTAGCGGCCTGCTTGACGCCTCTGAATGTTTGTGATCAGTTGTGATCATGTTTTTGAAATCCAGTTCGCATCATGAATTATGTTTTGATATGATATGTTCTGACTTGAAGACTGTTTGCGTTGTTCATGTGCCTCTTATTTCCCATTCTATCCGATGCCTTTGGTCAAACAACTGCAATTTCATGACAGGTTTCATGATTTCAACAGCCATCCTTTGCAATTCTTTGCCAAATGTCCAGCCTGAATAGACCGACCATGACTGCATTTCTGATACGTTCTTTTTGCTAAATGTCCAGCCTAAATTTACATAATTTCTCCATATTTCTCTTATTTATAGATGGCAATGGGAATTCCCCGATTGAGATGGGAGGTGTTAATATAATATGTTTTCATGGGTTCAAATCCAGACATGAAGGATTTGCATTTGTTTCAATGGGAACATGACCCTACAAATCACCAGGAAACTTCAGTCTTATTGCTACCATGATCATTTCGACCTATAAATGATGAGTTTTCTTGGGAAAACTTGCCCTTTGTGGAGCCCCAGTGGCACAGTGGAGCCAAAAAGGTCGTGGGTGAGCGCGGTTTACGCCTCTCTGGTGGCGAGCGGCAGCGCTTGTCCTTCGCACGGGCCTTGCTGAGGGCACCTGAGACGGAGAGCGGGTTCAATGGGGATGACGGGGTGAAGGCGGGGCTAAGATGTTGATAAAACGCGGTGATTTCAGGGATTCATATGGATTAATAATGATTAATCCAGGTTAATGGTTAATAATCACTGGTTTGTTGTTTAAGAATGGATAACGATAGTGGGGAATATGAAATATGTATATTATATGATGGATATTGCGATAATGATGATGGATAATGATGCTTAGTATCTTTGTAGACTGATGTAGACTGTTTATACTAGTTTATTCAAGATATTGTTGCTCAAAGAAGGTGCAGTATTGGATCTCTTATATTCATTGTGGAATTCTTTGCTGGTTGTATTTCGCACACGGATATTTGAGGCTTAAGGGGAATGGGATTCCTACCCATCATCCATATCCATCCATATCCCCATTACAATGCACTTTTTTTGTTGGTTAAAATTTCATTTGTTCATGGTCAAATACCCATTGTATACCACATGTGCCGGGTAGCTACTTGGAAGAGAATCCATGGATATCCATGGTAATCCCACTTGGTAAGAGGTTCGTAGCCATGATTAGCAAGTCCCCGTCAGTGGGGTTCTCCAATTCATTACTAGCTTAGAACCTTACCAGATATTGGGATAGTGGGATGATCCTCCACAAGCTGGTGCCCCCCCAGTTATACATCGGTATTTTATCCCATTAACTATAGATATATCATGATATATCACCTATAAACATCTATAAACCACATAGTTCTTGGACTTATTGGCACCAACTTAGCGAGTCCGAACTGGAAAACCACCCTGCGAAAAGGAAACGCGAGACGCGCCGTGGAACGCTTCGCTCCAGGAGCTTCTGATCCTTGATGAGGCGACCAGTGCGTTGGACTCAGAGACGGGACAATTCTTGCTGCACAGCTTGCAACAGCTGCGGCGCGCCAGCAGGCAGAATGGACCAAAAAAAAACGGGCATTGCGGCATAATGATGGTTCATCCATCTATGAAATGGTGAAATAAGATGATTTTTATGGTCTGTATTGATTTCTAACATTTTTTTGTAAGCGCATTTATGGTCGGTTATAATCACCATAAACCCTTTTTAGTTAATCCATGTTAATCCCATCCCCATCATCTCCCGTTCATATTAGTTACAGCCCCATTGTGTGCTCCCAAATATGTGATTTCATCCCCTCGTACTAAACCAGGGTTTCTGGGGGCAGATTAACAACCCCCAGCCCCCAGTTTCTTTTGACATGTTTCTTTCGAATTGGATGTATACTTTTATGCCTGGCCTATTTTGGGAGGTAACCCTTGGGGTTTTATTCATCCGGGACATTTTTCCATTGGTGGATGGGCAGATCACTGGTGTCTGAAGCTCGGGCCGCCTTGGCGTCACCGTCAGGATGCCGGCCATCCTGGCGATAACACACCAGTTACAGATGGCCAAAGTTGCAGATCAGGTGCTGGTGCTCCAGGATGGAACAGTGAAGGACGTGAATCTGGCTGTGGTGCGACTGAGGAAGAGAAAGTGCTGGGATGTGGGTGGTACTCATAGATGGTGGTGGTAGTTGTTTTTGCCCATGTAGATACAGCGTCTATGATATTCTGTTGAGTCGTATTGCTTATCGCCTTTCCATACGATGAAACACTTGCCCCCTCTTGGCATTTGGAACAGGAGCGCGGTCGACACCAGGAGTTGGTGTCCAAAGGTGGCGAGTATTGCAAGCTGCTGGCAGCCGCTGGTGAAATGTGAGGCGCCAAAGGCGCCAAAGTTTGGCCGAAGAAAACTGCGCAGGAAAAGAGTGGGGAGCAGGGGGAGCAGGCAGTGGATTACATATTCATGATCATGCATATGATTATTCATACTGATAAAAAAAATATTATATAAAAAAAATGCTATACTGATTTTTTTCATGTGCACTACTCTATCTATAATGTAGTACACCGGTTAGTGTCCTGGTACCCTATTGTGATTTTTTTCCAGACTAATTGAGTATCCTGCCTTTTTGGGGGTGGGGCTCTATTGTGAAAAGCTTTTCCTCATCCAATTTTTTCAGGAGGAGCTTTATCCACCTTTATACACCTTTCTTGGGGTAACGCTGGTTTATTTACTTTAGAAAACCACATCCATTTTAAAGCCTTAAAAATGCAAGGTTCCCCAAATAATTAGATGCCTTACCCTTATTAAAAAACAGCACCAAAACAATTTTTCAAGGGGCACCCCATGAGTGACCGAGATCCTCAATAATGTAATTGTTTGGATGGTACCCTATTGTGCACAAAAACGTGTTAAATTATTGGTGTGATTGTTTTTTAGAATTATATAAAAGGAAAATCAATTGAAAGTAAATTCTAATGAATTGAAAGTAAATTGAGTTCAATTGAAATCCTTTCTTATCAATAGATTTCTTTGAGGTTTAAAGGGAAAATCAATTGAAAGTAGATTGATTTCAATTGAAATCCTTACTTAAATTGATCATCCTGAATTCCCCAGACCTGGTCCCAAAAAATTGCCGAGTTAATGAGTAGACCAAAATTGTTTGAGGGGGGGCCCTACACTAATCAGCGTCCAACATTATATCCCATATTATATTATATATATATATATATCCCAGACCAAAGGTGAGATGGATATAGTATACTGTAGATTATTGATATGCCAATATACCTCATATTTGTGCCACTAGGGTATGGGCACTGCATCTCTTCCCTTGACGGCCTAGGCCAGTAGCACGGCACCAGAGCGGAGCAGTGGCTTTCTGCAGGCCTTGGATGGTGAAGTTGTTGATTGTCGCAGAAAATTGATGTTCATCCCTCATTGGTGGGACTTAATATGGAGGTTTCCTGAAATGGGGAAACCCCCAAATCATCAATTTTAATAAGATTTTCCCTGAAATAAACCATCCAGCTATTGGGGTACCCCCTATGGAAACCGCCATAGACTTCTATGATCTTCGGTTGGAGGGTGCCTTGCTGAAATGTAGACTGAACCAGGTGAACTTCTCAAGCCAACGGATAGCTAGATCTCAAAAAATCCACCACTTCAAAACAGTGGCAACCTTGGTTGGGTAAGTAGACGTGATTTGTATTTCCCTGTTTGAACCTTGGCAGCTCCAGGTGTTTCTCTCGTGGCAGGTCAAGCAGTCCATGCAGAGCATGCTATCGAGGCTTCAAACTTTGACTCAGGCGAGGATGGCTGTCATGGCCTCGGCGAAGGGCGCCCACTTCATGCATTGCGTATGTTTTGCTTAAGCAAGGGGCTTTGATGTATATAATCATATATATATAGATATAGATATATGACATACAAGTAAGCATATTACATGTATATCTCAACTTGTTTGATATTTGTTTAGTTCCCAAGTGTTATTTAATTATTGCTACAAATTCGTACAACACACAGATCCAAAAAACTTGAAAAACAGTTCATGTCCAGTACACTTTGGACAGCGATCAATCCATCAATGAGCACCCGCTGCAGGCAAATCGGGATGTCCCAGAGTTAAGACAAGAGCCGGAGACCTGGGCGGCAGCTCATACCACTGGGGAAGACATTTGCAAGGCATAAATATCTGCAAGGCATAAATATCAGCAAGATATATGAGGAACAACGACATGGATAGAACAGGAAGAATGATCACATTAATTCAATTCTATTCATTTGGTGGCCATCAAAGTTTGTAAGTATTTCATTCACATTTCTTTATTAGGCAGATATAGGCAGATAGGATTACTAGCAGTTATGTGATAAACCCAGCAATTTGGAACCTGGGAATGATTTATACAAGCCATTTCTACCCATTTCTGATAGAATTGCGGATGGACTATTGGAATGTAAAACAATAGATGGAGCCGCAGAAATGGCCACATCTAGGCGTTTGATAATCGTACTTTTCATCTTAGCTTTGTTTCGGGGATTATTTTAGCTCGATTGGCTCCAACCATTTCATTTTGTTGATGTTCCATTCCCCATTATCCCCCAAAAAAACATCTACAATGGCTCCAATCACCGATTTGTTGGGATGGATTGAATGTGTCAAGACTTCAAGACATTTGCATTCAGACCCCTGCAGGCTCTTGGGTTTGCAGACTGACTTGGCACAGGCGTGGGGTGAACAAACCAACATCTTTCGTATGTATGTACCAGGTCTATCCATGTCTTATACTATGCTCATTTCAGAATTTCTGTGCATCTGTAGGTAGGATAGGATAGGATAGATAGATACAGAGAGAGAGAGAGAGATAGATCGACAGATAGGCACACACACACACATATATATATATATTATAATAATAATTATTATTATTATTACCATTATTATTATTATTATTGTTTATGTATATATATATATATTTATTTATACATTTGCATATGTGTGTATATGTACATGTCTGCGCATTTTTCGGTGCATGTCTGCATCAGGTGGCACCCATGGCCTTGGCCGAGGTCTCCAGGCGGAAACGCCAGCATTTTGTGGGTGAAACCAATGATACCCTCTGGTTATAATGGTGATTTATAGGGGATTTATATGGGATTTATAGGGGATTTATATGGGAATTATCCTCTGGATCCCTCTGGTTATTTGTTACATAGCCATGGTATAGATGGCCCATTGAAATAGATAGTTTACCTATTATAAATGGTGGATCTTTCCATGGCTATGTGGCTATGTTAAATAACCAGATGGTAAATAGATGCTGTAGGAATACAGGAACTGATTCCCGTAAAGTGGCCAACTCTTCCTGTTTCAAACATATCCAGATAGATTGGATGTTCTAAAGTAAGATGAAACCAAGAGGTAAATGGCAAAATTACACCAAAGAGATGGACAAGTTACTCTTTTATTGTGGTGAGAAATTGTGTTTCCATGCTTGGGGTGCTGCAACATAATATGATAGGCACACAAACACATATGTTTTTCAGAACAAATAGATCCTGGATGGAGCATGCCCATTCAACAACCGATAGATCCAAGGTCCAAGATCCATGCTCATAAACGGTCCATTCTGCCAAAAAGGACAATATTCATCTTGCCCGTAATGGGTATGTAACCCAAATCTCTAGGGTATTTTGTTTGCAATTTGCAATGATTTGCTTATTAGGATGCAAGCAAAACGAAGGCGCACAACAGAACACAGAAGGAGAGGTGCGTCTTGCCACAGGACATACTCACCATGCAGAAACGAAGATGGGAAGGGAACAGTTCCTCTTACGACTCGGTCGAATCCATATTCTGTTTTGTGGAGTTTTCAGCCATGTTTTCCAACATTGGCCTTGTTTCCTTTCAAGGGAATGTTACCCGAAGAGATCTTCCTTGCGCCAGTGTGAACGAACTTCTGGCCGAGCTGCGACAAGTCTACAAAGAATGCTTAGCAGAGGTGGGGAACAGTGGATGGACAACATAAAACCGCCAGCTCAGGTGCACTGGTCATGTTTAAGTACTAGCCATTCAAACTGGGCATACCAGTATAATATTGTGTGCGTGTAACATGTGCAATTATATGATTATATATTTATATCATTCATATCCAATATTCTTTATCATGGTGTTTTCTATACGTATATATTATTATATTTTATGTATATAAAAGTGGTATCCCAAATAAACATGCATAAATATGGGAAGTACATTAGGTTTGCTTAGGCTGGTTGGCAGTTTGGTTCATTTGTTCCATTCAATTCAACCAGAGGATGATGGCAGTTGACTATATAGCATTTTGGGGGCTTAGTTGAAACTGACCAGCCAGCACAGGAAGGCCCCCAAAGTCCCCAAAGTCCCCAAAGTCCCCAAAGTCAAAAGTTGGTTTCTGACCCAATCATAAATCACCAAGTTTGTGACCATATCAAGTTACATGTTACATATCATTATCATAACTCAAAATTACAGGTTGGTGAGAGGTTTCATTCCTGCTTTTGGTGGTTACATGGTGTTCCCGTTCATCCAGCCTCGAGGCAACCCTGGAAGCCTCCAGCTACATGGGCCTGAACTTCAATGCTTGGAAGCCCAGCTAGGCACATGTTGACAAAGCGAAACGGTGATGCCAGGTGCCTGTCTCCCAAAAAGATCTAAACAATGGATAGATGGATGGATATACAAACTGAAATCCAATCTTGTTTGGATTGTTTGATTGATTTGCAGAAGTGCGCAAACGAAAGAAACGACTTGCAGGACATTTGCGCGAAGCAGGGGCCAGGAAACAGAGGGGTGCCGCTGTTCTTCAATGTGATAAAGCCAATAGTCCTTCCCATGGGTCCCATGACTGAGGATGGTTTATATCAGCATAGATCATCCATAAAAATGGTTAGACATCACCATATATCATCCATATATCATCCATATTTGTATCACCATATATCACCATGACTTGGAGAATCGTTGGATCCTCCTTGGCATCAGTGACAATACTCACCTGTGACAGGCCTCACGATGAACATGACCAACTCTTCCAAAACGTTCATGGAATACCCAAGGGTACTAACATTACTAATCCATACAAATCCCTTCTCCTTAATATGTATATATATAGACATACAATTATATACATACAATATATATATTATATATATTAAGCACTCGGCAGACATCATGGTGGATGTAGGAGATGTATTTTACACAACCATGACCGACCCCAGGTGGGCGATTCAGTGGCCAGGGTCGCTCAGGGTCGAAATTTTCCACAACTGCGACACAAGCTCAGTGGCCACAAAAAAATGTAAACAATATGGTACCCTCTGGTAAACTAACATAGCTATGGAAAATCACAATGTTTAATGGGAAAATCCACTATAAATGGTCATTTTCAATAGCTATGTTAAATTAGTAGAGGGTAAACAATGTGGTAAACCTTATGCTTTTTGGGGATGGGTCAAAACCTAGAAAACCCCTGGTGAACAGAAGAGAATAGTTGGTAAATGGATGTTCATCCCCCTAAATGGTATCAAACAAGGTATTGATAAATAGCCATATAACTTTCAAAACACATGGAGTTAAATACCAATGCATCCAATGCTTACTGTATATTAAATGAAGTGTCTAGTGGTTAGTGGTGTTGATTTATATTCACAACCGATGCATCACTATAATTGATGATATTTGAATATGTGCAAGCTCACATTTTCCAGATGGTTTATGTTTAAGGTTGCTAAGAGTTGACACATGTTGACATTGATACTTCAAAACTGTGACTGCAAGTCCTACAATCAATGTAATGAAAGAACGCCCTTCCAATGACTGATCTCCAGCCTTTTGACGGATGGAGATAGGTCAAGGCTTTCAACGCTGTGTTTTTGAACTCCATGTGATTCCATGTGGGTTTCTTTGAATATTATGGGCCCCCCAAGATTATCACCATTTTCCCCCATTTCTATGACCATGACTGGTTTATATCGTTAGTATAGCCTATGTTCAGACAGTCCCATATTGGTCCTTTCTTCCTTTGTCCATTCAAACCCGACTGGGCTGGCTGGCCATTGCATCCCATTGTAGCTCGGAAGCAGACATGTGACATGTGCATTCAACATCATTCAACTATTTAACATCCTTTTCCACATCTATTTCTTTAACTGGCTACCAGTGGTAATAGTTCTTCACCACCAGTGGAAAAGGTGACCAGTGACTGCCCAAGGCCACTGGTCTGAATCGCTTCTCTGCACCCCGGCTGCTGGAGACCCCAGGTGGTCATTCCATGGCATGACTAGTTGCGATCCTTGCCAGCTGCTCATTCCACCAGAACTCTATTTTTTTCTGGTTGTATGTTGTATTTGTATCAAGCTATATCATCTCATATCTCCTTTTTTGTTGACTCCGGTGGTTTCTATATACATTGTCATACCACCATTCCTCCAACTCATGGCAGGGCCGTTATGTCTAGTAGGGGGGATGGCCCACCTGCCCTGCATCCTCTACAGTAATTCAAGATAGATATGGAAACCAAAAACATGCAACAACTATAATAGCCGTATAGCACAGGGAAGGGTGACAGCGATGGAGAGAGAACTATGTATGAAAATCCAGCAGTTGTATCCAGTTGTAATGTGGGTGAAACAATGCCATAAACCAACCCCCAAATCACCATTTTTATAGGTGGTAGGGTTACCATTCCCAAATGGGTGGTAAAAATGGCATTGTTTTACCCACATTACAACTACCAATTCATCAACCAACTATCTACTAATTCATCTATCAACTATCATCTATAGTAGATACCACCAGTTGTAGATGATAATATCAACTATAGTTTATCTAATAATTCTACCTATATCAACTGTTTTACCACTACAACTATCATTGTTTTACTTCCACCAGTTGTTTTACGATCATTTTCCGAGGGAATTTCCCCAGGATTTCCCCACCCCAGGCGCGTGCTGTTGGAGAATGCTTTGCAGCGCGCTGGAATCCAGTTGCAGATCTTGAGGGAAGACCCCCTGGCCTGTAGGCATCTTGCAGCTTTGCCAAACAGTCCTGGATTTATGGCCCAAGATAATTTATGGTAATTAATGATGATTGGGATATGAATCATCATTAAATTACCATCCAGTTCAACAGGTTTACTCCATGCCTCTGTGATTTTGATGGTAATTTGAATGATGATTTATATATATATATATATACTATTTGGTCTGAAGGCGATGGAGAGAGAGAGAGAGAGAGAGAGAATAGGTAAATCATCTGTAAATGGTCCAGTTTCCATAACTATTTTCTGGACTCATGGCATTTTGATGATTTCTTTCATGGTAAGACCATAGGTCCCACTAAGGGTGGTTGGTAAACTGCTGGTAAATTTTAAACATTGGATCAGCAAACCACCAAGTATCAAACATGCATCATTTCAAGGGAAAATATCATCCACATGTCTCTAGAAAATGTGCATTACTACGGCGTAGGAGAAATTGACAAGTCCGCTTCATTTCCAACTTTTGTGGGTTTGTTTATAAATCATTCTTAGATGACTTTGGTATTCTTTGAACCACGTACATGCATGCATACATACATACATACATACATACATAGATAGATAGATACATACATACATACATACATACATAGATACATAGATACATATATATATATATAAATCATTTTACCCTGTGATATACCATCAAAATAAACATGCACACATATTTCGAGCAACTTGTTTGGTAGCATTGAAACCCATAATAATTTCTACATGTGTCCAGTAAGCATCTAAACAGCTTATGCACTCGGAGGGTATCCCAGAGCAGCCCCTGCAGGTTGCTGGAAGCCCTCATACGAGCTGCAAGCAACAGCAACTTGGGCATTTGGCTGCGCAGATTCGGGCAGATGTTGCATGGCGTGCAACAGGAAGGTTTGAGAAGTTGAAGATACTAGTGACTGAATGTCTCATGGGCTAAATCATCTAGGCAAGTTTAAATATATTGCTGCAAGTGAAAACCATGTGGGCATGAGGACATTTTCCACTACTGTACTCTACTCATGGTGAGGGTGGCAAGTTTTGTTTTTTGTTTTCTCCTTCGGTCTAAGGTATGGGGATTGCAGCCTCCTACTTTGTGGAAGCAAGACTTTGTGCTTTGTTTGGGAGCCTAGCCGCGTTTCGATATCTTGGAAGCCACTACGACATCGCATCAGCAGGACCAGATTGTAAGAACCATTTTGTTGTTAGGATTGTTCTTTCTGCGTCAAATCCTGATTGTTGGATATTGCATATTGAATATTCATATGTTTGATATTGTTTGATTATTTTGGGTTTGATCACACACGTCGTTTTTTTTTGTCGGTCGAATCCTGGTTTGCTTTTTGGCTCGGCTCGTGAATTTCATGTGCCACTACTTTCTTGTTTGACGACTGAATCGTACTGAATCCTGCTTTTTTCATCGATTGAATCACTTCTTTCCTCTCCGAATTCAGTTGTCAACTTCCCATTATATACTGTAGATTGTAGTTTCTCAATGTTTCATATATCTTTGATGTTTTGTAGTTTTGAACAAGAATATCATATCATTTTGATGTATATGGTTCACTTATGTTTTTTTTGGCGTTGAACATAAGTTTTCTCATGTTTTGTTGGTCGGTCATCGTTGAATCGGCGGTTTTTCTGCAGGTCCAACGCGCGGCTGGGCGCCAAGATTGCCGTGAACGGCTTGACGCGCTGGATGATCAGGCACGGCGGTATGGGACTTTAAGCCTCCGGTAAACGCTTACATAACGATGGAAAATCATGGAAAATCATGGAAAATCATGTAAAATCATGGAAAATCATGGAAAATCATGGGACATCATGGAAAATCACCATTTTTTAATGGGTAAATCAACTATTTCTATTAGCATTTTCAATAGCAACCTGTTACAGTTTACCAGAGAACAAGCCTCAAAGATGTGGGATAAAACCGTATGAATGATAGATTTGGGTTTGGATTTGGGGATATTTCATGAGGATGTTCCTTTGAAAAGTGATGGGATACTTCATACCAACTGAAATAGATCATTTGGGTGTACTTGACATATGGGACAGTGACCATCAACACATCTATGCGATAATATGGCAATGTAGTGGGGATTTACTTTTGAACATGGAGGTTTAAACAACCAAAATAGATCAAAATAGGGTGTTCGATAGTTTTAGTATGAAAACATTGGGAATTTACCAAAGGATATCAGACGGATATCATGGGAAAATCATCCAACAGCTGGGGATGTAATGATATAATAAGGATATTTCACCAATGAACAATGGTGATTCAACATGATTTAACCTGATTTAACCAGCAACATGTTGGGAAACTAGCTAACGAATTGATGGGGGGGATCTGAGATAACTGGTATATTTTCATATAGGATGTATTGCCAACAATGTGATATTTGGGTTTGTCTGAAAAAATGCATGGTACGCCTTCAAGTGGCAATTGGACAGTTTTGTCCCCTAATTTTCAGACACCCTATAATACTATATCATGCTACTTGTGCGCGTGTGTTTTGAAAACACCGGAACATGACTGACGGCAGTGGTACCAACCATTCTGACTCAGGAACATTGCAGATGTAACCAGTATAAATAATTTGTTCGTATATCTGACAAAGTGGGTGATGCACACCTCGAGAATAAAAACTAACAATTGGATGGAAACCAAACATACTGTATAGAAATATCATGAAATATCATAAAATATCAAGATCCAATTTGTGAAGCTATTTTTCCAGACCCTATTCTTGGAGGTTCATGTTGCTTTAGGGAGTGCCAGCAAATTGGGTGCTGTGGCCAGCGTGGCTAAACAGCCCCAGCTGAGTAAGGCTTAGTAAGGATGTTTTTGGCATCCAAGAGATCATGGATACACACAGCTCCCCGCAAATGAGTCGTATATAGCATATATAATATTATTTAATTATAGTTCAGGTACTGTACCCTTGGAATCACTCATTTGGGTCGGTTTGCAGATGAGTTTGATATGAAAATTTCCAGCATGGTCCAATGGTCCCAATGGTGGCAGGTTGAATCCCCTCTCTCTCAAGGGCCCGGATTGATTTGGGTAGGAATGGACATTGGCAGCAGGATGGCATGGGTTCATCCAAGGCCGCAGCCTGCGGAGTGGGTGGTAGAGCCGTGATGTTTCCAGTCCTGCTTTATCCATTCTTTATCCATGTTTCGGGAAATCTGATATCTTCAGGGTATACTATTATACTATGGTATGCTTACAATGAAACAACCATTGAAATGTTTGGTTTGGGTAGGGTTTCCCATGTGATCATCTCAGAAATGGCGATTGGTAAGGTCCTGGCAGAGCACACCCTGTGCTTGGCAGGCGCTGCACCGGTGCCGGGGTAGTTGGGTAGTTGGATCTTGGATGATCTTGGAAAGGGACCCTCTTCTGCGGCTATTTCATTGGGAAAGGGGCTAGTGATTAGATTTCTAGTCATGGGTTCCATCTAGCTATCAGATTCACATATATATATATACACCTATATTACTGTATCTATATAGTAACCGCATGTGCTGTACTAGGTTTCTTTGTTTCACATGTACATACTTGCTTTTGGTATTTCTGAGTCAAAGGATTGATTTGAAACTTAGCCGTGTGCATATATATATATATGTTTTAATTTTCATCATAATATATTATATATATATTATAAAATTATAATATATTACAATATTATGAAATATATATATTTATAAGGCCCGCTTTGGGCATCTTTGGGCTAGCCACACTCTACGTCGTAGGTTGCCACGACCAGGTCTCTACTGGCAGTTCCTGCGGGGGGGCGTCGCCACGTTTCTGTACTCCTTCCTTTGGGGACCCTTTGGGGCGAGGGCGGTTGCTGCTCTTGGTGAATTCTTCAGAGATTTCTGATGATCAAAGCGACTCAAAATCCAACACTCCGCAACTTTTTAGATGCAAAACCAGCATAGTCAAGGAGGAATTTGACATGGTCATTTGGGTCAATTTGGGTCTACGCCAGGATACCTCCGACCATTCTAGGTTAAAGTTAAAACACAACTTGACGGAAAAATGTTTGGGATGCGTTGCGCACTAATTTTGACTATCCATGTTCAAATTCAAGATGATGAGCCCAAATCATTCAACTTTGCAATTTCGAGACTTCCAAACCATATGAACACATATTTTCAAACTCAATGAATACTTTCATGTACTTTCTTTTTTTCAGCCTTTAAAAGTGCATGATGTTTGGGACCCAAGCCAGACCAGGAAGTTGGGGCGTCAGCAGAACCGCCATGCTGTTGTTAGGCCGATCTGTGCGGATCTGTCAGCTTTTTGTTGTCAAAAAAAATCTGAGTTTGATGGCATTCTCACAATCAATTCTTATATCATTGATATCCAAATCTATCACTAAAAAAGGTGATTGTCTACATCAATCCTTTCCATCGTTTAGATTTTAATATGATTTAAACGTCAATCATTATACAATTATACACATATAAGATCATATAAAGGTTTCTTTAAAATGGGGATGGACTTGAAATACTTAAGGGCCGCTTAGCTTTTTCAGCTTCTCAGCGAAGTTCGAGGTCTGCCCTTGTTGCTGGAGTCCTGGATCCAGGTCGGGAAGCGGCAGAGGGAGCTATCCTTCAAATGTTAGGAAAGACAATGACTATTTCTATACTGGTTGGTGAATATATGGGATAATCCTTCCCATTTTTACCAACATTTTTCAAGATGGTTAAAACCACCAACCAGTATAAGTTATAAGTTATAAGTTATAAGTATGTATATTATGGCTATTGCATGCAATATTATCTATGCATATTATATGTGTTATATAATATAGTTAAACGCTGGCAATGGCCAAATCACTCGTTTCTGGGTGATGTTTTTCCGACTTGACTTGCCCTTCCCAGTTCCCCAAACAAATTACAAAGATTTTGCGCCACGCATTTTGTCATTCCCAGAGCTTAGTCCAATGTCACCCCGAAACTGGCCTGGCTGGGGGTCAGGCCTCCATTGCTGCCAATCGTGCTGGCTTGATGGATGCCTAGTCGTGGGAGATCATTCAAGGCAAGCCACCCAGATGTCTTCTTTCAGGAAACCCAATGCTGAAAAGAGAAACCCCCAATTTCAGGAAACGCCCAAGTCATCTCAACTCTACAATCTTTGGTGAAGCAAGATGAACAGGCACTAAAGATTTGAATCTGGGCGGACCATTGGCGCAGTGGCAGTGCTTCACCATGAACGAGCCGTGTTTTTCTCCCAGGTCCGTGGCAACTCGAAGTTCGGGGCGAGATCTGCGGAGCGCAATGTTGAACCAATTTGACACCTCACATCAGGGCTCCAAGCTCTGCAACCTGGCAACCTCGACATATTCGGAATTTGTTCACTAGTTTGACACTAAGAATCAGAATCACAAGCCAAGAGTATTCCGGTTTCCGGGGCCCTTCCGAAGTTCTAATATGATGTATGTCAGTTATCTCTTTGAAATTCTCAATGCACCCAGTTTACTCCAGAGTGTTGATCACCAGGATCCCCAGGATTAATGGAGCAATGTTTCTAGTTGCCCTGGTAGGAACCTCGCAACGCGACTCACAGCTGGCAGAAAAAGGTGCCTTCAGCTGGATCGCCGCGACCTCGTTTTGATGCACATTTTCATGCTCTCCTGCATCAGACGTGTGGGCAACTGATTGTCAGATAAGCAGGATTTACAATGTGGGGCCCCTCAGTTTTGTTTGTTGGTTGGTAAACCACGTTAGTTTAAGCTATAAGTTATAGGATGTTACAAGCATCAAAAACAAGAGTGAGTTATTGGACCTAAATAAATCAACTGTTGTTTTTTCCAGACGCTTCTGAGTCGCTGGGTGTCCAAAAAAACACCTCGATGATTTTAGGATATGACCCATGGTAGCAGTTCAATTGAGCATCATAATGGATAGCTATGGAATGCTGAATGCAAGATTAAAAACATGTTTAATTGATAAATTTGATATTCATTATATATATATGTGTGTGTGTGTTTTGTTGGTTATTATGTGTCATCATGTTCATTCTCGTATGCCAACACTTCATACTGTCCTTCTGTATGCACACACAGTTGCACATCAAGAAGCTCACATGCCCCGGTCATATCAAATACACCCCAAAAAGGGACACCTATATATGAAGAAATCCGCTGCTAAACCATGGGTTTGATTGGGGAGTATCTAAAATGAGGGGGATCAGGTCACCACTACTGATAATTAATGGTAATACATAAGATAATGACAACAGCAATGATATGACAGATGGCGATGGAAGAGAGAGGAGAGAGGGAGCAATGATAATAACATTGTATAGATTCATAGATGTAATTTTCATGAACATTGTGATAATGACAGTCATGACAATGCCATGAAAGTTGTGATTAATGATCAAATCAACATATAATATCATTATTAATGATATATCGATAGTGATAATGCCATTGTGAACATCATATGATAGTAATGATAATATCAACAGGTGGACAGCACGGTGGACATTAAAAGATCGCATTCGACCCCCATTCGTTATACCATGGACTGCCAGAGATCTCAACGTTGAGGAGCCCCTGGTGATATCATGGGACACTGGGAATATCATTGGGAATACATTGAGAATATCATTGCAAATTGTAACTGGGCATTTTATTTGATATTATTTGATACCATTACTTTATGGAAATTATAGTTGTTTTTACTTGTTTTTTTATTTGTTTGTAACGCATGATGTATCTGGAAACCATATATGGTAAGTTGATGTGGAAAACAAGTAATGTTGCACATGGTAAGCTAGAGCTACGTATATATATACACTTAATGGTTGTTCAACTATAAATGGCCGAGATATTTATATATATATATATACAGTTAATTGATATGATATGACATCCATTATTACTTCTCTTGTGGTGCTGCTCACGCCGGGTAGTAACCATCAAAAACAAGCGGTGAATCACTGCACAAATCGCGTCATAGGGATTGGATTTAGCCACCTGCACAAATGCTCAGTGGTGGAGGAATATGTAATATCCTTACTATACCCGTACATATGCCCTATACCCTTGCCATGAATTATCGCGATTGGAAGCTTTACCAGTGGGGCTCACACATTCCCGTCTCCTCTCCCGAGATGATTTGTAGATGTTTCCCACATATGGAGAGTACTAGCGAAACAAGTGTGAGTGACCTAAGTTTTTTTCCAGAGAAATCAGCGCAAAAAAGTGGTGAATAGAGATGAACAGACCACACATAGCATGATGACAATGATCCCCAAGGACTTATTCAGTGGTTGGGTGCCTTCACCAACATGTACATGTTGGTTAAAACCTGCATCATATCCGTTTTTCCGCTTAATCCGCGCTGTTTCTAAACCCTGTGAACCCCACAAACAATGGGTATTCTGAAACAGGTTCGTTTTTTTTTTTACATATGCTTTATCGAAGAAAAATAACCAATGGTGATTTTGTTACCCCCCAACAAAACATCGGCCCTTGGCGATTCGATCGAAGGTCTGGAACAATCTTCACCTCGGCTGCCAGACGAAGTCTGGAACCAGCGGGGACCGTAGGGACGGTGGTGTGGTTGAGATGGGTTCAGCCTGGGGATGAAATGAGGATCGAATGGGAATTGAATTATCATAACCTTGCGGCAAATCTGATGGGATACATCTGCACCGTATTTCTAACAATTCTCTGAAACTGATGGGTGTATAATGCGGTTTGATTGCCATAATAACGACATCATCGTGATAATCTAGGAATGATGGCGACCGTAGGGGCAACTATCCCAAAGTGGCCGAGCTTTTCAGGTGGGTGAATTAGTTCCCGGAATTGGACGCAGGGATACGCAGGGTAGATCACAGGATATGCAGGGTAGATCACAGGAACCCCCGTGTTGTTAAAATGGTTACTGTAGCAGCAGGCTTTCCTGCAACGTTTCCCTTAAATTATTATGGCTGAGTTGATTCGTTACCCGTTTGTGATATTCTATACTCCACTGAGATCTGGCGCTCGCGTTTAAGGTCCGGCAGTGCCCATATCAGAGAGAATGTCAAGATTTGACGCCAAATAGAATTCCAGAATAGAACGTCAGATAGAATGCCAGTAAGAATGCCAGAATGAATGCCAGATGGAAAGGCAGAATAGAATGTCAGAATAGATGCCAGATAGAATGCCAGAATAGAATATCGGATGGAATGCCAGATAGAATGGCAGAATAGATACCATAATTAATGTCACAATAGATGCCAGATAGAATGTGCCAGAAAGGATGCCAGATAGGATGTCAGAATAGATGCCAGATAGACTGCCATAATAGAATGTCAGAAAATATATGCCACATTTACTTCCAGATGAGATGTCAGAAAAATTCCAAATCATTCGTCACGGTGGGGATCACTCAAAGTAAAGTAATTTTCTTGAAGTCAACGGTAAGAGTACACATAGCACACCACGTTGTATTACAATATAAACACAATATAACATGATATACAGTAATTATATATATTTAATTAATTTTAATGAGTATTGTATTGTATATTACCGTGTTTTTGATTGTTGTGATTTGTTGTGTTTATTGTAGAACAAGGTGAATCAACTTTTTTTTTCATGCCGTCGATCCTACCAACTCCACGGGGAGAAAAGCACCACCAGCAGGCCATTCCCCTCTGGAGAATTGACCCAATGACATTTATGGGATTTTACATGTTGTTTACATGGTTTTTACCACCCATCTCTATATGGTAATACAAGGAGTGGTCTATGGATTTACCGCAGCACTCTTATGTAATTTCCATTTGATTTTGGATGTCCATTTGCCATACCCGTGGCCCCATGATAGCTGTCACAGTTGTTAACTAAACGTCTTGGAATGCCTACCACTGTTCAATTATTGTGATGTGTTCTCTGAGGGGTACCAAGAGTCATTGGATTTCCTGATTTTGATAACATGCGTTTTTCCTAATGTGAAACCCATCAGGACTGAGGAACCAAAACGGGATAGATAGATAAACTTGGTTTGTGCTGTGCACTTAAGCAAATCCTTGAGACGGATATTCATACATAAAATCATACTACAGCAGTTTTTCCCACAAGCAAAGATCAATTACATGATGACCATTCTCGGACTCCAAGAGTGCGTTGAAGTCGATGCGTGGCAAACTTCAAGGTGTCAGAATTTGCCACTTGTAAATCTTACTGATCGTTGCCTCTAGGGAATCACCGCCCCAGCAGCGATTCCCAACACCACAGGTTTATGGTGGTGAGCGATGGCCAGCGTATTGTGGCAAACGAGGTTTGTCATAAACATATTAAAGCATCCCATGATCCGGGGGCTCATGTTACATCATCCTATAGCTAGGGGATGGGAACGGGGTATGCCCAATTTCTTAAACCTCATACTTGGGTATGGTGACGACGGTGACGATGGCATTGAGTTAATTCTCCATTAAGCCTTATAAACATTTATAAACCAATGATTGTCCCAAGAGTCAGTAACCAGCATACAATCATCCATTGTTATCCCTATACTATCCTACCATCCTACTATCCCATATTCTCCAGCTAGTATCCTACACTAATTGATTAGTAGGATTAGCATTTACCCAATGATAAATTATCCAAAATATTATCCCACTATTTAGTAGGATTATTTAGATTCAGTATGAATGGTTCTCCAATTACTACGCGCTATCCTACGCACTCCTTGAGGTGCTCCCATCCAGTGGAGCTGGGTTTTTTCGCCTCTTGGCGTCAGCGGCATTTGCTCTTGGGGTTGGATGCCTACAAAATTATGTTTTATGGATCTTTATCTTATAGGAAGTAATCATGAATTTGGATTTTGATGTTTTGAATTCTCGTGAATATGACATGAATTATCCCAAACCAAAAGCAATATTCCTGCTGTAGTGCAACTCTTTAGAATCAGCTCCTGAGATGACCCGAAATGAATAGAAGATCCAAAACCATAAGTTTCTTGGGGGTATTAGTATTTGATCGATTAGGTGGATGGGATCTAATACCAATAATTATTAGTATTGGATCTAATATTTGATATTAGGTGGAAGGGATTAAGGGATTACTTGAATTGTTTGCCATTTTTTTTACTTGCTGAACATGATAAACATATGATATATTCAGGCATGGGGCCATGGGCGTCCAAGATCAGCCATGTGGTGTTAATGTTGGACCGTCCCAGGCCGGAGATATAAGCAGAAAACACTCATGTTTTATCAGCTACAGATGGACTATCCAGTGTTTTTCAAGCATACCCTCTGGTAAACTAACAGAACTACAGTATGTAAAATCACCATTTTTAATGGGACAACTGTTAACTGTTAGTTTACCAGAGGGTACTGGGGATTGGTTGAGATGACGAGCAGATTTTCGGGATGCGTTAAGAGCATCACCCAACCTTGTGCGCAGGGGGAAGCGAAATTTCACCGTAGATCCTGGTGAAATATTGGGGGCACTCATCATGTCTACATGATTCTGTCACTCATACTGTGCTGACGCAAGCAAGTTGGTTTCCTTGCGTTGTCACTTTACCGGGTTCTATAGAAAATTCAGGTCAAAAAGTCAAGGTATTCGTGCCTCATATCCAGTTCCGTTTGATTCTGCTACACTATGATTTAAAATATTAATATGCATGTGCAGGTCATTACTTTCTCCTATCTGTATAGCCTTTGATTCTGTTTGTTCTCTTTGTTTGAGTTTGGGCTAGACACTGGGTCATCTTATAAACACACACACACATGTATATATATAATTATATAATACATATGCTCCGCACGGGGTGTTTCTCATCTGTTGAATTCCCGTTGCATAATTACATGAACATGTTTTCAGCTGGGTCCTGGGTGAGAGAAACATATCCTCACAATGTGTGAAAGAGTGATTTTTTTCCTCGCAGAATGCCGAACTGTGGCGTAAAAACTGTTTTTTTGTTTTCAATCAAGCTCTCGGACGTGCTTGCCTGCATGGGCAGAAACACAAGTTTAGTAATTTAGTATAATTTAGTATTATAATGTATTATATATAAACCATCCATTTTTATATATATATATATATAAACCATTATAAACCATTATAAACCCATCCATTCTTGGGGCCAAAACAGGTTCCTTTGATCAGGCGCCGAGATCCCATGATATCCCATAGAATTGGATGATGGGAAAATTTACAGGAAAGCCCGATCAATTTGATGGTAAAAACAATGGTTTCCTGTAGATTTTCCCTTAAACCAATCCATTGATGTTTGCATGATCTAACATAATCTAACGATCTTGTTGCACACACCCAGTTTCACACACAATGGATTCAACTACAGTGTTCCTGCTCCGCGCTTTAGTGCTCGAGTTTTTTACTGTTAGGTCAGGTGGCGAAAAGACGTTCTAAAAAACTGTTCTCATCATTGGGACAGGGGCCAATGATTCCAACAAAGCTGGTGGATGGTTTTAACCTAATTACCAGCATGTGCCAGCACAAAAACCAGCCTTTCATTACTTTCATTCTCCATAGTACTTGCTTATAGTTCGACAATCTTTGGTGCGCATTATAATTGCAAAACAGCCAGCGGGAAACTCCAGGTGATTGGCGGCTCCTGGAGAGTAGAAAAACAGACCCCATCTTAACCGTCTTCAGCCATCATTTCTATGCATATTAAAAAGTCATCAATACATCACAACTGTCAATTTTCTGATCCCATCAGCTCCAGGTTTTCCAGAGAAATTGAGGCAAAACATGTCATTCAATCCATCTCCTCTGCCTCCGGATGCCTCCGGTATGAACCAATGTATTCCATGATTTGTTCCATAAAAATCCATAAAATATTCATGAAATATCCCGTGACATATTCCATAACATCCATAACATCCATATAACATCCCCATGGATGCCATCATTTGTCCTGGTGATTCATAGCCATTCCACCCATCGATCCACCGGATCTTCGTCGCTGATGTTCCCATGTCGCCTGGACGGCCTGGACGCTCGGATCGCTCGGATCCGCTACGCCGGATCGGCTGCAGCCAAACGCAGTGGCAACGCTTGGATCCGGAGGCCCGGGATGGCTGACCTGGCTGATGACGATTGGATACGATTGGGGGATTTCCAAGTTCTTTAAACATTTTAAAGTCTGGTGTATTTTGGTGTATTAATCTGGGGTTGACATTAATCATCATTAATCCATATTAATCCCATCCCCCGGTTCACATGGCCTAGTTTTCAGAACGGCAGCCCCTGGGAGTGCAGTTTTTCCCATGATTTAAGATTATATGTTGAGATGTTTTTACTGATGTTTTACTGCACTCCCAAGGGCACTTTGACAGCTTTGCCTGTGATTCGTGCCAGTTTCCTTGAAGTACCCCACACTTGTTAAAAACCTTGGAAAAACAAAAAACAAGAAAAACAAAAACAACAATATTTCTAGACTCTTTGGAAGGGGGGGGTCCCAGCCAAGACTCTCTGAAAAGAGGTAAAAACCTTTGAAACACATTGGGAGAAAAAAACACAATATTTCTAGACTCTTGGTCCCAGCCAAGACTCTCTGATTTTTTTTTTTTTGTGTTTTTTCCAAGGTTTTTTTGGTTTTGGTCACTTTCAGCCATTTGCACCTTTTTGTACATTGGCCGTTCGGTGCCTTCATGCGTTCAAGCTTGCAGGAACCTATCGTTTAACCACTGCAGCTATGAAAATACCGGGTCTGAGGATCAAGACTGTGTGTTTCAATTTTGAAATGTTCGGCCATGTCCTAGAATAACAGCATAAATTGGTAGCACACTTTGCTGAAGTAATACGACCATCTTCTCAAGCATTATTGCATCATCGATGGAATCTGCTGTAGACTCATGTTACACTTTCTTGGAGGGATGCTACACAGATTTGCCAAGAAACTATTTACTTTAAAAGTAGATATACACACACATATAATTATATATATATACACATACAGTGTGTGCATCTTCAAAGGAAGGCTTTCCTGGATTGACACAGATTTTGCATAGTTTGCAGTAATATAACATGTTTTTCCCGAGCAAATGCTGCACTAGTTTGAAAGAGATATTGTAGGTAATTGTGCTACTGCACTCTTTGCATAGGCATGTAGCACTTGTTTACATTGCCATAATTATGTTTGAATAAGTTTGCATTAAGATTTATGATTTATAATTACAATGTGTTTTGCATTGTTTGAAGCCATATTCTACTTTGTTTACAAAGATAAGATATGCTGCACTCTTTGGAGAGGCATTACTTGCAGAAGATGGTGCAATACTTGCTTTACAACAAAAAACACATTTTTAAACAGGCGTTTGCATCATCAATAAAATCTACAGTAGGCTCTTGCTACACTTCCTTACAATAATGCTGCACACTTTGCAAACAAGAATCTGCTCTTTCAAAGGTAAACACACATGTTTCAATGCATGTGCCAGTAAGATGGCACTCTTTCCAAAACCATGCTGTAGTAATTCAAGAATAGATTCAATCTTGCAAAACAGCATGTTACATTTTCCTACAGGAATGCTGTGATTTCTGAAATCATTCAGTACATATATACATAGGAGGGTTCCCCTTGAAATTGGGAAGTAATGCTACACATCTTTGAAAGAATGCAACAACGTTTGCAAAAGGTTGTGGCATACATGGAGGAATGGTGTTCTTTATGCAAAGTCATTTTACAAGTGATCTTTGCATGTTTGTTTACCATGATTATTTATAGAGAACATATTGCATAAATTGGTGCCTGTTTCAAATGCACATTTTTTAATGCTACGTATTTTTCAAACAATGCCACACTTTTTGCAAAGGGTTGTTACATTGAGGAATGGTATTTTTTATGCAAAATCATTTTTCAAGTGCAGTTTGCAAATTTATTTGTCCTTCATTGTTTATAGAAAACATATTGCATAAATTGATCCCTGTTTAGAATGCATATGCCCAAAAAGACTATTGCATATGTTGGGGGAAACTCCTGTAGAAATGTGGGGCCTATACATTCTTAAAGCAATGCTGCACTCTTTGGAAAGGCATTTGCACTTGTTTGTTTTGCTGTTTTTATTTATTATTCATGTTTGTTTTGGCTGAAACTATGTATCTATGTAGGACATTGGGAGAGCTGTTGAGAATGCACAGTGGTTGCTTTTGTTGCAGAAGCAGCAATGTTTGGCTTTGGAAAGAACAGGGTTTGGTTCGGAGCTACTAAGAGTTTCCCAACCAGGGAATTATCCACCTATAATGGGCATACAAGGGGATATTATTAATGGTTTTTTTTTTTGTCTATAGAGTGTTTTTATTCTTAGTTTTAACCATATTTACGGTTAGTGTGTGATTGATCTATATATTTGGGATGATAAATGATGATAAACAAAAATATACGAATATTAGGTTATTTTCTTGAATTAACGTGCCATACAATGGAAACGTACCCATATGTCCAAGTAATCTCTAATTCCATGTATCATTAACATCATTTTTTTAAGGAATCAGAGTTTCCAAATTCCACGTTGAAGTTTCCGTTCATTTAAGGCCTCAAGTTTTCCAGACGCTGATCTAGAATCTAGATGGTTTATCATCCTGATGAAACCAAGATTCGGATCACTTGCAGGAACAGTTGAAGGTCACCCATTGCTTGCGACAGAAGGGGCCCTCCGAAGCTCTTCGCAAGGCGGCGCTTAAGGGCTGCAGTGGGTTTTGCCAATGGGGTGTAACGAAGCGACGAAGCGGATAGCATCTTGTTATGGGTAAAATGAATGAACATGATGATTAAGGACTAGATTTAGGGGTAATTATATAATATGATATAATATGTATATATGTATTATGTATATATATATATGTATGTATGTATATGATATTTCAGGAACAAAATCAAAGATATATGTATTGGAGTTGTTTCTTGGGTAGGTGATACTGGTGCTACCTCTGGATTTTGATGCATGTAGTATGGCTGCTCTCTTTTTTTTGAAGTATAATTACCGGCAATGAGTTATACTGTAGAAAGAAGTGGCACATGTTTCGAGATATTGATTTCGATTTACATCACTTTTTCTTCACTATAATGTAGTTATATAAGATGCAGTTAGGAAAACAAAACATAAAGATGTGCGTGTGTGTGTGTGTGTGAGTGTTTTGGTATGTGTGTGTGTGTATGCAGTCCCCAGACAATGTGCCTCGATATACTAAAGATTTGGAGCCTGTTCCATTTCCAAGTTGGGAGTTCTCTTTGGACCCGTTTGAGAGTCGTTCCTGAACATGTGTGTTAGCTCCTCATGGTATGCCCATGTTTTTCCATGTGTTGTGGCCCCTGGTTCAGATATTTCTTCAATCTACAAGCATTTTTTCATGCATTACCAATGTTGTAGTGTAGTTTGCTCAGACAGAGACCTGAAACATCACATCCTGAAATGACAACTCCGCTGCTTCCACGCTGCTTCCAGAGGTTCAAAGTTGGCTGTCCAAACGGGAGAAGAAAAGACCCTCCGCCGAGGAGACGAGGCAATCGAGGCACACCGAAGGTCGCAGCTTGGCGGGATCAGCACCTCCAAATCCCCCGTTTGGTTTTGGATTTGGTTCCTTTTTTTGGGGGTCCAAAATTTCACGGCTAGACATCCTTGGCCTGGCAGGGATTTGATTGACCAATTCGAACAATATGAGCACATTAGATCCAATTGGTGACAATCATCCTGAAAAGGTGCGAAAAAGCATCAACAAGCATGTGTTCTGGCCAGAATTGACCAAACAAAAAGCAATGATTTGACAGAAATAGTGAAATTCCAGATGTTTGTTGGTAAATCATGTTTTGCTGTTAAATGTTGTTATAACAATTACCTTTCTTGTCGGTGAAATTCCAAGTTTTGATAGTGAAGCCAGGCTAAACCATTACTTCTTTTGGTTATAATCCAAATTTTGTTGGTTAAGCCATATTAAGCCATCAGTTTTGTTGGTTATATATCATCATCCACATTTTTTCCATTGAACGTCCCTAGGTTTTTGGCTGGGCTCAGGACACCTCCAAGCGGCGGCCCCCAAGCGGCGCAAGGCTGTGCTGATGCCGCGCCACGCCGTGGAAAAGGCTGAGAAGACGCGTGAGCGCCATGCGCGCCATGCGCGCCATGCGCGCCATGCGCGCCATGCGCGCCATGCGCGCCATGCGCGCCATGCGCGCCATGCGCGCCATGCGCCAGTGGAAGTGGAGGATGAAGCTTCAACTGCCTTAGGATATCTTTGGGAGATACCTTAACTAACCTACAACCAACTATTTGGGGGTCAACCATCAACCTTGGGGATCTAATCCGATTTCATGGGATACACTTGTTTTGTTTCAGTAATGTGCTTTTTTTTGCCGGAAGGGGTAAAACAGTCAACTTAGTGGTAGTTGTTAGGGTGGAAATCGGTGCAAAACCAATGTTTTTTCCTTGTTTGCTGATACACATATCAACCTAAGGACGAAGAAGACGGTGACGACGACGACGAAGACGAGGACAGCAACGGAAAAGTGGAGGTGGTCGAGGAGGCATCAGAGGTTGAAGAGGCGGAGGAAAGCGAAGAAAGCGAAGAACAGGCGCCGTTAGCCCCGATGGCTGGCTGATGGTTCACCCAACGGGAATTCTCACCATGTCATGCCGATCCTTTATATATCTATGGGGATATAATGTATAGGGGCATAAACAGAAACATGATATGGGTCGTGGAAGGTCCCGGGATTTTGAACAGCGGACAGTTGTTGACAGTGATTCCCATGGCTGAGATTCCACTCCTTCAGCAACTTGAGGCAGTGCATCCAGCATATCCAGCTTAGCAATGGGTTGAATATTGGCAGTATGGCACAGTTCCCGGGAACTCGTGTCCTTCCATTTACCAGATTTGACCACCAGTCGATCAGTGGGTTGTCATAGTTTGGGTTGCGCCAAAACCTCGGGAAAGACGGTTGAGGCCGGAATCCTTGAGTCAAGCTCATGTGGCAAACCCAATAATAAACGAGTCCAACCATTCCCAATATAGGGGTTGATTATTGAGTTATACCCCTATTTGGGGTGATGTCAACTGACCGCCTATAGTCATGGTTGGTTGATTATGGCCCTAGCTTTAGTACATATCCATTATATAATCATCATTAATCATCCATGATTGTTGGTGATATCAGTGTTAATCATCCATTAATCATCCATTAATCATCCATTAATCATCCATTAAACCATTATTAACCCGTATCATTTCGCACTCGCTGCACACAGGAGAAGAGTCCCAAGAAGAGCCCGAGCTCCGAGATCGAGTCGCAAATGGAAGTGGAAGCCAAAGCCGCACCAGGTGACTTGGCGTCGGCGCTGGTGGTACGGTTACCATTCCCATTAAATGGATGGTTCATGGCACTGTTTTAGCAACATCTAGCAAAACCAATGTAAAACATACTATACTATAAAATGATTCGACTTGCATTTCATTATTATATTTTATATATATATATATGTGATATGCAATATATGGATTCAATGTTCCAACTGCTTGGGCGTTTGCAAGGCCGACAGTTGCCTTGTCATGGGGTTGTCTATCTCTGGAGCCGCATGATATTGTTGGTGGGAAAAAGACGTTGACTATTTGTTTTGTTTGTTTGTCCTGGCGGATGGTTTTGATTTTGTTGAACCTGACTATGACTATTGTGTTGCTTTGCTGTTGTGGGTGAGGCATTTTGTAGAGGTTTATGCCATACTGCATAGATTTTGGGTCAAGATTGTCTAGAAACCCAACACGATCAACAAGATCCAATGATAGGTTTCCATTCAGGTGTTCATTCCCACATGCTCTATGGCATATTCACCTATATACGTTTAGGTCATCAAATGATGGTAAATGGTGAACATTCCATGCACAACTGTGGAGCTGCTGGACGATGTGGAACTGCAGAGAAGGTTTCAACCATGGATAAGATGGGTAGACATTAATCTTTATTATCTATAGATACTGTATCATGTCTATAGATACTGTATCTATAGATTCATGTCTATGATCTAGTTTGTCTATAATCTATAGACCTGAATTAAACATGGTTTTCATGGTTTCAGTTAACTGAAACACGCCGGGGATTGGAAGCCAAGGTCGCCAGGAATCTGAGTCCGAGCCTGAGGCACACCTGGAAATATGGTAGATATATGGTGGAAATATGAGGGACATATTTAAGTAATACCCTCTGGATATAATGGTGATTTATATGGGATATAATGGGAATTACCCTCTGGATCCCTCTGGTAATTTAACATAACTATTGAAAATTGCAATAGAAATAGTTGATTTTCCCATTAAAAATGGTGATTTTCCATAGTCATGTTAGTTTAGCAGAGGGTATGTAATATAGTCCTTATTACGATTATGATTAATTATCCACTATCAATAGTATTTATAATATTATATATATATATGTATCCGTGTGTGTGAGTGTGTATGTGTGTCATGGAAGAAACCTGGACATTTCAAAATCATCGGTTACTAAGTCCGTTACTATACTTGTTTCACATTAAGTGTCCTCGGCATGGTAAATTTGGGGATGGCCAGGCCATGGGAAAATTGAATCGTGACGATATGCTGGTGGATTTTCCCAGCGTTTGATACCACCTTTCTAGATGCATGAGGTTGCGAAGTCATGACTTGGCAAGCAACAGAGTGTTGAGATGATGTTGGCCATGTAGGTCCAACTTCCCTGGGAGCATGTACCATTTAGTGACAAGAACATATTGACTGATGGTTTGGGTGTGTCTCATACACAGGAGTTGTATATTCAACACCTCACACTATCGTATCCCCAGGTAATTTTGAATTTTGGTAGCGTTCGACATCAGTCAAGATATTGAGGCATTGTGGTTGAAAGTGACACGTGAGGTCAACAACCCAATTCAGGTGATGTTAAAAGAGGAAATGCACGGACCTTGCAGTTTAAATCCATGTTTCCTGTGCTAGCAACCACCGCTGTGCTTGTTTGAAGTCTATTTGAGTTTTTCTTTGGGTTTCATGGGTCATCTGAAAGCATTCAGATATGTCAGAATTCTTGGGAATTTATGGGATAATTTAAGGGAAATTCTTCAATCCCAAGTTGATTTTGATTCGTTTGATGGTTAGTTATAGATAGTTATAGCAATTATAGCATTCTTTTCGTGATGGAAATCCCTTTTCATGGACGATTCACCACAAAGTGGACCTGGGTTTCGGACAGGAGATTCTCCGGGAGATGGCGGAGCCGGCTGAGCCGGCGGAGCCGGCTGAGCCTAAACAGGACAGTCAAAGCTCATCAAGCGATGCTGGGTGGCGACTCATTGTTGGTCCAATGGTTCCAATGGTTCCAATGGTCCATGATCATGATGGTCCATGATTATTCCATGATTCGATATGATTCGTATGTGGGATGACCCCACTGACTATGTGAAACACTGTGAAACACTAGTGAAACCAATTTTTGTTTTTTTTATCATTGTGATTTCGGATTTGCAGTGCTGCATGCCAGCGCCCGTCCCCAACGAGTTGATTTTATTTTGTTTTTGGTATCCCCTTATAGGTTGGCATCGGACTCGTGTTGTTCAAGTTCCACCATTTTGGTCGGTTAATAAATGTGTTTTTTGCTTCTTATGTTTCGTGTGGGGGTTGTTTATAATAGTGTTAACTCCCCAAATGTGTTGGTGTCAAATCATGTCAAATTCCCATTTTGATTGGTTAAATTATCCATTGCTGTTGGTGTAAAAACCCGATTTTGGTTGGGTATTTCCTCCATTGTTGTTTCTGTTGTTAAATCATCAGTTTGGTTCGTTCATGTTCGTTCCATTTACCCTTTTGGTTTGTGAAATTCACCCATTGTAATTGCTGTTGGTCTGAAATCACCATGTGGACCTGTTTCCCCGTTGATTCGATGGAATCCCCGAGGAAAGTGTCGACGTGCCGGAGCCGGTTGTGGCGATCGCCCCCGCGATCCCCAAAGCGGCGGAAGTGGAGTGTGCGGAGTGTGCGGAGTCCTCGTCCTCGCACCTTGGATCTGAGATCGTTCTCCATAACTTTCATCAAGATTTTATCAAGTTATAGTGACTATATAGTGAAAGTTACGTGAAAGTGATTTATGATGATTTTTTTTGCTGAGATTTCTTCTTGACTAAGATTCACTATATGATTCATGTTTTTGTTCATAGTTTTGATCATGCCCTATGGCTACAAACATGTTCTCGGATGGTATTTGGGACTGGTTTTTGCGATGCAAAAGTCTTCTCAGGGCTTATTTCGAGTCATTGGTAGGAATGATTATTTGGTTTTGACCTAAAGGAGACGGAACTTGTTTTATGGACATGTTCGGACCAAGTTTCTGCAACAACCCTGGATCAACGACTCCGAGCCCTTCACTATGTCCCCGATTTGTCCCATTAAGTGAAATTTTCTCTCATAAGTTGAATAAACCAGCTTTTCTCACATGTGCATGCGTGTTATACTTGTCTATTGCATATAATATCACAATAATAATCACGTCACACACACACATGTACAATCTCACATTCATACACAGGCAATATATATATATATATTTGTATAAATATATAGTATGATATATACTAGAGCTGTATATCAATATGCATGCAGCTATTGATATGTGTGTCCGTAGGCTCCTCTTATGTGACATTCAAGCACAAGTGCGATGCAACTTAACGTCCTAATGAGGTTCCATCTTCAATTTCAGTGAAGGAAATTTTTGGAACAATGGAAAAGAGGGATAGATATGTCCCCACTGGAGCGACATGCTTTAGCTTTTCCATGTATGGACGTACTGTGCCAGACAAGGAGACCATACAACATAAGACAGAGACAGTTCAGGCACTTCATGTGGCTCCCAGAAAGGTCACAGACCACCGATTCTTACCTCGATTCAGCGTGATTTGTGGCCACATGTAAACACCTCTTTTGTTGCGAAAACCTATATTCTAATTACCCTAGTTTAAGCGCCTTTAAGTTATCACCTCAACTCTAGCCTGTTGATCTTGCTGGTTCCAAGTATTTACCAAATGTTTCTGACAAATTTCATTGAACTCCCCAATCTTTTTGGCTTAAGACATAATTCATACATATTCATACAATACATTGTCAAAATCCATTAAAATTGCCAATTTTAGATAATTTTAGTGGGTTAAACCATCTTAAACCAACCATTTTTGATGCGTTTTTCTGTCCCAGCCCCAGGTCCTCCTCCTCCGAGCCAAGCTCCCCGGGCCCGCCAGCCACCGCGCCCGCAGCGGCGCCGGCCACGGCGCCTGCGCCGCGGTCACCAGGGCACGGCTGGACGAAGGCGCCGGGCGCCAGCATGTCGCATATGGTGAAGCTTGGCACGGTCGGTGACCCCGGTGACCGTTCAAAAAACTCAACTTGTTGGGAGGTTCAAAACCGTGGTTTATCATGGTTTATCATGGTTTATCATGGTTTATGTTAGTTCACAAATTATGTCTTTTTGGGGGGAGGGACTGGGTTTGGCATAAATTATGCCATGTGTTATAGTGATAGGTCATGATTTGGGGGGGGCGTTGGTTTGTATCGGTTGATCTGGGAATTCCTTTTCTGGGTTATAGCAAGTCATGGAAATGAACCACATACCACAGGGGTTTCTTAAAGTGATGTATCATGGTTTTATCATTCCCCCCTGTTCAGCCAGCGTCGGCCAATCTGCGGTCGAGATCAACTTCGAGCGATCCCCACCGTGGCGTACATTCTGAGAAATATTCTGACATTCTATCTGACATTCTCTACCTGGCATTCTATCTAACATTCTATTTGCCATTCTTTCTGACATTTTATCTGGCATTTTATCTGACACATATTCTGGTATTCTATTTGGCATATACTTTGACCTTTTCTTTGGCATTCTGCTGACATTGGCATTTTATTTGGCCTCTTATCTTGCATATATTCGGACATCCTATCTGGCATCGGCATATGTGATTAGGACATTTTATCTGGCATTATTGGTTCTCTGTCTGACATATGTTCTAGCATTCTCTCTGAAATATATTTGGACATATCATAAGATTTTGTCTTAATGTGGGTAAAACAATAATAACCTATCCCTCAAATCGCCCTTTTTATAGGTGGTAGGGTTACCATTCCCACTTACCGTAGGGCCTAGGCTCAGAGGTGGCGATGACTGCCGATGTCCAGGTGAGAATCGGTCGACCCTCACTGCCATGGTGTTCAATCCATATCTTGCTGCAGCTGGGGGAAACAGTTCATTTATGTTTGCCAGGTCAATCAGGTCACCCGTCTCAAAGTTTAGATTCAAACTTCGAAATTCAAGTCATGTAACAATAGTGCTGCCAAAAACAACAACATGGATTGGATGATGTTCATTCATGCAAATTCATGCGCTGCACAAATATGATGATGTTCATTCATGCAAATTCATGCGCTGCACAAATATCCTTTCTTTTTCGTAGTTAACATCTATGTGACTAAATTCGGCCCACATCCTACCAGTTTGAGGTGATCTTCAAATCCCCCATTTTGATTGGCTAAACTTCATGTTTTTGACATAACCCCATCACATCCATGTTGGTATGCTGGAAATGTTCCATAATTTTTCATATTTTCAGGCACACCCGAAAGGCATCAGTTGGTATATGTTGGTATGACATATCCCATGACATATCCCCATCACTTCAACGTTTCAGGAAACCTGCGCGCCCCTGCAACTGGCCACGCGGTGTAGCTGTGGGGCCACCACCCCCTGGGCCGTCGCCGTGGGCACAGAGCCGTGCACCACCCTGGGGTGGCTGGGCGGTGGATGCTGGAAGGATTATGTTTTGGTTGATAGCTTACATGGTTGCTAACATGAAACATGACCTCCATTGTTGTTTCATATTAATGTTAATACATGATAATACTATTAAGATGTTTCTTGTTTGTGCTGTTATTATTGTAACAGTAAATTTCAGTTGTTAAATCTAGTTTTATCATGTATCTTTTATCTTATCATTATACTCCATTTTATTTGTGATCATTAATTGGTTATGATTTTGTCGGTCACTAATGACCCACGTATTTTTTTGCTGGGTACAGTTGTCCAAACTAATTATCCATGTGTGTATTTGCCTGCATTTATTGATCCTATGCCTGGATTGTGGAAGAAAAACATGATACTAGTTAAGAGAAAATCAAAAGATACCAAAAAGCAGAAACCATGTTTTCCCCATGATATGTGGTTTGCTGATGTTTCCAGCAATATTTGCATAGATAAATTCCGGAGAAAACTGACCGTATATATTATACCATCATTGGGGAATAAAGCAGGATTTTAATTTCTTTTTAAAACTATATCAAAGTGCATGTGGGATTCCAAAACAAAAATCAACCGCTTTACACGTCAAAATTTGTGCGTAAGATCCCGATTTCCCTTGGTTACCCTAATCCCATGTAATTCCAAATGTTTGCCAGTTAAGCCTTTACTTCGGCTTAAATTCTAAAAAATCGTTGGTTATAAGTTGGAACCCAAATGCTGCTGAAATCCCATAAAATGATCTGCTGAAATCCCAAATCCCAAAACATCCAAAACTCGCTGGCGAAATCCCAGATTTAGCTGGTGAGCTCTTAAATTTGATTGGCGAAATCTGGCGAAGTCCCAAAATCATCTGGTGAAATCCCAAAATCATCTGGTGAAGTCTGAAATCCTTCCACAGCTCCGAGGTATCTCTCCGGGTCCGCCCCCTGTCTGGCGCCCCGTGCCGGTGATGTATCCGCCCTTTGGTCCGCCCAGCGCAGTGCCACCTCCACGTCACTTTGGTGCACAAAAGTTTGGAGGTATTGGAAATTAAGTTAAATTAATCATCAAAATACGGATGCAATTGGAATGATATATGCGAATATCATGGTGAAATCATTAAGGATAAAATTTGAATCTACGTGTTCAAACTGGAGGCTTGACCAACCAAAATTGGGGATTTTTCAGCATCAAACATAGGGATCATGGGGATTTAACCAGTGAATATTAGGGTGATATCATGGGACAATCATGTTAAAAAAACAAGATTTTCACTGTACAAGGGATAATATGGGATATAAACATGGTTATGTCATGGGATATGTTCATACCAACTGAACTAAGTCTTTTGGACGTTCCTAGAATATGGCAAATTAAGCATCCGCATGTATCATATATTTGAATTAGATGTGATGGACATAATATGGCAATATGCTGCAACGGTGATTAGCCCATAAAAATGGAGCCTTTAACCAATCAAAATGGTGGTTTGAAGATCGACCAACCATTGGGATTTCACTGGATTGGACGTCTGGAGATATAATGGGAATACAGTGAATACAGTAGGCACATAATCTTGGTTTGTTTTCTGTAAGGGAATATGATGGTAACATATCCAAGAATGTAATTCCGGTGTGGCTGAAAAATGGGTACCCTCCAGCCCGTCCAATGTGGCAAATCTGATAGGGAACATGGTATATGATTCACGATTGGATTTTGGATTGCCGTATCAGACACACCAGGTGTGTCTGAGTCGCCAGACTGGTGGATTTCTTTATGAACAATTTAATGCAACATAATTACTCTCCAGAATTTTAACATAGCTATTGACTTTGACTCATTTATAGATGAAATTAGATGCATTACCTATTAAAAATTGTGATTTTCCTTAGCTAAGCTCGATTACCCGAAGGTATTGAGATTTAACACTACCAAAATAGGCTTGGGGGGGAGGGCTGTGTAGAGTGTAGAGACATGGCTTTGGATCAAAATCAAACACCCACGTGATGGACATGTCACTAGGGAACCATGGTGAAACGCCATGGAATCTCACGTGTATCTATATTCTCCAATTCAACATAGCGAAGCCATGGCAAGTTAAAGAATTTGGTTTGATGAATTACCATGAACACCATGACCATGGGTAAAGAACACCATGGTTAAAGACACTTTTAAAGAACACCATGAAGACTCGTATTTTTACACCATTGACCTCATGACCGGTCAAATTCATCCCGTTTGAGAATCCTCACCTCGATCAAGAATCTTTGGGCAGTGTCAAAAGAAGTTTGTTCAGTAACCCACAAAAATAGGTTCTTGGCACTGATTATTGTTGGATATTAGGTTTCTGTTTTTTTTTTAATGGTTGCTACCAATCATATGCCCGAACAAATCCTTCCCCACAAGAATCCACCACGTTAGATTGGAATGATTACGGCCAGCCTCCACTGCTATTTCTGCTCGCTTCGGCGGGTCCTCCTGAGGTCGGTGAATAAATTGGTTCGCACCGTGTGAGCATTAATGCGCATTATACTTGTCAAAAAGTTGGCGCGCTGACCAGGCTGACCAAGATAGATAGGTACTATTTATATATGGTTTGTTATATGGTTTGTTTTTCCTACTTACTTCCTTACTTTTGCGTGCCTGCAATATAAAGCCGCATGGTATGGTAAACAAATGTAAATAGTAAATAATATCCTTATATATTTGTTCTGATACAGTACTAAGGAGACGTTTGTTTGGTTCATTCATGTTGATTCAAGATTTCATTTTCAGCCATGTGATGTCCCAATAAAGTTGAGTTTGTTTGTAAGAAGAGAACACTGGCTTAGCCACACACACAGACACTTGTAATTATATATTGTGTATGTATTGATGTGTGTGTATTGATGTGTATGGATTCATGTGTGTGTGTGTGTGTCACTATGTATATGCATGTATGTTTGCATGTGTATGCATATATGTTTATTTATGTGCATACTTTTGTGCGTGTACATTCATGTGCAGATGCATGTACACATGATGCATGTACACATGATGCATGTACACATGTTCCTGTGCACGTGTGCATGCAAATTCACATTCCGGAGATTGTTGATGGGGTGTTGCGTTTATTTGTGTTCCCTTTATGCAAATGATAGTAAAACCATTTGCTTTTTGGCTAAACCACTAAAAGAGAGCTATGTGCATTTAAACTACCTGCGTCACCTCGGATTTGCATGTTTTGTCCGACATTCAACTATAGAGTCTCTGTCTGGCCACATTTCCAAATGGTAGGACCCGTTTGCAAGTAAAAATCCAAACTTGACTACTTCTCACTTTTCATGTCTTCACTTGTTGGTTAAACTAAATCAATGTATAAGACTATACTCAGCCACAACTCAGGTGCCTGGGACTTCACTCACTTTATCACCTTTAAACAAAGCGTTGCACGGCCGTTGCAGCGCCTTCGAGGTCGGGCCGCTTGGCACAGACGCCACCCAGCTTGGCACTGGAGGACTCAGGCACGATCAATGACTCATGTCGGAAATCCAATGATAAACCTACCATTTAGGGGATAGTTTATATAGATGGTTCATAGATGTTTATAGCCCATAAGCCATGATGATTTTGAGATGATTGTTTATGGTGGTTACCAGGTGAATTTGCAAGTCCTTGGTAAATCCAATCATAAATTATTTGTCGACTAATCATAAAGCACCAATCCCCAATGACTGACCCCACATAGAAATAGGTGGTAATGTCACCATGCTAAAAATGGTGGTCTGACCACATCTAAATGGTTAACTGGTTAGTGTATACATCCCACTGCCAAAAACCTGGCTTAGCAGGTACCAAAGTAGTCAGTAAGCCTGGTTCGCAACTTCCCGATTCGTCGTGCAGCCAACCAATTTCTAGCTGAGATATGCTGAGATGATGCTCCCAGCAATCCCCGTGGGCATAGGCGTTTAATAAGCCCTCAATATTAAGCCTGATAGGGTTAACAACCCTGAAGCAGAAGGCCTTAGGCCTTATTTGAAGCAGCATCACTGCGTATCCTTTGCATGATGGATTTGACCCAATGATGTTGTTTGTTCACATGTGTGCAGCTAAAAAAATCGTGTGTACACTGTCTAGGGACTGAACAAAACCTTATTTGCACATATTTGCACTGTAAATACTGTAATAATAACAACAATTATAAGAACAATAATCAAACATGATAAGTAAATATAAGTAAATATAATCTTCTACAGAACATAACAATGACAAGAATCATATATATATATATAATATTGTACTTCCATTTGGTTGCAAAATTATATTTGTCCCAGCAGAAAATGGCCTAAAAAATGGTGGACTACTGACCTGCATGGCAATGGAAAATCAGCCGTTGGGATTGTCCAGCTAAGGGAACATAGATGACTTGTTGGACATATGGTTTTTGGGCCCCCGGCTTGAGACCCATTGGACCCACAAAAGAATCCAAGCTTGTCAGCCTCGATGCCATGTGGCGGTCTTCATGTGCTGCCAGCGGGGTCGAAACCAGATTGGCGACATAGTCAGTTCGTGCGTTTAATTGCGACGGGGTGCTGTTTGAACAGCAGATCAACTCATGTTTTGGGGGGCTGGTACTCAAACATTGCGTTTTGAGTGAGCACTTGCACTATTTGACTTGATGACCTGCTGGTGGTTTTAACATGTCCTCCTTTTTCTTTCTCCAACATATAGGATCATGATCATGATGATGATGATGATAATGCCAACTGACTTTCATATGTTTGGAACAGGTTGAGACCACCAACCACGTGACTGCTGAACAATTTCTTTCTATTTTCTCATTCATTTCTGTAGGTGATATCTGAAATGGTCTAAATGTGGAAAGTATGGAATTCATCGGATGACTTAAATGAGTTTCTATTTAATTACAGAAATGATCAGACATGACATGTTTTGAGGGAAGAACATTTGTACAAAGGACACTGCAGCATTTAAAGAACGGATCTCCTTCATGTTTTCCCGTAAGTTTACAGAAGATGTTTGAGGATGAGAGAGGTGATTTGAATGCGCTAAGATCCTACATCTCACATTTCCATCCATGTTCATGCAATTCTCCTGAGAACAAATGGTTCAAAAGGTTTTGTATAATGTGCCATTGCCAATGATTAATTTGCGGTGTTGATTTTAAAATTGAAAAACATTGAGACACATTATCAAATTAGAACTTTTCAATACATAGATATATATAATTTACAGTATTTGATAAAGTATGGCAGCTCATAGGTGACAATAGCCATCTCTTTGTCATCACCTGCCAGGCCTGGATTGCGCCATAGGTCAGCAGCCCAGCTGGCCCAACCATAATTTGGATCTTACGAAAGACTGCATGGGGAATCCCAACATGAGAATCCGGGGATTATCCAAATATAGTTTGGTTGTGTTTTTTTTTTGAATTACATATACCAATATGATTAAGATTATATGATCCAACATCAAACACATATAACAATACCGTATCGTCCCACCGTTACTGTATATGTTTAGCTGTCCGAAATATAACAAAGCATGGACACATATTGGAATATTAGGCAACCAACACGGCTTTCTATGATTTTCCCCAGGAGCTCATACCCCACAATGGCGTTGTATCAAAACATTGCTTCAATGGCGAGAAGACATTGCCACACCATTTTTTCACCTATTCCGAACCTAACCCTGCAAAACGTCCTTGTGGCCCGCATGTTGTTGTTTTTTTCACTCCTTGACACGCAGATCATCCCAGTCGCTTGGCGCCAGTTTCAAGGTGCTGTGTGGATTGGCATGGTTTTCCAGAACCCATAGGAGGCGTCGTCGCTGTGGACGATATCAATATATGTATGTATGTGTGTATATATGTATATATAGTTATATAGATAATTATATATAAATATATAGTATAGATAGTTAAATATATATATATACAGTTAGTTTTATTATACATATAGTTACATATTATATATAGTTTAATAAGTTTATATATATATATATAGAGTTATATACGCATATATCTATAAATATCATAGACCCAGAGATCACCCCCAAATGGCCGAAGATTTCAGAGCAATCATGACGATTCAGCCAGACGATTGGAGTTGCGGGTGCCCCTGAGACTCTGACATGTTGAGATACGAGGCCAGCAAACTGAGCAGTGGACGACTTTCAATGACTTTCCCATTTGACATGACCGTGTTATTTTTACAGACCATAAGGAACTCGTGACCACCTGCCCCCGGAGGTGTTGTTTTTTTTTCTTTTAATTGCGATTGCCTTACTTTAAAGACTTTAGGCCGATGGAATGATGTGCGGCCTTTGTTAGCACCGAAGTTGGAAAGTTTTGCCAATTTTGGACACCTGGTCCCACAATATCCCAGTGGCTAGCCTAGCTTGGTTCCATGTCCTAGAGAGGCTAGTGACCTACTGTGTCTATGATTGTTCAGCGAGCGGAACGAAGTAAACGGTGGTGGGACAACATGACCAACTAGAAGCACAAACGCTGACATCAAGCACAACAAACATCGCCAGTGACCAAACTAATTCTCGAAGACATGTCATGATCTCATGACTACGGGGCAAAGCCGCATCACCAGGAATTGTGTCGGGCACCCCCAGGGCCAATTTCTACAGACATTCTGGTAATTTAACATAGCTACGGAAAAACTGAATTTGTACATGATTTCCTTAAAACTGTTGATTTTCAACAGCCATGTGAAATTACCAGAGGGTATGTCCATTCTTCATTCGCCACCCAGTTTCCTCGAGCTGTTTGCAGGTTGCTGGTGGATTAATCCAGCAGTTTGAGTTGGCCTTTTGAAGCTGGCCGTTGGGAAGCCAAGTGGCCCAGTGCTGGAATGACCGCGAAATAGAGCTTATACCGATCTATGTCACATTGATTTGTATTATCCATTATTCAGAATGATTCATCACATTTCATCACTATTTTCCGTACATTCAGATCATTCAGGCAACCTGCACGTGAACCTTGTGCGAACTTGTCGATGCAAGAAAGATGTATGGATGCAACTTATCATTCATCCAGAATCAGCATATATCAGCAAATGGATGCGTCCCACAGAGAGAGAGAGAGATTTATTCCAAGCTCAAAGGAGACGTCATTTGATCGCAACCACATGTTCACTCAAAAACAAGTCATTCTACCTTGGGATGTGCTGGGACTTGAATCAGCTTTGGGATTTGTTGCATCTGACACCGGATGAGGATGATGATGATGAGGATGATGATGATGATCTTCGGGTAAGATGCAAGGAAGGATGCCATCAAATGGATCCATGTATATCCTCACGTCTACATATATATATATATATGTGTGTGTGTTCCTTTTGGTAATTTAACATAGCTATGGACAATCAATATCCAAATAACAGGTAAATCATTTATGATGGGCCATGTTCATCCATTTTTCCCTGGCTGTGTTAAAACATACGAGATGATATACAACGCTACCCACGTGGTTTACCACCCTTCATTGTTGAACAATTCTTACTTGATGGATGGATGGTGCAGCCA